CTTCCACTGATTTAAAACGAAATTTTATCGACAGTTATACCTACTACGAATTAAACAGAAACCTGTAGCTCGAATTTAATAACTGTAAACTCGAAGCAGGTGAGTGGGTCTCGATTTCGCCTCCAGGAATAAAACACAAATAAGCGCCCAAATGTCTTAACCGTTAATTGCACCATACGCCCTTATTAAACAAACCCTCAACCAGCCATAAAAATTTCATGAGATAACATACGCCTATTTAAACATCTTCCACATATTTGTTTATCTTTAAAACTCGTTTAATGCCAACAAATTTCCTTGCTTGGCATGTGTGTACACCTGTTTTCACGGAAAACTCGGATTCGAAAACGTTTACGCGTAAAAAATTGTATTCTGTAGCATAGTGTCATTGCAAGAATTAATTGCAAAAGTGGAATTTTTCATTACAATATGTGGTTTACCTTGACTTAGCAAGTTTAGTAATGATTAAATGATTAAAAACTATTGTATTAATCACGTTTTGTTTCCGACTGTTGTAACTTTAAGAACCATTTAAAGAGATTCTTTGACATAAGAATAATCCAGAAACCACAAACTAATAAATAGTGCTTAAAACTTATTATATTTTTTCCACTTCTTTGCGCTTAAAAGTTAACTGTAACTCCTGTCACATTATTGTAACAATTAAATAATAAAAGGCAATTTATTCCACTCTGATAAGAATTATTGTTGCGCTGGAAATGCCTTAATGTTGCAGAAAATACAGTTAATTTTTCATTTGAGAAATTTTATTCTTCTTCCTGTCCCTATTATTCAGCCAATACTGTGTTACACTTGATTGGTCAATACTATACAGTACTTAGTGACAATAAGAGGATTGTTACAATGCAGATGAAGAATGCATTCAACGTCTTTCCTTAAACCAGGAAATATTTATAAGAAACACAAAAAAATAATTTAAATGAAACGAAAACATATTTTCATATTCTTTGTTGCAGATTTCCGTTTGATAGAATGTTTTAGCATAGCAATGATAAATAAAATTGTTTATTCTTCTTCTTTTAAGTCTTTTTTACTTTTCACATTGAAATGAGTTGTGGGAAAATAGAATTTAGTCCTTTCTTTCCCATGAAGTGATTTCAACAGGAAGCACTTAGTTATTTAGAAAAAATAAATTAAAATCGCCGATAAGATTGTTAGTTATTGTCTTTTTTCTCCATAAAATCTTTTATTTCTTATTGTTAAAAATAATTAATTGCCACTCTCACATGCATATTATAGTTAAAAGTTGTGGTTGGAACCTGTAGGGTAACATTTCTATGGAAATTTCATCCCGAGTCACGTTACATATTTGTCCAAAGTTAAAGCGTTGTAAAAGAAGATTTTATGTTTTTGATCTACATAAAGCATTTGGACGTAAATTCTTGTCATTTCACAACTTTGGACATTGTGAGGATTACCTAAATCGTGTGAATGAAAATGATGAACTGCGCTTAATGTTCCTTTGTTTGAACACACATTGTCGTCTTACTTTCTACCATCTGAAAGCAACTTAATCAAACTTAATGAAACATTACGTGAATTCCAAATGAACTAAAAAGTCTAATGCAATGCTTTTAAATCCACAAATGTCGGAGATGTTTTATGTTTTCATATTTTTGATTAAAAATTATCGGAAAACGGCAGTCAAGGAAAAATTCAAGCTGATGTTCATGTCTCGTAAAACCTTATATCTCGCACCATTATTCAAAATTAGTGTTAACCTTACCGCATACTTTATTTTTCTTGAAAAACATTCACCCTTGCTGCTTTCACATTTGACCTTTTTAACACCAGACACACATCGAAATATTAGCTTATAAATTCTCATAGCGGTAAAAAGGACTTCAAAATTGGAAAAAAACAATGTAACGTAACAAAAGTGTCTTCAAATAATAAATGGTAAGCTAGGACAAATAATATTAAACCATCTATGCCTGTTGGTCTGAAGTGACTATACAGAAATGCATATTAATTAACAAGTTCGAATTATGTATGTGGCTATTTCAACAGTCCTCTTATTTGCAGTATGGTCACTTAATCAACATGTAGTAGTTTGGATTATACTACAAATTCCTAGTTCAATACAGATTAAATTCTGCATTTGCAACATTAACAACATAATTTGTAATCAAATGTAAGTTTTGTTTAAAGAAAAACTGCTTCAATTAAGCCTTTACTTGGACAATAGTATATTAAAATACGAGTTACAGAAGGCATCCATTCAAGCAAGAGTTTGAAACTCCGAAACGAGCCATGCAGCGGCGAGTTGAAGAACAAACGATTGTTTGAATCGCCTCTGTAATGAGTGTTTTATACAATTTTTTCTATATTACAATTTTTTAGTGCTGTTTAAAAAAAAAATCAAAATTTAGGGTATTTGTTTAGGTATTAACTATTATGAATGTGTTGGAAAATTCAACTCAAAATAAAATGGGACCTCAAGATTTTTTCATGTTCGCCACCCAAAATTCGAATAATTGTCAAAAAATTTTGACATTTGACCTTGTTTATGTCTATTTATTGTTATCTATGATTTTGTATAAATGTTTTTTCATAATTATTCAGTAATAGTCCGGTCAAATTAGTCATAAAAATAGTGGTCAAATAACGAAAATTCCGACAGAGCTAAATTTTGGTGGAGACCTTGGGTACACCATTAGAAATAAAGTGTCAAAAGTCCCCATTGATCCCATGTGTGCTAAAAAAGTTATTCGGGGTCAAGGGTCATAATTTAACGTTTTTTAAATTTTGTTCGAAAAGGGTAAGTTTTATCAAAAAAGTAGCTCAGACAAAAATTATAGATCTTAAAATTATCTACATAAATAGTCTTTATACTTTTTTTCTAAGAATCACCATTCCTCAGATATCGATATTCTAAAAGTTGAAGGAGTAAGGTTTAAAAAATTCTATCTGAAAAAAATTTTTAATTTATTTTTTGACATTTTTTTATGTGTATTTAATGATACTGATGATTTTGTATATGTTTTTTTACAATTATTTAGTAAAGGAACAAAAATTTTGCCAATAAAAGCCACAAATAACATTATACAGAGTTACAGTTTAGGATACAGCTTCCTTGTTTCCGCTTCTAATTGCCTGTAGCAAAAAAACTTGGAAAATTATTTTTTCAACAGAAATAAATAGAGTCAAAGTGCAAAATTTAAACTCTCATAACTTCGAAATTTTTATAGATAGATTTTTTTTTTAATTTTTTCCATGTTCCTGGTACCTTACCCTACATAGCATTTTTCTTTGGGGCGCGAGTTCTGAAGCACTCTGTATGTGCATATCATGTAGAACGTGACTCCTTCAACTTTTAGAATCGCGATCTCTCAGGAATGGTGATTCTTAGAAAAAAAAAACTATAAAAGACTATTTTTGTAGATAATTTTAAGATCTATAGTTTTTGTCTGGGCTACTTTTTTGATAAAACTTACCTTTTTCGAAAAAAATCTAAAAAACGTCAAATTTTGACCTTTGACCCCGAATAACTTTTTTAGCACACTTGGGATCGATGGGGACTTTTGACACTTTATTCCTAATGGTGTATCCAAGATCTCCACCAAAATTTAGCTCTGTCGGAATTTTAGTTATTTGAAATGTCTATTTTGATCGGACTATAAAGCTACAAAAACTTTGCCAACAAAAGCCACATAGTTAAAATTCGGAATACAGCTTCTTTGTTTCATGTAGCAAAAAAAACATGTAAAATTATTTTTCCAACAGAAATAAATAGCCAAAATGCAATAATATAACTTCTAAATTCTTATCGATAGAATTTTTTGACATTTTTTTCAGTGTTCCTGGCATATTATCTTACTTTTCTCTGATTTGCGAGTTGTGAGACAGCCTGTATAAGTACAGGGTGTTTCACATAATTTTACGGGGCCTACGCCTGTAAGATGCAAGCAATAATAATAATTTTGTAGTTTGTCCACCCTTTCAAAAATTACAACATTTTTAGTTAGTGATTAAGATAAATAAAATAGAATTATATTTATGCCGTCTCTTGATAGAACAAATGATAATTGTTTCTGAAAAACTGCAGTTTAAGACTATTAATGAAACAGTGATTAGTTTGACAACTACTGTCATGGGTTTACAAAAATTAAATAATTAAACGTGTATTTTTTGTATCTAGTGTTTTATGAATTTTATATATTTGGGTGCGAACATTAGGAGCAAGCCTCGTAAAATTGTATGAAACATCCTGTATATAATATTTTTGCACTACAAAAAAATCTTTCTAAATCTACACTACTTATTAATAAAATTATTTTTCAAATAACACCCTATTTTTTATTCATCGTAAACTTGTTTTTATTCATCCTTATAATATCCAACAAATTCAATTTTACTTCAAAATTTTTATTAAACTGTATTATTTCACAAAAATTTCCTTTAGATTTATCCATCAATCAATAAAATGTGTATATTTTTCCTACCTCTCACGTACTTTCTAAAAGTGTGTAAATAAATAATAACAAAAAAGTAAAAAGTCAGCACCTTCTTCAAGGAGAAAAACGTATGTATTATTTAAAAGTTTTCTCGGCAAATAAGAACTTGCAAATGCTTTAATTGGACAAGTTTGAACCACGCAACAGATGCGTAATAGATTAACTGTCGTTTGTATCATTTTTGTGCGTTTGTTGTTTTATTTTTAACTAGTACCAATAAAACAAATTTCTAGAAAAACTGGTTACCAGAGGGGACAAAACCTTGTCTTTTAATTTTTTCTACATCTTTATAAAACTTAATTTTTGTATTTAAAATCGTCAATTTATTATTATCATTATTATTTGAATATGTAATAATTCTTGGGAAAAATGTTTTCGTAGAATTTTAAGTGTGACAACTTGTAATTAAAACATTTTTCAACACGTGTTTGTAAATATTTTTCTGTTGATTTGATTGAAATGTAAACATTTGTCTAATTTGATAGTCTAGCACTAAGTATGATTCGATCCTTTTAAACATACCTCCCGGTTTCCCCCAACTCTTCCTTGTACTTCCCCCATCCATAAAATTGAATTGTACTTTCGAAATGAACTATTAACAAGATCAAAGTCTTGCATCCCAATCTGGGTTAAAATTAAACAACACACCACTCACAACTGACTATAATCCCAACACATGCCTTCCCACACTTTCCACATAATGCGATACCACCGCAATCAAGATTTATCACTACAATTTGCATTGTTTACACGTTGATCGTATTTGCATTCGCAAAAACGTTCATAAATAAATCACGTTAGTGGTCCTTTAGACGACACCAAACATCACGTTTGGAAATGTTTGGAAAACGACGACCATATGGGTCTGGGCACGCACGACCTGACGCCGTCTCAAGACTTCTTAAACCCAAGCCAGTGTTCAAGAGACTGCTTGCTTACTCTCTCCTCGACTGGCTGACCCAACGTGGTCGATGAAATGGTTTGTGGTAGGACGCACAAGAAGTAGCGGAAAGTGCTCAAGACGCGTGATGGGTTAATTGCCGGGCCTTTAAACACCAGTTCTTGGAGATAGCTTGCTTTCAAGGACGCTGATGGACTAGTTGGAGATTTAAATCTCCAACTACTCTGCGGGCTGAGTAGACGTTCAACAAATTAAACAACAAATTCAAAACAGATTTTTTGGGTCATTGCAAAAACAGTAAAAGTTTCGTACAACTTGGAGGACAAAATAAAGTATAAAAGTAGTAAGAAGGCCCCTTCAACACACTGCCACTTTTTATGGAAAAACACCCCGATTTTCAAGGGTAAACTGAAAAGCAGAAAAAATCGTGAAAACACCCCCGTTTTAAAGGTATATTTTAAAATTATAACATTATATATTATAACATTTTCAAAGATTTTATGTTTTTCTGTTGGGCCACTTTAGCACACATTGGAATACGATTCCGGCCAAACAAATTCACCTTTGAATATTTAACATTTTTTTAAATATTTAAAATTAAAAATCAAATATTGTTATAGATTGAACAAATGAATTATATTAGAATTGAATAAAATTGCAATTATCAAAAAAGATTTGTGTTCTTGACATAAATAAAAATATGAATAATTTATTTATTATTTTATTGATGATACACCTTTGTTAATAGAAAAATGAAAAAATGAGAAAAATATCAGAGTTAGCTGAATAAGTTGCCATGAAAATATACAGGGTTATTCACGGGAGGGTTATTTCTGAATTTTTTTTTGCCGCAACCAACAATACCAATCTCACAAACCACTAAATTAAATATGTTATTTCTCTAAAATTACAAATCAAAGTAAGTTGGATAAATTTGCCAGAAATGTCAGATTGACAGATAACCTATTTTTAATCAAAATTCAACATATAAATTAACAAGTTAAGTTAATATGAAAGGTGTTTGAAATGTTTACCATCGACTTCTAAACATGCGCCTAGTCGGTTGGTAAACATAACAAAACATGTCGCATCGTTTGAGAGATATTTTTTTTACTATAATGTCACAGAGACAAGACTAATAACAGCTATCGTGGATTTTAGTTATAATTATTTTCAAAAATAATTATTTTCAAAATTTGAAATCAAGAAGTTGTTGCAATATGTATAATGGGTTGCGGCAAAAACAAATTCAGAAATAACCCTCTCGTGACTAACCATGTATAATAAAAATATAAAAAACTTATGAAATATAAAAAACTTCAAATCGTCGTCTGCGTTGATTGACAGTAATAGAGCTAGAGTATATTATTATACAACCCATAAAACACAAAAGTAAATTTTTGTATACAAAAATTTATCAAGGTTTCAAACCAAAATATACAGATTCCATTCAAGCTCAGACTCGTCGGCTATTTTTTGGGATTGCCCAGACCACCAGACTTTTATTACTGTCAATCAACGAAGATGACGCTTCAGATAATTTGCTTTTTAACTGTCACATAGTGAAATGTGTTATGCAAAAGTTGGCAGCCTGGAGCAATGGCGGTTATCCGACGATGGGGGTACACAAGTAAGGGTTATTCATAAATATGAAGCAATATTTGAACCTCAAAAATGACCCATAAAATGATGTTAATTTTAATTATAACTCGTGTCCTATCTCTACTGATAAGAATTTTACAGCCCTCGGAATATGGGTATGGAAATTTGATTTTTTTGTAGCAACTTTGAAACTATTTGACCAAATATTATAAAATTTGGAACATTTCCCTGTGACAACATACCCTTTGAACTGGTAATCACGAAAACCGGATACATCCACTCAATTTCCGGTTCCAGCAGTTGCAGGTCACATTTTCTGTGTTTTCCCATTTTTTTGCTCCCTTATACCAATTTTTTATTGCCCAAATAGTTAGAGTAATCAATTTCGAATAAAAAACGCATAACCTTCAAAGTTTCAAAGTTATTTTAATTTAAACTGAGGACTGCACAACGCTGAAATCAAAAAATAGGGATTTTGAATAAGTGGTATCCACGGCAACCAATGACCATGGTCACAAACATCCCTACCAGGCATCTGTTAACTTTGACGATAAATTTTTGTGAATTTTTTATACATTAAATGCTACGAGATCGATTTGGATTTATTGTATATTACGTTTGGAGTCTAAAGTAAGCTCTTTTGTTAAACATTTTCAATTAATCGCCCAAGAATCGTCCAATCTCAAAGTTGACAGATGCCTGACAGCGATTTGTGGGACCATGGTCATTTGTTGCCGTGGATACCATTTATTCAAAATCCCTATTTCTTGATTTCAGCGTTGTGCAGTCCTCAGTTTAAATTAAAATATCTTTGAAACGGTCCATTTTAGGGGTATTAAAGGTTATGCGTTTTTTATTCGAAATGGATTACTTTATCTATTTGGGTAATAAAAAATTTGTGTTAAGAGAGCAAAAAATGGAAAAACACAGAAAATGTGACCTGCAACTGCTGTAACCGGAAATTGAGTAGATTTATCCGGTTTTCGTGATTACCAGTTCAAAAGGTATGTTGTCACAAAGAAATGTTCCAAATTTTATAATATTTGGTCAAATAGTTCCAAAGTTATTACAAAAAAATCAAATTTCCATACCCACATTCCGAGGGCTGTAAAATTCTTATCAGTGGAGATCGGACACGAGTTATTATTTAAATATAGGTCATTTTTGAGGTTCAAATATTGCTTCATATGTATGAATAACCCTGTATGTAAACGTATTTATCTTGTGATGAGTGTTGTAAAACCCAATATAATACATGGTGGCAGCGGAAAAGTGTAAAAATGGAAGGTAGCAGTCTGAATTTACCGGGGCCGATGCAGTTCGAAGGCAACGTGCCGACACTCTGGGAGAAATATAAACAACGGTTTACCTTATACTTGGAAGCCAGTGAAAAACAGACAAAACCAGATAAGTTGAAAATTGCGTTGTTGTTATATCAAATGGGCGATCAAGCCATTGATATTTTTAATACTTTCACGTGGGGGGAAGGTGAAAATAAAGAAGTTTTTAACGACGTAATTAGGAAATTTGATGAATACTGCAAACCCAGAAAGAATATCGTGTTCGACCGCTACGAGTTTTTTTTCAAGGTCACTGGAAATAAGCGAACCAGTGGATAAATACGTTACAGAACTTAAAAAGTTAGCGTCATTGTGTGAATTCGACCAGGACACAGAAAATATCACTGAAAATTTGATTCGAGACAGGTTGGTACATACTAGGAATCCGTGACAAAGCGGTACAAGAACGATTGTTACGAGAACCAGACCTCAGATTAAAAAAAGCACTGGATTTTTGTCGAGCAAATGAGATCAGTAAGTAAACAACAAATAGAAGAAATAAAAGGGACATCGAACGTAGATGCCATCAAGAATATGAAGAAGACTTCGAACAAGGACAGGACACCAGAACCACAAAGGAATAATTTCAAGGGCAACAAGTGTATGAGGTGCGGTGTATATCATCAGAAAGGAAAATGTCCAGCAGCAGGGAAGACTTGTTTAAAATGCAAGAAAAAGGACCATTTTGCGAAACAGTGTTTTACGAAGCTTAATCAAACAAGACAAGTGGCCATGGTTCAAGGTCAGTACAAGGAAACTAAGAAATTGACGAAGAGGGCCAGCTGGTGGTATTATCAATAAGGAAAGTGGACAGCAGCAAGTCCTGGAAGGAAGTCGCACAAGTTGGTAACAAGAAAATTAATTTTAAAATTGATACAGGGTCAGATGCGAATTTAATAACCAAAAGCTTATATGAACAGTTAAGTCCGAAAACCTCACTAAAGAAAGCGACAAGCTTGTTACTAAATTACGATTACGATACGTCTAATTGAAGAATTTTCGGATATATTCGGTTCGGGAGGTCTAATCAAATGCAAACCGTATCACATAACCGTAAAAGAAGACGCTAAATCTTTTGTTTCGTCAGCAAGGAAAGTGCCATTGTCCTTGAGAGATAAGCTTAAGAAAGAGCTAGATGCTATGGTTAAAAACACAGTTCTAGAGCCTGTCAGTGAGTCCACTGACTGGGTGCATCCCATAGTAATAGCTATTAATTAAACCTAACGGCAATTTACGAGTTTGTATGGGTCCGAGATGGCTGAATGCTTATATTAAAAGAGAATATTACCCCTTACCGACTATCGAAAACTCCTATTTTTTACAGTACTTGACGCGTCATCTGCATTTCATCAAGTTCCATTAGATGCAGAGAGTTCAAATTTATGTACCATAGCTACGATTTTTGGACGATACAAGTATAAAACTATGCCTTATAGTGTCCCAAAAGTGTTCCAAAAAATAGTTAACCAAATTTTTGACGGATTAAGTGGTATAGTGCCTTATATTGATGACATTTTGGCATTTGGAAGTACCATAGAGGAACACGATACGAAAAACGAACACAGGTTAAAGGAAGTTTTGAAGAGAGCCCGTGAATACAATCTACATTTTAGCAAGAGTAAGCTACAAGTGGCAAAGGAAAATGTTAAATTTTTGGGACATTATATTTCGAACAAAGGAGTACATGTTGACGACAAAAAAGTTGAAGCAGTGAAGAATATGAAAAGCCCAAGTAATAAACAGGAATTGCAAAGATTCTTAGGAATAATCACCTATTTAGGAAAATTCATATCGAATTTATCGCAGCAAACAGCATGCCTTAGAAAACTGTTAAGTAACAACAACAATTTTAAGTGGGAAGAAAACGAGGAAAAATCATTCCTAACCCTCAAAAATGCAATAACAACAGCCCCAGTGTTGAGTTTTTATGATCCGAAACAAGCTTTATGTATTTCGGTTGATGCAAGTAGTTACGGATTAGGAGCTGTTGCTCTTCAAGGAAATAGGCCGGTTGCGTACTGCTCCACATCTTTGAATGTTACACAACGAAAATATGCTCAAATAGAAAAGGAACTATTAGCAGTGTTACACGAACTAGAAAGGTTTCACTTAAATACCTACGGAAGGAAGGTAGTTGTGCAAACAGACCATAGACCCCTATTGAGCATAATTAAGAAGCCAATGGACGCAGTGTCTCCTAGGTTGCAAAAAATGATTTTGAAGTTAATGAGATATGACTTTGAACTCCAGTATGAACTCGGGAAAAGGCTTTGTGTGGCAGATGCTCTGACTAGAGATCCGGTACCTAATAATAAAATTAATACAGAATATTTGGAAGGACAAGCAGCGGCTGTACACACTGTGGTGTGTGCTACAACTAAACGGGTGGATGAATTAAGGCAAGCCGTCCATTCCGATCCAGTTTGTCAAGAAATTATTACATTCATGAATCATGGATGGCCTTCTCACAAATATGTCATGAAAGGAGAAGCAAAATTGTTTTGGGATGTGAAAGAGGAACTCCATTACGCAGATGGGTTATTGTTTCGAGGAAATCGAATTCTTATACCAAAATAAGAATGACTGAATGTTCTAAAGAAGCTTCATTCTTCACATCAAGGAGTGAATTCATGCCAAAGCAGAGCAAGAACTTCAATTTACTGGCCAGGGATGTTTAAAGACATTGAAGATTACATTTTAAGTTGTCAGACATGCCAGAGACATGCGAAATCTAATTCTCGACAGCCACTAATCAATTATGAAATCCCGAGGTTACCGTGGAACAAAATCGCTCTTGACTTTGCTAAAATCAAAGGAAAAATCTACCTTATTATCACCGACTATTTTTCAAAGTTCACAATAGTCAAGTTTATGTCATCAACTACGGCACAAGCTGTCATAGCCGCTTTGGAAGAAACCATATCAAATAACGGAATACCACTAATGATAATGTCAGACAACGGTCCACCATTTGATTCAAGAGAATACAGCAATTTTTTAAAGGACTACGACATTAAATCCGTTACATCAAGTCCCTATTACCCAAGATCCAATGGACTTATAGAGAGGGCGGTACAAACCGTGAAGGGACTACTAACCAAAACATTGAACACAAGTGGCAATATTACAAAGGCTATCCTAGATTATAATTGTACACCCAAATACAATCTTCCGTCTCCTTCAGAATTATTAATGGGACGACGTCTACGAAATAATCCACTAATTACAGAAGCACTACTTACTCCAAAATACGACGTGACTCTAACCAAAGAGAAGTTAAACCAAAAACAAGTCAAACAAAAGGAATACCACGCCCAATTTTGCAAAAAAACTTCCAAACCTAGAAATTGACCAAGACATTCTTGTGCAGAAAGGTCAACGAAACTGGATATCTAGAAAAATAATAAAGAAATGTAAAGAACCAGAATCCTACGAAGTTATTACGGAAGATGGTGGAAATTATAGAAAAAATCGCGTACATCTGCGACCCTTGAGAAAACAAACAGGCCAAGAAACTACACCTCTTCCAAACAGACAGAAGAAAGAAGACGGCATAAGTGATGTGCTAAATAAAAGCAGAGACAATGAAGTGCGGGAAATGCTAAATGAAAGTGAAGTACCAAAAGCAGAGTCTAAAATAAAAGGTGCCGATCCTCAAGAGATAAATCAAAGTGTGCCACTCCAGGAAATAGCTCCAACGACACCAAATAAAAGAAACCCGCGTATTTAGAGGACTATCAGTTATTTTGATTTTATGTTTTATTGTTAATAACATCGCCGTCTCCATAGAAATAATCCTTTTCTCGCCTGGGCATTTTTTGAGCTCAAGTGATTCCCGTTGGCGCTTTAATCTGGGGAAAATTTTTTGACAAATCCAGTTTTTTAGCTTAAAGGGTTCAATCTCATAATATCAATTCTCCCTGGCGTATCTTGTTTTGTTGTATCCTTCCTTCCCAGCATTTATTAATTGCGTTATTTTTCGTTAATAATTAAAAATTATTCAGTTTTTCCTTAGTAACCCCCGTAACTAAGAAAAAATCGGAATCACTGCTCCAATGCATTTTTTACGAAATGCCCAGGCGGGATATTGATACATTTGATTAAGGAGGCGGTGGTTAATAATGAAGTTTCAGTTTATTTTGTTTTATTCTTTTGTTAAAAGGGGGCGTGTCACATAGTGAAATGTGTTATGCAAAAGTTGGCAGCCTGGAGCAATGGCGGTTACCCGACGATGGCCGTACACATGTATGTAAACGTATTTATCATGTAATGATGTAATGAGTGTTGTAAAACCCAATATAATACATTAACAACCTTAAATTTCACCCAGGAACATGAGCATAGTTTCGTCTGTGGTTGAAATTGATGTTTGTAACCCCTCTGTCGAAACAGACGCATTGGATTCTTCACTCGTGCTTGAGGATGATGAATCATTTTCAGCTAGATCTCCGAGCGCTCTCATAAAGGCGGCTAAACTAGCAGCACTTCTGAATCTTATTCTTATAAACATAACAACGCTCATCACTATTTCCACAGTTGTGTCATCAATTTTATCAATCTCCTGCACCGGCGGGCGACAATTCTGTATGACATCAATTGTAAGTCGCTTGTGGGTAGCCGTGACCATTAATTCACTTTCTCCACCATTATTGAAAGAAACAAAGGCCAATTGTTGAAACATTGATCTTTTCCTTCTCTTTAACTGTATAATTTCTAATTCGTCAAGCAATCTACTATCAACACCATATCGTTTTTCTTGTACCATTGTTTTTCTGTAACAGATAAAGAAATGCATAAAAAGTTGTGTACCTAGCGTATTCAGCCACATAAAATAAGACAGCCCCCTTCCATGAGTTTTGAATTAATGAACCACAGAAGGAACCATCGAAATACACAAAAATTAATAACAATTCTCCTTACCTTATTTTGTGTTCTTCAATAAACTCAAGAAAAGTCACGTAAGAAAAGATGAAAGTGATTTGACAATATTTTGACATTTGACTTCGCGCCATCTTTCTTGAACTCGATTTTACAATATATTGACCACAATTGACTTTCTTCCGAAGCAGGCAACTCAGTTAACGTTTCTACTCTAAAAGGATTAATATCCCAACGGTATTGTATCAAAGTTTTCTAGAATAACTCTCTTGTCATAAACAAAACCAAATTCTTTTGTTTCTATTTTATTTAAAAGTTCTTTAGTTTTAGAATCTCTGATAATTCGATTATATTGTGTACTGATTTTTTTGTCTTTGTATTCTAAAATATTATTTATACTAACGGAATTAATCTTTTCGAACGTTTCATAATTTAACGTAAATCCTTTTATTCTACAAACAACTTTACCTGTATTAGTCTTATAACAATAACTTTTTGAACCTGTTGATATCCAGTCTATTATCCATACGCCTTTACCTAATTCGTCTGTCCAATCTCCCAATAGACAGCCTGTTTTAACAGTGTTTTTTCCATCATCTATATATACAATACTATCTGTATCATAATATGCTACGCTTTTTCCTAATTTATCTAACATTTTGTATAATCTTAGTCTTGCGTTTGCAGTTGTAAAAGCAGCTATAAATATATTGGTATTGAAATCATTTTCTATATAGCAATCTTTTAACTTATAATCAATTTGTAACATATTTTAATTTATATCGTTTATACGCACCGCCTCCTTAATCAAATGTATCAATATCCCGCCTGGGCATTTCGTAAAAAATGCATTGGAGCAGTGATTCCGATTTTTTCTTAGTTACGGGGGTTACTAAGGAAAAACTGAATAATTTTTAATTATTAACGAAAAATAACGCAATTAATAAATGCTGTGAAGGAAGGATACAACAAAACTAGATACGCCAGGGAGAATTGATATTATGAGATTGAACCCTTTAAGCTAAAAAACTGGATTTGTCAAAAATTTTCCCCTGATTAAAGCGCCAACGGGAATCACTTGAACTCAAAAAATGCCCAGGCGAGAAAAGGATTATTTCTATGGAGACGGCGATGGTTGCACCCATATTTTGTCTTTGTTCAAATTTACCCCATAAAGAATTTAAGCATATCTTCGCAACAGCCCTCTTCCCAGGATTATTTTCTATTTTACCCAATTCAATACCCAGATTTTCTTTTACAGCTTTTCTAAATTCTTCTTCTGATTCAAAATCATCCTGCCAAGGGCTTGTTTCTAATTTAATTTTCATAAACGCTTTCACATATCCTTTAAATAAATTTGATGATTTTTCGTAAAAATGCCAAACCTCATCAATAGTTATTATTTTGTAACCCTTTTCAATTGTTTTTTTTACTTCGTTCGTACACCAGGTTCCTCTGATAATTCTTTGAGATTCCGTATGAGAATATTTATCTTTTTGATTATTTAATTTTGCGCGCAATTGACATAATGGAAATGTTAGTTTTTCATCACCATATTTGGTTTTATTCTTAACAGGTAAAACGGGGTGATACAAATCTTTTGGTGGTAAAATTGCACATTTTATTAAACCATACCAATCTGAATTATACGTACGAGGTTTGAATATTTTAGTAGGATGTCCAACTGGATAATCATCGTAACATTGTACTGTTGGATATACACTGCAAATATCTATATATTTCATTTTCTTCCCCTTGACGCGCAATTTTGTTGCATTCGTTTTTCCTCCAAAGAATGCGTTTCTAGGATTAAGTTCTTCCAATTCCTTAATTTCTTCTTCAATTTGTTTCATTTCTTTCTTATATTCTTTTGACTTTGTCCACTCACATTCCCACATTTCTATTAAATTATAACCGGCCTTTGTTATTTGCTTACTTCTTTCTAATGTTTGTTCATAAAGATCTTCCATAGTTGTTTTATTCTTATTATTAATAAAATCTGAACTATAACATTTAGTACAACCATGCCAAAAATACCCGTGATATTGGTAAATAGTATTGGATTTTTTATCAAATCCGTCAACTTTTGATCCACATATTTTCACTTCACTATTGTTTAATGCGTGTTTTATATTTGGATTATGAAAACTATTTAACCATGAAATTGATTGTTGAGAATATTGATCTTTTTTCGGATTATCAACAACAGCTATTGTATCTTTCTTAATATATTTTGATCTATATACAGGGCAATTCAGATTAGATAATGAGCCTGACGATCTGGCGATGCAACCCAAAAAACAAATTTCATTTACAGTTGGAGACAAAATACTTTGGTCGTCAATGTCACTTGAGTGACATTAAATTGTAAAGTATGCTTTAGGACTGTTAACCTTATTTTTAGCTACTGTCAATCATAGTTGACAAGTTGTATGTACATATTTTTGATAGGAAAATATAACAGTTGTCATTAATTTGAAATTGTCATTTATTTTAACGTTAAAGCTTGAATTACATTAAAGTGTCAAAAAAGTGACGACCAAAGTATTTTGGCTCCAACTGTACGTTTTGATCTAATTTTAATTACGATTTGCATTTGCAATCCAAGTTATCTTATATGGCTCTGATAGTGCTTTGACAAGCAATTTATGATTTATAAAAAAACTGTTTGCCTACCTTTAATGTTTCATTGTTTCATACATTTTGTATTGGTTTTACACCGAAAAGACTTCTGTAATTGCCCTATCATACCGCGAGAACTGAATGGCACTAATAATCATTCTCTGCACTGATGTCAGAGTGACACAAGGTGATAACTTGGATTCAACTTGCAAATCCTAATTGAAATTGGATCAAAGGTGTAAATGAAATTTGTTTTTTGGGTTGCATCGCCAGATCGTCAGGCTCATTATCTTGTCTGAATCGCCCTGTATAGCCAAGCAAACACCTGCAATAGTAATATATCTAAAAGGATCTATATTCGCAATTTCTAGAAACTGATTTTTTAATTCAAGACATCCTCTTCTTAATAGATCAACATCAGAATTACAATAATCATAAAATTCTTTTTTAAAATCAAACACACAATTTTCTTTTCTTTTTTGTTTATGCCATTCTAAAAACTCTTCCCTTTCTTTTGGTTTCATAGAATTAACACCATAATATTCTGTATCAGGTATTTTTCCAAGATAGTTATGATTTTCTGTTGTATTGAAGAAATGTGGAAAATAACCTTTTTTAAGTTCTTTTAGACCGAATGTTTTGGGGAAGTTTTTTAAAGGTCCTTGAACAAAATTACTACTATCAATAATTCTTAAATTAATTGATTTTATTTCCATTAACATTATTTTAGATCCATTATATACGCAGAAAGGTTTAATACCGTTTTCAACGCAATATTTTAAAATAAAGTAAGAATCATAACCTTTAGAATAATGTGCAATAGCTGTGTGTCCTCGATGATCTCTAGAAATTAACCATTTACAGAAATCTTCGTTAGCCTTAAAAGAATTAACATTTCCGCTAAAATCGTGAGATGTAACTAAATTAGCGATGTGTTTGCCTGTTTCTTGCATCGCTTCATAATCAAAGAATAAATATTTTTCTGTATAGGTACAATTATTTGTATGCTTTCTAGAACCACAGTCAACACACACAAAAGGTTCTTCATCATCCAACGGTTTTTTAACACAGGTTTTGCATTTCTTGCATTGATAAAGCCTATAGTTTTTGTTTTTAATTTTTTCTTTAGAGTATATTTTAGTACAACCTTTTTCGTTACAATTTTCACAGCCTTTTACTTTGTATATTTTATCACCGTCTTTCATTGTTGTTTGACAGATTCCATCTTTTTGTCGTTTCCATTGCATATAACATTTATGTTTTAATATTTCAACTTCTTTATAACAATTTCGACATTTTTTCCCATCCACATCAGTGTTCTTTACTACCCTCTTCTATCATTTCGTTAACTTTTTTAATGATTTGATTACCCTTCTTGTTATTTCCTTCTTCAATTATTTGGGACTCTACATGTTTTTCCATGTGGCCAATTTTTGGTGGTCTACAGATATTTGGGTACTTTTAGGGTGCATAAAAATTAATGCTTTTTGAGAGGTTTTAGGCCTTTTTCGATTGTTTCCTTTAAGGCAAACAAATAAATTTGTAGAATTCTGCCTTGTTTTTTAAGACGCTAAATGTCCTGGTCCAGAAGTAACATTTTACATCCTACTTAATTAGTTTTAATAAGATTTTGTGATTGTTTAAAATAAAGGTTTTGTTGTCGGAGAATGCAAAATCAAATAGATAACAACAATAATAATTCAAGTCAACAAAATATCGGTGTAATTGCACTTGTAAACAGAATTAATAATGTATAATAATGGAGCATCTTAAACAACTTGTTTTGATGTTGTGTTTATCATCATAGGAAGTTTCAAACTTTGTACACATGATATTCTCAAGTGGAGCTTCTCATTTATCAAACATTACAGTTTAAAGCCCGGGTATAAATATCACGAGAGGAAAGAGATTTTTTCTCATTTTTGTGTTCATATTTATTCGAATTTTTAACGTTTAAAAGATTAAATTTGGTGTTATTGTTATCTTTTGCTATAGGCCCTAAATAGATATGGTGGTTTAAAAGACACTTTCCAGTCAAATATTAATTGTACACAACAATTATTATTTTAATTAAAAGTTCACTTAGTTAAATAAAAATTAAACTCATATAAACATGTATGTATGTATTTAATTTGGAAAACAATACGTTGCAGTTTTGTTAATCCTCATTTTACATTTTATGTGTTTATGATTTTAAAATTATGTCTAGCTGTATTAAATATTAATAACAACTAAATAAATAATTCATAATTTTAAATTTCAAATGTTTTAGATATGTGTTTTTCGAATTTGATGAACTATAAAAATACAAATACAATAAAAAAGTAGGTAATATTTTACATTTCATTATTTTATTTGTTAAAATTCAAACCCAATTTTGGTTGCTTTTGAAGAGAAATCTTTAAAAAAACATCTTGCAGATTTCACCTATGTCACAGTAAACTACAAACACAACACGCGAACCTAAATTAATATTAATAGTTTGAAAATGAAAGGTAGAAACGTTTGATGCTTGAAGTACAAAAAAATTGGAAAATTCCACTTGTAATCTTTTCACTTCACGCCATTAATCATTTTTAGCTTAAACCGCCTTTGTTAAATTATTATTCTCAGTTTTAGGAGCTAATTTAAATGAAAACTAAATAGTATGATACTCGTATACCGTTTAGTGACTAAACTTTAGTCAATAAATACCTAATTCATATTGTCAGAAAAAAAAAAATAACTTGGTTTCATTTCTCTTTCATTAGTATTCATCAATAGAAGAACCACTCTATATGGGTCTGGTCAGCATAATTTGATATTTAGGATACTAAATCAATAAAATTTAGAATTGCTGAAATTAATCATAATTAAAAGATCAATGATGTCTCATTTTAACAAATTTACTTTTATTGATTTTGTATCTACGTCAAAATCAAATTGTCCTGGTCCTGACACTACTGATTCATATAGTGATCCGAAATCTAATTAACCGAATTTAGGGAAAAAAAAAGAAATAACACAATAATAGCCCTATTAAGGTTTTAAACGAAAAGAATACCAATTTCTGAAAAAACCTAATTTAATTTAATGGTAATTGACAATTACAATTATTTATTTTAATTACTTTTTGCACTAGAATCTTAATCAATTAAACTGCGTCTTTTGCAAAGTTAATTACGAAGGTGGATTATCATTGCGTCTTATTATGGAAACAATAACAAAGAACGCACTTTTAGTCTATGCTGCAACCAACAATACACCTAAAATTTAAGATGTTTTTCACATATACTTTTGATATTTTTAAATTGTTTTTTTGTGCAACACTTTTGACTTTTTTAGACTTTTTTACGTTTAAATAAGGTAATTTGTATTGTAAATAGATGTCTTCAAATTGGTGCAAGTAATAAAAAATTAAAGTTTTTTAAGTAAAATATTGTTTTATTTATTTTATAAGAACAAAACACAACTGAATTTAAAATGAAGGTGATTTTGTAGTCCTACAACTTCTTTTTACGTTAACGTTTTTAAAAAGAGCGCCAATTTCATGCGTCATAAATAAAATACGTGTCACTTGTCAAGTCTACCAACTGTCAAATTTTGTGATGTACGTGTCGGTGTTGTAATGTGCCGGTGATTTTTCCACAATAAAATGCATTTCAAACTCCTACTATGTAACTATATTTAAATAACTATTAGTAGGAACAAAGAAATTAATCTGTAATTTTTTAGTACCTGCACTTGTATTTATATTCAGTACCGCCACTCATGCAAGCGTTGGAGGTTACATTTGCCCTAATGATCGAAAAAAGTTATTGACTGTCTTAGTTAAGGCTTTAATAAACGTACAAGGCGACTTTTCAACACCCTATTATGGCATTAAAGGCTTTAAGGCTCTTAACGAACAACTGGCGCCTGTTCTAGTCAAAGATAATTGTGCACATATAAAAAAATCTTACAAAGCTGACTGCAGTCCTGAGGAGAATTTCCAGGGATTGTCGGCTTGGTATCTGTTGGGGTGTTCCGGAAAACTTCACACTGATGCTACAATTAACGTAAGTTTGTAACATTTTATGAATGTTTTTCTAAACTGAACAATTTTTAGAATTTGAGAACTGTCCTAGAAAGCGATAAATCAACAACGACTGATATTCGATACGCTGCTGAAACATTAAAATTACTAGGGGCTGCAATCCCAAATGGAGCTAAAGTCGCCCAACTCATCCAAACCAAACTTAAGGAAGATGACAGTTTGCAAAGTCTAGGGCACGCATTACACGCAGCTGCCCTTCTAGGCACTGCCGGTAACTTCATCCAAGACCGCATTGAAGAAGTCGTAGTTCAAGCTGATGAAGTCGATGGAAAACTCCTCCAATGGGAAGGGGGCCTCACCACCACTTCTCTTCTCATAACCGGCCTTCTGCGTTTTCCTGGAGCCAAGCCTCTCAACGCCCAACAAGCCGAAAAACTGGCAACTTATTTACTAACCAGACGAACAGTCCAGACCCCTAAAGGAGCCCTAGCTTTGGTAGAAGCAACCACTAGCTTGGCTTCAAGCGACGTCTCCCCTGTCAGTATCACAATCGCAGGCCCCGCTCAAGTCACCCTCGACAAACCTGAGCTAAAAATACATATTTCGGATATTCTTGGTAGGCCCTTGAAGGCCCCCCCGACTCCAGTCGTGGCCCAATCAGCGACGCGAATCACCGACGATGTGGTGGTTTTGTCCAAACAGCCCCTCAGCCCCGGGACTACCCCAGTTGAGTTTATTTTGCCATTGCGACTCGAGCCAGGACAATATCGCATCGCTCTCACCGCAGGCGCGCATTCCACCACATTGACTGTCAGGGTTTTGGGGCCGGTGACGCTCGAGTGGCTGCAAATCGGGTTGGGGGACGCGGACGGCAGTGCAGCCCCCAGACTTACTAAACTGCAACATCCCTCAAAACTGCCCAGTCCTCTACGTGCCGATTCGAGTCATCATCTTGTTGCTAAATTTTCAATTTCGCGAGTCGTACATCAATCATTTTTGCGGCTTTATTCCGGCAAGAAAGAGATTGTATTTGTTGCTGAGCCTGACAGTAGTAAACTGTACAAAATTGGGGTTAATTTAGCTTCGGAATTGGCCCATTCTGGGACTTTTGAAATGGAATTGATTTTGGGAGACTCGGTGATGAGTAATCCCATTCGTTGGGTCCTTGGTACGATCGAGGTTAATTTGAGTACACCCGAACCGGAGATAAAATCACTTAGGGGGCCTAAACCCGAAATTAAACATCTTTTCAGACAGCCGGAAAAACGACCACCGGAAATTGTTTCAATGCTTTTTACAGGATTGACGGCTTCTCCGTTGTTACTTTTGGTTATTTTGTGGTGGAAAATTGGGGTGAATTTTGGCGGGTTTACCACACTTTCAGTACCATTCCATGTCGGTTTTGGGGGGATTTTGTATTTGTTTTTCCTGTTTTGGTGGAAACTAGACATGTTTACTACTTGTGCTTGGCTGATTCCAATAGGAGGTTTCACGTTTTTGGCCGGTCATAAGTTATTGAGTCATATAGCAAAACACAAAAAAGCATGAGATAACACTGATTGCATTGCAACTTAGTGTCCAAGTTTTGTTGTTTAATTTGTTTAAATTTGCTTCAATTCGTCCCAATGTTACGTTTTTAATACGCCGGCATATTTGTAAAGACTTTTGTAAGAAATAAAATACAGTACTGGTACTTTAATTTTTATTTAGAAATTCCTTAAATACTTAATTTACAAAATACATCAAATTTAATTTAATTTAAGTTTCTGGATTATTTTGCTTTTGCAAAAGCGGATTTTGTTTTAATTGTGTTAAATACTCCTCAGCCATAGAACACGCTTGCTCTATTTCATAATTGTGTGAAACCAGAGCTACCCATTTTGCTTCCAAATTTTTCAACTGCTCGCCGCCTTTGGTCTGTAAGGATTTCCTCTGCCAATTCACTTCTTGCAAGGCTTGTCTCAAATCAGCCAATTTCTTACTCGCTATCTTCTCCAAATCCGTTAACGTTTGTAAATACCTTTGCCAAGCTGGACAACAATACTCCAACATCAATTGCAAATTTAATATTCTTACAGCTTGATGTTCAAGTTGTGCTTGTGAATTATCAACACATTCCAGCCATGCACCCACTTCGTTTAATTTGCCACTAGGGGGTGGAGGAAGCTCATATCGTTTCATAGATAGGGTGTCCATAGGAAGGCGATTTTGCAAGCGCTCAAACTCATTGTGAATCATAGGAGTTTCAAAAGATGATACGTTGAGGGGTGGTAGATGTTCCAGATAGTTTTTAGTGGGACGGTAGCGACGGCATTCTTCTTCAACCATCGCAAATGCCTGAAACAAACGGATAAACAATTTTTTTCATTAAAACTCACACCTACCGCTTCTCGGACGCCGGGTTCATCGTAACCTTGGTCGATGTAAGGCAAAGCGTCGACTATAACTTCACCAGCCATTGTTTTCGCAGAAAACTCCAATTATGAATATTAAAATGTTTATCTAAAACGCAGACTTGTAGGTTATCTTACTGTCAAAAAATTCTAGAAGGTTGTGACTAACATTACTATAATTATAGAATTATAAAAAACTATTTGGCTACGAGTCTGTTTCTTTTTGCTGAATGATTTGACTAAGAAATCTGTTGTTGAAAATTTGTTAATTGCAATAAAATATATTATTTTTAAGTAATTAAAAGGGGGCAAGATTGTGACTTTGGACACGTTTCCGAGTTTGACATAAAATTGACAGACTGAGGTTATTGAACTCTTAGTCCAATTTTCAGAGAAAGTTATTTATTTTTGTGCATTATTAATTTTGTTGTTGTAAATGCAACGTTTTGAAGGTCAGTGGTACATTAAATTTAGTTGAGTGCGAAAATGTCTTCAAGTGCAACTTTAATTTCACAAGAAGTAGAAGACTACAACGAATCCGAAAATACCGATGATTTGGAACAAACTTTAGTGTTAGCGGCTCAAGATGCGGATGCAAGAAGTAACGAGCTTCAGACGGATAACAGTAATTACAGAGAAGAGACCGAGGAAGAAGTTACACGATCAGAACAACCCCAATATGAGGAATCAACAAGTAGTCGTTACAAAGCAAAAAGAAAACGTGAGATTGAAGAACCTACAGAAAAACGCTTGAAAACGAATGAGGGACAAGCTGTTAGTAAAACGAGTGAAGGGTATGCCAAGGTAGTTGCAACTCATTACAATCTCTTGGAGGAAAAAGGTTTAGATGAAAGGTCCAAATCGCGTATAGTTTACATGAGAAATTTTCATAATTGGATCAAAAGTATGTTAATTAACGAATATTTAACAAAAATCAAAGACGGGAAGAAGCACAACGCGCCAGTTCGCGTGTTGGACATGTGTTGCGGCAAAGGGGGCGACCTCCTCAAGTGGAGAAAAGGGAATATCACACACTTAATTTGCAGCGATATTGCCTCCGTCTCTTTGGACCAATGTAGATCACGCTACAACGACATGAAAGAGCGAAGTAGTCGCGAAAGAAACGGGGGAAATATTTACTCCATTGAGTACATAGCTGGCGACTGCTCTCGAGTCAGATTGCGTGAGAAATACACCGACCCTTCAATGAAACTCGATCTTGTTAGTTGCCAATTCGCTTTTCATTATAGTTTCGAGAGTTTACCCCAAGCTGAATGCATGATACGCAATGCCTCTGAGTGTCTTCAGCCTGGGGGGTTTTTCATTGGGACAATACCAGACGCTAATGATCTCATCGCGAGGGCACGACGAGCAGATTCGGATACCTTCGGCAATGACGTGTATCAAGTGCATTTTGACTGTGATGTAAATAAACCACCGCTCTTTGGTGCTAAATACAATTTTCATCTGGATGGTGTGGTGGATTGTCCAGAGTTTTTGGTTCATTTTCCTACTTTAATCAAACTAGCCAGAAAGTATGGGTTGAAATTTATGAAGAAGGAAAAGTTTTACGATTATTACGAACAAATGAAAAATGAAGGAAAGCAGCTACTTATTAACATGAAAAGTCTTGAAACCTATCCTCCTTATGACAATACTCCACTCTTGGGAACTGATCCTGAGGATTATAGCCATGCAGAGGAATTTTTGAAGAAGGAAAACAAAAGTGGAAAAATCGGAACTTTGTCCAAGTCAGAGTGGGAAGCTTCTTGTAAGTTGCTATCAATTTGTCGACTTGTTAGGTAACAGTTTTTTTTTCAGCTTTGTATATGCTGTTTGTCTTTGAAAAAGTGAAGAATACATGGAATACGGATGGCACACCTATTTACGATATATAAGTAGTAAACCGAATGTACAAGAAGACAAATATTTATTGAAATAATAAAACAACTGGTGACACAAATGTGATGTTGTTTTATTACTAACAAAAAATAAAATCGGTGTTATAAAAATGGTCAGATTATTTGGGAGAAAACCACTCGATAATTTTTTAAACAATTGAGAGCAGTGTTTTTTAGCGGTTATTTAAGTAACAGAAATGTTTTTATCTTATTTATTGCCCAAGAATATTGAATGGTGAGTGTCTTTTGGCAAATGCAGAGCCAAGCCTCTCATTTCGATCATTTATTGTCATCTAAACCTTTTTATCTGCAATTATTTTCGAAATAAAATATTTATAATTTCGCACCATTGACCGTTTTTCTCGTATTTGCTATCTTATCGCTTCCGTTCATATGTTTACTTATCAACAAAGATGCTCGAGAAAGTGAGAAGAAGGTAAACAAAGAAGAACATTTTTATTAAAGTGTATTGAGATTTTCTTGATAAACTACAGGGTGAATGAAGAGATGGGGACAAAGTGTAATACATGATACCAAGTTGAAACGTTTAAAAGTTAGAGAGCGCCAAAGTTTAAAAATTAATTTTGTTTTTTTTTTAATAACTTTTTAATGGATTAATCGATTTTCATAAAATTTGGTGTAGGCAATTTAATATCAAAACCACATGTTTTTGGTGCTATTCATTTTATTTTATTATTATTGTAAAAGTACTTACTTAGTAACAACTTAACACATTTTAAGCCATATTTTTGTTATACGTAATCCGAGTGAAAGGTATATTGTTTTTAAACAATTTTTGTATCTTTCAAAAGTTTTGTATTAATCTTGCTTTTAGAGTAAAAAAATTACTTAAGTAGATGTGTTAAAATTTTGGACATTGGCCGTATATTTTTATTGTTTTAGTGTCTTTATGAATGTTTGTGATAGTTAATAATGTAATTAATTATTAACTTAAACAAAAAAAAATTCATAATTTAATTTTAAATGGTGCAATTTGGTGTAGAGCTAAGTTGGGTTAAATCGCTTTATTTTGAACTGGGAAATCTATTTGTCCTTATCTATTTGTTATTTGTTGTTAATTTTAATAATTAATTAGTTTTAAAACTAGGGAAAATGTGATTTTTTTCATACTTACAAGTCTTTAATACCGACTTTGTGACGAGTGAAATCAGTGGAATATATGAATCAACAAAAGGGAAGAGAATTATCGTATAAAAATTTAACAAACTCAAATACTAATAAATACGCTTTAATTCCCTGAAGACAAATTTGAGCGAAAATTTATGATGTTAAGAAATCAGGTGATAAAATTAGGGAATCAAGCAAACTGAAAAAAATTAATTCCACCCAACAAATATTTGCAAAAAGTTTATTAATTTACAATATTTTGTTCGAAGGTCAGTTGAGAAATGACGTATTGTTGATAAATAATTCGATCACTTCATCATCTTACTTAATTTATATTTAAAATAAACTTTTGAAAGGAATTAATAAGGGTTATTTTGTGTCTAACATCATTTATTCCTAAAACAAATTCCTTTTCTGTAATCTGAACACAATTATTTGTAAAGAGTTCCAGAAATCCCAATATTTCGACGTTCATATCGTGGGCGATTTCAAAGTCATATTTTTCAAGAATCACGACTTCAATGGGAATCTATATGTTTTTTAGCAGACAATAAATACAAAGATAGGTATATGCTTTTTTCCTCTTATTTGTCTAGAAATAAATCGGAACAGTATGTATTTGTAGAATATACCAAATTAAATTTTTATAAAGTTTGATCAGAAAAATTGACCGATTTTGTAAAATCGAGTTTGCCACTAAAACGGTTACGGAAAGCATTGCAAATAAAATTACAATTTTCAAAATTTTGGTCGTCTAGAAACACCCAAAATAGTTTTTGAAGAACGTTTTACATATCAAAACGGTTTTTCACGATATGAATAAACTGTTATTTTTTTTTATTTTAAAATGAATGCTAAAAATGAACTGAACTCAGAATTGTCGACCGTTTGTAGACATAAAGAATACCTAAAGGGCCCTACTAAGACATTTCTAAGAAAACAATAAGAAACAATTCGAATAAGTTTTCCCAGAAAGTCAGGTAAAACTGACAAGAATGGAGATAAAATTTGCTCAAGTTCCACAACTTTACACGTGGTTGCATGAGAGAAACTTTAAGTGAAAGAATTTTGATCATTTTGTCTGAAATATCTCAATTCCACCTTCATGCAACAAGTGCATACATTTTCTATAACCCACTCAATAAATTAAAATTCCCAAAAACCCACCGAAAAAATCGTCCATTGACACAAAAATGTGATCATCCTTTGAATCATCAACGACCAAAACAATAACTTTCTCCCGAAACTCTGCAATAAATTTCAAGCAGCTGATTCTGTGACATTCGTCCACTTTTCAAGTTCAAAGTTGAACGCACCAAATTCAAATAATAGCGCGCTACAGGTTATTGCCTCGGTGTGCGGCGCATGCGCACTATGCGCAATCGCGTACTTTGTCATAAAAGCGTTGCGTTTCCTCAACGAGGATTCTAAGTGTTTGCCTCGTTCAATCTGCGAAGCGATGGATGTCGAAAACGGTGCTAATGAGGAAGATTCCAGTCCTGTAAGTACCAAATTTAGTCTAGAATTTAATTACGCGAATTTCGGCTCGTCCACATTTTCCGCATTGTGTGAAATAACGGCGGTTTTCTCGTGCTCAAACAGCATTCGAGCGAAATTTTTCTAAGTCCCAAAATGGCGTCAGAGACTAAGTCCCACGTTTGTGGCATCGAGTCGAGAATATTCGCGATAAATCGAGATTACGTGTTTTAAAAAGCTTCATTTCGCTGATTTGGGGTTAATTTGCGGGGAATCTAGGGGGGCTCCATTTATAATTAGCACGTTTTTTGGTGCAGAGCCACAAGATGAAAGAGTATAACAGCGATTCGGTCCAAGTAAACGGCATAAACGGCTACTCGGACAAGAAGGGCCACAAATCGGAGCATAAAGACAAGCACAGAGACAAGGACCGCGAGAGAGACAGGGACAAAAGTAAAAGTAAAGAGCACAAGAGCTCGAAGGATAAAGACCGGCATAGTTCCAGTTCGAAGGATAAAGATCGAGATAAGGAACGACATAGTTCGCACAAGTCTTCAAGTCGAGACAAGGAGCGCACCGACAAGGACAAGCACCGCGACAAGGACAAACACCGGGACGAGAAAAAATCCTCCAAGGATAAGGACAGAGAACACAAGAGTTCGGACCACAAGTCGAGCTCGAAGGATAAAGAAAAGGACCGGAAGGATAAAGAGAAGCACAGCTCCTCAAAGGATAAAGATAAGGACCGACACAGCAGCTCCAAAGATAAGCACAGAGACAAAGATAAGCATCATTCCAGCTCTAAAGATAAAGACAAGAAGGATAGAAAAGAGAGGAAGAGCGAGAAAGAATCGGAGAAATCCTATGGTATTTTTTTTTTTCATCTAGTTTGCTAAAAATTTATTTGTAGCGATTGCTACTTCACTTCACCAGAGGGCGTAAAGCATAAAAGCACATCTGCAAAAATGGCCAAGTCTTAACGGTTTGTATCCAAATTTTGTTCTAATAGTACGACTAAAATCACGTCTAACAAAAGTAGTGCAGTTTTTTTGGCTGTTATCAATTTTTGTAGGTGTTATTTTTGCTCTAGGCTCTAAACCACTTAATGCTCTACAATTTGTCTAAATACTAAATTTGGGCAAACCAAGATAACGATGTATTTCAAATTAATTAAAAAAAAAACAATTTTTCATTGTATCACAACGGTATCCATAGTTTTGAGTTAGTTTGATTTGTCAAAATTTAATGTAATACAAATTTTTGGGACGTTAATGGCAATACTCGAAATAATAAATTTAAATATGAGGTATGTAAGTAAAAACCTAATTATTTGAGTTTTTTAATGATTGTAATGGCTTGCAGTTATATAGATAAGGCATGTATTAAAAAAATTACCATCTTCGTGATTGCGGAAAGAAAACATTGCTTTCTGACACAAGCTGGTATGTAATTTGTATTATCTTTAAAATTAATCCTGAAGATTTCAGACAAGATTGTTTTTCTCGTTTAAGTTTTCATCATTCGTAATTTTTACCAAGTTGAGGTTAATTTTTGCGTTTTTTAATGACTGATTTTTTTGCATTATTTTTCATATTTTAATAAAAAAGAATTGTTAAAAATGCTCGTGTAAAGACACAAGGAACATCTAAGTGTTGAATATTTTTTTGTTTTATATTATAGGAAATAACGAAGACGTTGAATTCTAAAGTTTTTGTTAACATTGTTTAAGAAACGTGCTTTTTCCAAGATATTAAAGACATTTTTCAAACTCACGTTTCACTTCGAAATGCATACTGCGAGAATGTCTAAAACAATTCTTATTGTTGCATGAACTAGATTTTAGAAATGCGAGCTTATGTGAGTTGTTTGTTAATTATTTTGTCGAAGAATAAATATTCAAAGACTCGAGACCACTTTCGATAGTTATCGAAATATTAATTGAAATCTCAATTAAATGTTATGACTGCTTGTTCTTCTAAAATAACCATATTTGAATCAGCATTTTAAGTTATCAAATGAAATATTTGTGATTGTTTTGTCTTTCATTGTAAATTAATCACATCTTGTTTATTATGTCTCAGTATTGGAGTTAAATTTTTAAATTACCTGTTAAGTATAAAAAATATACAGTTTTTAATGCATCATCAATCGTCATAATTGGCAACTATTTGATTATTTGTAGTCGGAAATATTTATTTCAATAAAGAAAAGTGAATTAGTAGAGGTCATATAAATTTCCTTGATTTATTTTAAATTTTATTCACTTTAATTGGGCTAGCAATTATTCGTATTTTGCTACAATTTAAGAAAAGTTAAATTAAGACAATCGGTACTATTATGTAATTATTTTTTATGTTAAATTTTCGGTCCACAACCTTATAAAACTTGGACAAAATCCAACTAGTACAAGTGACAATAATTGTAAAAATTATCTAACTGTAAAATCCAAGTTTATGTATGATAATAAAAACTATCATGCTGGAATGTTGATTATTGTTTTTATTATCAGACGACGAGAGAGAAAAGAAGAATAAAAACCATTCAAAACATGAAAATGACGTGGGGAGAGAAGATTCCGCGAAAGAAGATTCAATCGATGAAGATGATAATAAGCTCATAATCAAAGAAGAACCCGAATCTCAAGATGAAGTTGATGACAAAAATGCCTCAACTGTGAGCAGCTGTGATTACAATTTGTCTCAATTTAAATCGGACGAATCGAGATTTGAGGATAGTAATGCTGATGTAAAACAGGAAGATGACAGCGATGAAGATTTGCCTCTGGTATGTATTTCATTCACGTTTATGCCTTTATACTAAATAAAAACACTTTGAAATAATGGCCACTTGCCACACAATTACTAAGGACAATAAACATTTTTTGTAATCTCTTTAGTCATTAATATTCCATTGTCTTTTCAGCGAAAACCGTTCGCTCACAGACACAAATTGGTAGGTTTTCTGAAGTATTAATGTTTGTTTAGTGGTTTTAATATTAACATGTTTAGTTTGATTTTTGACTAATATTTTGCACTTTGCACTTTTTCTGCATATTTTTAATGGTGCTAATTTATATTTCTTTTTAGTCTGCCAGAATGGAACATCCATCAGTTAAAAGAAAAATTGAGTCTGACGACGAAGATGACATGCCGTTAAATGCGCGAAAGAAACCAAAGAAAGAGAAGAAGGATAAGTCTGAAAAGAAGAAAAAGAAGAGATCTATAGAGGATGAAGAAGAAGAAGAGTGGGAGCGACCTGTAAAAAAAGAGAAGATTAAGAAAGAAAAGGATTCGATCAAGACTGAGGGTGAAAGTCCTAAGAAAGGTGGACGAAAGAAGAAAGAAGAGGAACCGCAAGAAGTGTGGAAATGGTAAGTTTGAAATTTAGCGCCAACAGAAGTAGAGGGCGCTGTTGTTGTTTTGACAGTGTAATGGCGAAACGTTAGATGTAAAAATTGTTTGCTTTTTGTTGTGATGTTTAAAAGAATATTTTCCGTACATTATATGAAAGGTATTACAATTTATAGTTTACGACAATGTAAATTTTTATTAGCGACTTCTCAAGTCGCCAAAAATAAACTTAGGTTAACACATGTCAGTGTTCAAAACGTCTCAAATGTTTCTAAAACCGAGAAAACTAAAACAAGGCGCCGCCAGATTTTGCAAAAACTGTTAGTTTCAAAGAGGTATAAGATAAGTGCTTTGTTTTTAATTAACAATAATTGATTTTTTGTTGTTTTCTTAAGGTGGGAAGAAAAAAAGGAAGATGATGGAAAGAAGTGGAAATTTTTGGAGCACAAGGGTCCTGTTTTTGCACCACCATATGAACCATTACCTGATCACGTGAAATTCTACTATGATGGCAAAGAAATGAAATTATCTCAAGAAGCTGAAGAAGTAGCCAGTTTCTATTCAAAAATGTTAGATCACGATTACACAACAAAAGAAGTGTTCAATAATAATTTCTTCAAAGATTGGCGAAAAGTGATGACAGAAAGCGAAAGAAAATTGATTAAAGATTTAAGAAAGTGCAATTTTAAATCAATGCATGCCTACTACATGGATCTTGCAGAGAAAAATAGAAATCGTACAAAAGAAGAGAAGCAAGCGATAAAAGAGAAAAACGAGGCTTTGGTTAAAGAGTATGGATTTTGCAATATAGACGGCCACAAGGAAAAAATAGGTAATTTCAAAATTGAACCACCTGGTTTGTTCAGAGGGCGCGGGGAACATCCAAAAATGGGGATGTTGAAACGGCGAGTGGAGGCTGAGGATATTATAATTAATTGTAGTAAAGATTCGAAAATACCGGAACCTCCACCGGGACACCAATGGAAAGAAGTCAGACATGATGACAATGTTACGTGGTTGGCCTCATGGACTGAAAACGTACAGAATCAAGTGAAATACATAATGCTAAATCCCAGTTCAAAATTAAAAGGCGAAAAGGATTGGCAAAAATACGAAACTGCCAGAAGATTACACAAGTGCATTGATAAAATTCGTGAAGAGTATAAAGATGATTGGAAGTCGAAAGAAATGCGTATCAGACAGCGTGCAGTGGCCTTGTATTTCATTGATAAACTAGCGCTGAGAGCAGGTAACGAAAAAGACGAAGATCAGGCGGATACAGTAGGCTGTTGCTCGCTCCGAGTTGAACATATCTCTCTACACAAGGAAAAAGACGGCAAAGAGTACGTTGTAGTGTTTGATTTCCTGGGTAAAGACTCTATACGTTACTATAACGAAGTGCCGGTCGAAAAACGTGTCTTCAAAAACTTGCAACTTTTCATGGAACACAAATCGCCAGGGGATGATTTGTTCGATCGTCTCAATACCGCAATTATGAATAAACATCTGAACGAACTAATGGAAGGCCTCACAGCGAAAGTGTTCCGTACTTACAACGCGTCTTGGACTTTGCAACAACAGTTGGATAAATTGACAAATGCGGACGATTCAGTGGCGGAGAAAATTTTAGCTTACAATCGGGCGAATCGCGCGGTTGCTATCCTCTGTAACCATCAACGTTCAGTGCCGAAAGGGCACGAAAAGTCCATGGAAAAACTAAAGGAGAAAATCGATGCGAAGAAGGAAGCGATAAGAGATGCAGAACGACAGGTCAAAGATGCGGCAAAAGATGCGAAACACGGCAGTGTTAAAGAGAAAACCGTCTATGATAAAAAGAAGAAAATGTTGCAACGCTTGAAGGAACAGTTGACGAAATTGGAAATCCAGGAAACTGACAGAGACGAAAATAAAACCATCGCTTTGGGTACTTCCAAACTTAATTATTTGGATCCCCGTATCAGTGTCGCTTGGTGTAAAAAATACGGTGTCCCAATCGAAAAAATCTATAACAAGACGCAAAGAGACAAGTTTCGTTGGGCTATCGATATGGCAGGTCCAGATTACATCTTTTAATTTAGTGAAATTTTTCATTTTAATGCACCTCTGTGCTGTTCCGTGTGTAATTATGTTAAGTTGTAAGTAATAGTGAAGTTTTAACAATTAATTTATTGTGAATAAATTTGAAAACGTTGTATGGAAGCGGTGCATTTTTTAAATAATTGTTTTATCAAGAAACGAATCATCTATCATTTTTTTAAATCTGGATTATTTTAGGCGACCTTGTAAGAGCTTTAGTTAATGTAAAAATATTTATATTTTGAACAATCCATTTTAGTTATTATATTCCTGTTACAATAACAGTGATTGTAGGAGTCTGTATATTACAGATTTGATAAAATAAAGAATATAAAAATATTTGGTGATAGAAATTATTTGAAAAAGTCCACATCTTTGAGTTCTGGTGGCATGTAGTACCTTTCACTACCTTCAAGTTTACCATATCCTAAAATTGTACATTATTAAAAACAATTCTCAGTCAAAAAAGCTAAAAGCAAACCTAAATCTTTCATTAATCTGGTTGGAGCATTCCTCAAGTGCATAGGGACAGAGGGTTGCAACCCCTCACAACTTTTGATGGCCTGTTTTGCTCTAGCTAATGCCGAATCGGCCTCTCTTGATTTTGGGGCCCTAGCTAAATAAATTGCGCACTGGGCCAAAAGTACATCAGATTCGGGCATTCCCAATAACTGACATCCTTGCATTGTAGTGACTGCTAATTGTAGAGCTCTCGGGTCTGCATTACCTGAACCAAAAAATACTAAATGATCACTGAGTTTCATTTTTTTTACCAATATCTTCACTAGCGGCCCTGACCATTCTGCGAGCAATAAATAGAGGGTCCTCTCCACTGACTATCATTCTTGTGGTCCAATAAAGAGCAGCATTAGCATCTGAGCCCCTGATTGACTTGTGCATGGCTGAAATGACATTATAATGCTCTTCCCCTTTGCGATCATACAACAAATGAGATTTCTTGATTTTTTCCTTAATATCCTCGATCGTAACAACTTTATTTTTAACTTCGTTGTATTGGAGAACTAGCTGAAGGTTTCCCAAGGCAATTCTAGCGTCCCCATCGCTTATATCAGCCAACCACTTAAGAGCATCTGCTTGAACTGCAAAACCTTTACTCTTGGCCCCTGTATCTACAATTTCCACATTGAAATTCCTAGCCCCACGTTCTAGAATTTTATACAAGCAATCGGGCTCCAATTTCTGCAAGACAATGACACGACAGCGGCTCAAAAGCGCCGAATTTACAGTAAACGAGGGGTTCTCAGTGGTCGCCCCTACTAACACGATGTCCCCTTTCTCCACATGCAACAGGAAAATATCTTGTTGTTTTTTATTAAATCTGTGAATCTCATCCATGAATAGCACAGTGCGGCACCCGAATTTCTGCTGCAATTTCGCTGCCGAGACCACATTTTGCACGTCCTTGACTCCTGCAGTCGCCGCGCATAATGACACAAATTTCAATTTCGTGGGGTTACTTTTACATATCCCTTGGATAACTCCCGAGAGGGAGGTTTTGCCGCAACCGGGAGGCCCCCACAGCACCATATTTGGGATGTCTCCTTTCTCCAGTAGTGTCCTCAGCACGGTGTTTTCACCCAAGACGTGGTTTTGGCCTATAAAGTCGTCCAAACTTTTGGGTTGGAGTTGTTTGGCCAAAGGAGTCGTGAATGTCAGGGGGTTCTCTTTGGTGCTAGTTGAAGACGAGCTTGAAGTTTTTGCTTTTTTAGATGGTGAAGTTAATTCGAGTTTTTGGGTGGATTTTGGTTTTCCTGTGAAATTTTGAGGGATAACTGGCGAAGGGGAGCGTTTTCGTTTGGGCATTTCTTCAGCATCCGCCGAGTTTAGGAAAATACACTTGTTGACGTGATTTTCGATCAAGTTCAATGAAAATGATTTATCACAAATAGGGCAATTACCAGTGGTTTCGTTATCTTTGTCCATTGTGGTCTTTTTTGTGAACAAACAAGAGAAGACTTAACCTAGAAGAGATTATTCAAAAATACGCGCCTCTTTTAAGAAGGTACCAACAGCAATGATAAAATTACCATATTTGTAAACACAAAAAACGAAAAATTTAATTTTTATCTACAAAATAATAAAGGAGTGATAAGACATGTGTTAATAACCCAAGAAATTGTTTACAATATTTTATTTTACTGAAACCTATTTTTAAATACATTTGCTTATTTTTAAGGTTATATTTTTAATCACGAAATACTCATTTCTTAAAAATAATAATAATAATAAATGAGATCAACTGCAAATATAGCCTTGTATAACAATTATTTGGAATGAGAAAAATGTAAACATAAAACTGACCTAACCTAAACAGAATCTCGGAAAGATCGGTGCTAATGACCTCAAAGTGCTACGTGGATGTTTCACCTGCCTTAATGACATATTTTTCAAAAATGTGTGTGCCTTTACCGTTTCTTTGAAATAAATGGAAAGTTTACGCAACAGGAAACATAAAGATAAGTTGATTGATCAATACAGCGACAATGAGAAAAAAAGTGCACAAAAAGAGAAAATTCAGGACAATCCCAGTGAAAAATGTAAGAAACCAAACGGCAATACTCTCAATTATTTAAACAATGAAGAAAAAGAGGTATCATACTCGGTTAAAACGGCCAAATTTTTGCGAATAAACTTTGAAATTGATTTAATCTCAATAGGGTTATTTTTGTGTGGTTTACTGACTCGAATGTACAGACTGGAAGAACCCAAAAACATTGTGTAAGTGACCCCAAGTGTGATTTTCCTGTTCTAATTGTTATTTTTTAGATTTGATGAGTTACATTATGGTAAATATGTGTCTCTCTACATGAAAAACATATTTTTCTTTGATTCTCACCCCCCATTGGGGAAACAGTTAATAGCAGCAGTGGCCTACTTGGCCGGTTTTGACGGAAAATTCAAATTCGATAAAATAGGAAGTCCATATCCTGAGACAATCCCATTGTTTGCTCTACGTTTTGTCCCTGCATTTTTTGGAAGTTTGATAATACCGACATCTTATCATTTGATGCTAGAGTTGGGGTTAACACAATGGACTTCGTTGTTGGCAGCAGTATTACTCTTATTAGATAACGCTTTGTTGACCCAAAGTCGGTTTATTTTAATGGAGTCAATGTTACTCTTTTTTGCCTTATTTGGCATTTTTTGCATTTTAAAATTTCGCCAATACTACTCAAATCCGTATTGCATTTTTTGGTTTTTGTGGCTCGGCCTCGGGTTTATTTCACTGACTTGCGCTTTGTCTGTGAAATATGTTGGGTTTTATTCGTTTTGTTTGGGGATTGCGATCCTCGGTCGTGACTTTTGGAAAATGTTGTCTTCCTCCACTCTTACAGATAGGGCCCTTTTTATACGATTTGTTGTCCAAACGGTCGTCACGACTTCATTTTCTCTTTTAATTTACTTGTCTGTTTTTTACATTCATTTGAAAGTATTGTACAAAGCGGGACCACATGATAGTATTATGACCAGTGCGTTTCAAGCCTCCCTTGACGGTGGTTTGGCTTCCATCACCAAAGGACAGCCCCTTTTGGTGGCACACGGATCGCAGATTACTCTAAGGTACTTGTGACAATTAGTGGTAATTTTTTAAATCGCAATTTTAGGCACACCCATGGGAGGACGTGCTGGTTACATTCCCACAATCACGTTTATCCAATCAGATATCCCGACAAAAGAGGATCTAGTCATCAACAACAAGTCACCTGTTATTCGTTCAAGGATGTTAATAACTGGTGGATTGTTAAGAGGCCAAATAAAAACGACCTTGTTGTCGAACAACCCATAGATGTAATAAAGCATGGAGATGTCATCCAGTTAGTTCATGGTGACAAACGATTTTTATTCATTTATAATTTTCCTATTACGTAAAATTTTTCAGGTATAACAAGCCGTGCCTTAAATTCCCACGATGTGGCCGCCCCTGTGTCCCCGCAATGTCAGGAAGTTTCCTGTTACATCGACTACAACGTCTCAATGCCTGCACAAAATCTCTGGAGGGTCGAAATTTTAAACCGGGATCAAAACGGAGACAACTGGCATACTATACAATCATTGATAAGACTGATACATGTTGATACAAACACAGCTCTCAAATTCACTGGACGACAACTCCCAGATTGGGGCTTCCATCAGCATGAAGTTGCAGCTGACAGGATTATCAATCAAGACGACACTGTATGGAACGTCGAGGAGCACCGCTACACAAAATGTAATTTTTCCCTCATCTTAATAAAAAAAATAATTATTTGATTAACAGCCGATGATCAAAAAGAACGCGAACGTGAACTCGTCACCGCTGAAATGATCCCAACAGCAGCAACTTCGCTAACATTCTGGGAGAAATTCTTCGAATTGCATTACAAAATGCTGTTTTCGGGGACTGAAAGCGTGCAAAATCATATGTACAGTTCGGAACCTCTGGAATGGCCGTTGATGGCTCGGGGGATCGCTTATTGGGTCTCGTCGACAAGCAACGTAAGTCAACGTAAATCTAATTCAGAAAAAAATAAATTCCAATCGTAGGCTCAAATACATCTCATTGGAAATCTCTTACTTTGGTACTCCGGAACCGCCGGCCTTGCCACCTACTTTACTTTACTTGTCTTCTATCTTCTTCGTCGCCGGAGACATTGTTACGATCTTGATGAGAAAAAATGGGAACAATTTCAATTAATTGGAGAGTTATTTTTCACAGGGTATTTGTTTCATTATTTACCATATTTTTTTGTTGAGCGGACGCTCTTTTTACACCATTATTTGCCGGCATTTACGTTCAAAACCTTGTTATTGGCTGCCTTGATCGAACACGTTTATTTAACAATTAGTGATATTTTTAAAATCAGAGTTATAAAGTATATTTTTATAGTACTTATATTTTTATGGATTTGTTGCATATTTTACGTTTTTACCAAATTTACCGTATTGTGTTATGGTACAACTCCTTTAACTACAAATGATATTATTGATTTAAGATGGAAAGACACTTGGGATTTTATAGTTCATAAAAACTAACATTAGCGATTTGTTATTCCATGACTAGATTAGAAATTTTATATTTTTTAAAATTGATACTCATATTTATATTGAAAAAAATAATCATTTTTTATATATTTTATTATGAACTGAATAAATGTATTTACTTGAAAAAACATTTAATTAATTTAAGCCGTATCCATCTGCTCAGCCTCAATAGAATGAACAGCAACGTCAACCACATCAACCTTGATTACTTTACTTTTTAAAACAGAAGTAGTCCCTTTGGGGTACTGGTAAGACGACTGACGGACCCCCTTTTTGTTTGCCTCATCGTAAGTTCGGCGATAATCAACAGACCCCTTTCTTATTATGCAAACATCCACATTAGACCCTGACCCCAAATCGTTGAAAATACCAGCAGCGATGGCATCCCGTACCAACTTAACTCCTTCTTCCTCATCTAAATCGGGCTTCCAGCGTGACTCAAAAACTGCCATGGCAGCAAGTGAACCAGAACCCATGGTAGTGTACGGTAGTTTATCTGTGGAACCATGGGGGTAAATGGAGTACAAATGTGGCCCAGTGACGTCAACGCCGCCAAGGACGAGAGCTGCACCAATGTACCCTTGGTAGCGGAAGAGATACTGTTTCAGCATTTGGTTAGCGGTAGCCACACGTGGAATTCGATTGGTGAACAAACGGTGGAGTTCAAGTTGAGAGGAAATCATTTGGGTGGTTTGTTCTGTATCGGCTGCAGTCCCGGCCCCGCAACAACTGTAATTTATTACATTTAGCCCTTGTTGGTAGCATTAAACCAATATGTGTGACTTTGAAAAAACACTTACTACATATTGGGGGCGAGGTAGTGGATCTTTTCGCAGTTTTTATCAGAGACTGTGGTATCTTCAGTGGCTCGGGTGTCAGCCCCAAGGATAACTCCATCTTTGTAAGTGATTCCAACAATCGTAGTGCCAGTTTTGGTGGCTTTGGGGACCGGAAAGCCTTTAGTTTCGAGTACAGCATTTCTGAAAGAGGTTATGTTGATGACAAGGCAAAATACGGGCCAGAATTTAAGCAAAAAATTAAAATAATTAGATTTTTATAGGCTTACCGTTTGCAATTAGCAAATGAGAATCCCGGGGGTGCAATTTCGGGGCATAAAACCGACATTTTTGCGATTTGTTTATTGAAAACGACAAGAAACAAGTCGGTGAAATGATTCGTAATTTTTAATTTTAGGGATTTTAGCTGTCACTTGTCATTTTACCAAAATGACGTAGTGGTGATAAGGGGGTGCGATTTGTTTTGCTCTTCTTAAACATAAAGATCAAAAAATGTTTAGTAGAAGTAGCACAGTGCCACAAAGAAATAAATTTTCCATGACCAGGCAACAGTTAATTGATGACATCGAAGCGATTTATAGGGACCAGGAACAGAGAAGTAAACTGTACTTGTGTCTGGATGAGAAGCCCCCCAGAGAAACAAAATTCGAGAAAATTGAGGAGTTTTTAAAAGGTACGCAAGACTTAGAAAAAAGTTCTAACATACTCAACAGTTTAAAACGCGAAATGGAGGACTTACAGAAAGATATTGCTTCACAAATCTCAACTATTAGAGAAACTTCAGCCAATGCTTTAAGGAGTTCAGAGTAATTAATATATCGTTGTTATCTATATTTTTAATAAAATAATTGCAGTACAATACTTTAAGTTAATCTTATTTGACCAAAAACCAGTGAAACAGTATAGATTTTTGAATGTGTAAATTACAATAACAAGGGTACTTAAACGGGATAATGCATTGGATTAACGTCAGCGTGAGCCTGAACATTACGATCTGACATGTAGAAGCAAATCGAGCATGGGTGTCCTGTAAAATAAAAATGTAAGAAATGGGAACACATTATATTAAATATTCGTTAAAGCAGTTAAAACGTTCAAAGAAAATGAGAATTGCAAGTCTAATTGTTATTGACTTTATGTACTTTTAGTTAATCATGATTTACACACATTCCCTTTGATTAATATTTTTTGAGAATCACATGAAACCAATAATGTTTTTGTATATTGCAGTCAAAAAAAGCAAAAGCATTAATAAATATTACAACACAGAAGTGCCAATTTGTTAAGTGCGGTTAAGCATATTATTAAAATCACACAATAATGAAAATTAATCCTTACCTGTTTTTAAGACGTAGTGAAAAATTGTTAGTATTTGTGGTGTAAGAGGAAAACAGAAAAAAATGTCTAATATGAAACAATGATTGTTTTATTTTTAAAAATATGTTTGTAAACATAGATCATCTTGGACGGAATGTATTTCTATGCGGTTCTAAAACTAGAATATTAAGTACATAAGTAACAGTTTTAAAAATCTATAATGTAACAGTCTCTAATATTGGTAAATATATAAAATATAAACTCTTTACAATTAATCAGCATTTATGTGAATTTTTAAGTACATAAAATTTCTATCACTCTAAGACGTTAGTCTTTTTGTGCATGATTTTGATTACTTCTGGGTCAGAAACCAAATCATTATTTTCTTTTATAGATTAATGATTTTGTTTCCCACCTTCACTACGTTTTGGATGGCAAATCAATAAAAGCGCCTAACTAAACCGGTCATTAATGTAAAATACCAGCCTCAGGGTAATTAGTAATAAGTTTCAACAAATGGGAGAAATGGTTAAGTAGAAACCCACCCATAGCCACTAATACTAAATAGAGAGTAAAGTAATTGAAGGAAGAAAATATTGACTTTATGTAGATTAAACTCATAAATCTACACCACATCTTATATTTTAATGCCCTCTGTAAGTAATAAAGTATTAAAATAAGTCCTAATATTTTGTACAAAAGTGAATTGTATTCACTTGAAGTTGTATAAAATGCATAATCGTCAATTTTAAAAATGAAGGTCATTGTATGCAACATTTGCTATCATAAGGTTGGTCAGGGATGCTAAAAAATGACTTTACTGTTAACTTGCCTGAAGGTTTACAGTGCAGATGTTCTTCTATAAATTGACAGGGACAAGTATGTGAAGGACAATGACGACCCCCTGAGGCCGGTGGACTTACTAATAATCCACGTACAACACTACGACCCCAACGAGATGCATACCGTAAATATAACAATGTTGCCCTTTCCTGAAAACAAACATTTCGGGTGATGGTTTTTTATACAAAATTGGAATGTTTGAGAGGTGTGATATTCGAATTTGGCAGTATTAATTTTCCTCAACCCGTCAAGTGAATGAAAAGAACCCGTGTGTTATAAAAGTAATAAAAACAAAAGTGCATAAGATTCGTAAAATTACTTAATCGATGCCTCGGCTGGCCAAAAAGCGCGACCAAATCGGGCAGCAATCTCTATCAGATCTTGGCGGTTTATTTGCCAGTATCTCCTCGACGTACTGACAGGGACATAGTGATGAATTTACGTGGAGAGGATTGGACGGATTCCCCAACATTTCGTCCACAGTCCAATCTAAACGTCTCCTGAGAAAATCTTTTCCCCACCTTTGCAAATAGCGCAAGAACAACTGCTCAGCCCGGTCCTAAATTGCAAGAAAACACTTCTATAGAGCCTGAGTTTGGCTGTCACAATAGAGGCTAGAATAGTGGAGTGGCTAGATCTTTAATGCACTCTTGTTTTTGTTTTTGTGAAAAATGTAAAGCCATGCATTTCTGAGATTATTATCACACCACTCCAATCTGCACCTCTACTGTTACGAAATTTGTTAGTTGATTTGTGCAAAAGAAGACAGTCAAAGAACTAATTCGTCAAATGAGTTAATCTTGCGGCCAAATTACAGTCACGCGCTATTAACTAGCTAAATGCCCACCTGTTTCCTGGATAACCTCGTCGTTCGACTTCCTTGAATAACAATGTCATGGGCTGTGATGTCCATCCTCTGCTCCCACCCATTCGACGGGTCTCTTTCCTGCTGATCGATGCTCGTTTGTAAATGTGCTATACACGGAGCCGAATCCATGTACAAGAAGCAAAGATTGACTTTGTGACACGAAATTTTTCCTCTATCGTCGAGTGCTATCACAATTTTATGTCTGAGTAATTGTTTATTTACATGCGCCAGACATCGTTCCAAGTTTCGGGATAACTTGAATTTTATCCACATTGAGAAGAAAATTGCAGCTGCGTTTAAAACTAACCAACCGATTCCTAATCCGAAAAGTGTAAGACCAGATAAACCTGAGAATAATAAACCGAATAGTACGGAGAATGCAAGGATGATCCATACGACGAGGACACGCTTATAACACACGTTGTATAGCGTGAATCGGTAGTCGTTGACTAAGAGTTCCATGGCTTGGACGTATTCTTCCACAGTCAGCTGAAAAAAATACATTCATTGCCATTATTCGAGAATTGAATATTTATAAAAAAAAAAGGAATAGAGCAACGACTTGGTGTAATTCAACAATGTTGTTTTAATATGAGTTACGTTCAAAGGAAAATAACACTTAAGTTTAATTATCTACTTTGATTTAAAAATTACGTATGAAAATTCATTAGCAATCCAGCGCTAATAAATTTAAAGCCGCAAACTGCATTTGCGTATAATATAATTGTAAATATTAAAACTGGTATTGTTGTTTAAATAATTACATTTTTTATGACTCAACGTTGTTGATTATGTTATCGAAACAAGTGTTCGTTCTTTTATGCTTTTCTGATTCAACTTTAGTAATAATTATTTCCTTTGAATAATTCTTAAAAAATGAAGTCGATTTATTTATTTGTTATTTCTTAAAAATTTGATTTGTCCTTTAATCCTATTTTAAAGCTGTCTCAAACAGCCTTGGAAAATGACTTGTATGTTTTTATTTGTTTGAAAAATGGTAATTTTGTGTTTGGCATACTACAATTTAGGTATTTATAGATTTGTTTTGGTTCTACTACAAAGTTAATTTTATTTTCTCCGTTTGAATGCGTTTATGTTTTCCATTGAAAAGATATATCAAAAATTGTCTTCAAAAGGTTAACACTATTTAAAAAAATCATTTTCACTGTCTTGAAATAAATTGAGCGGTGTAGTCAAATAAATTTTTACATTTTATTTTTGTTTTAGAAAATCTGATGTAATATTTTTAACATTTTAGTAATGGTCGGCAGAAAAAAATGCTGCCTCAAACCATGTACCCCTGCGAATGACTACAACTACAGGTTCAGCCTATTTGCTTTAAAAATATCTGAGTAAAGCTAAATTACTTAATTCTGAAAAGGCAGGCGTATCGGTCCATAGTCCGATAAAGCAATAAACTTCCAGTTACTTTCTCAGAATTTATATTATGATGGCAAAATTATCAAATGGCCGTTGCGAACACTGATAATATGCAACTTTATGCTCTAAATATCAAAATTATGCAACAACTCCCAAAAACTTAAAAATATGCAAAATATGCATTTTTTAATTGGCCTATTCGCATTGTTTTGATGTGTTTTGTGCACATTTATTTATTTTTTGTGTAAAAGAAGGATATGTGTTACAACTGAACCCTACTGACAAATTCAGTGTCAAAAAGCTCTATTTCTGGTACAGGAAAAAGTTTGTGAAAAGTAAGAATGGCAAAAGAAAAGCAACAAGATATAATAACCATTGGTGTTTTATGGATATAATAAGCAATCGGTTTGATAAAGCAAGAAATCATGCACTGTGATTGGTTTAAGGGAAATACTGCTAAACAATACTAAATTATGACTAAATCATAAACATAATATGACGTCTTTTAATTAAAAGTATTTAACTTGCAATTATTTTTTTATTCTTCGACACTGTCAAAATTTACGGTTTTTCTCCCGTGTAAGGAAGTTTTGACAACTGTTTGGTATTTCTCAATACGAAACGTCAGATTATTTTTAACAGATTTAAAGCAATTTTAAGCGTTGTTGAGACTAATTCGAAAAATAAAATGTTGTATTCAACTCGTTTGATAAAAAATCCACTTCGTGAAATAAAGCGTCCGATTTACACTCAAACTCGTCTAATAAATAACTATTATCACGATCATTAAATAATACGTTTGTTATTTACTTTATGTCACTTTGAAACATCTCTTTTTGTTAAAAAAAAATAGTTTTCCGTGTACGACTCGTTTTTTAACTTCTCCTTCGTGAGTAATAGTCAGCATTATATGCTTGTTGAATAATATACTAATTGTTAATTATTTGTCAAATTCAAATCACTTTAAAAACGACAGGTGACAAAACACTACCACCGCCAAGTTGAAATATTTTTTCAATTTACTTACATCTTCTTCTTCTTGGATCTTCTTGGTATGGAAACGATGAACAAAACACGATTAGCCCGTCACACCAAACTTTTATTTTAATAGCACAACGCGTTTCGACCACAAAGTGGTCATCCTCAGGTGAGAATAAAACTCACCTGAGGAGTTTTATTTTATTTTTTATTCTCACCTGAGGATGACCACTTTGTGGTCGAAACGCGTTGTGCTATTAAAATAAAAGTTTGGTGTGACGGGCTAATCGTGTTTTTGTTCATAATTTACTTACAGTCAAACCTTGGGCCATTAGCTCTTCAGGCACTAATTCTGGACGGAATAGAGCTGGTGTTATCCACGGAAAACGCGTATTTACAGGCAAAAGTGTTACAATAATATCACCATTAGCTACAACAAAATTCAGTTAAAAACAATAAAATTTGTTAAAAAAAACTTACAGAATCCTTGTCGAATAGGTTCAACGGTAGCAACTGGTAACTCCACATTTCTCATGGGTTTTGGGTCCAAAACCGCGACATTATTTTCCGCGGGTTTGCTTATGCTTCTTTCCAAATTAACTTGCACACTTTCTGTCGCTATCACAGCTGGTGTATCTTTATTATTGCCGTTTCCATCCTCGTCAAACTGCACCCAGGCCTTACTGGGTGCAGGTTGGGGTGCAGGGTTGACACTATCGCCTTGGCCTATTTCCTTCTTCGACGACACATTATTCTCACTCATTTTGGTGCAAGTTTGGTTCGCGTTTAAAAATAGATGAATTATTTAAGTACACGCATTTTTCATAAAAATAAATAACGAGGTGTTTACGCACAATTTGCCAGCAAACTACGATATCACGAGTGTCAAAACAAAGAGGGGGCGGATCGGAACACTTTGCAGGTAGGTATTTTACTAACCAGGTGAGCTGGCATTTTGAAAAGTGTATTTTCACCTGCAAAACACGTGACAAAATCGTGCCACGGTTCCTCCATAGATGACACTACGGGGCGATGTTTGTGTTTTTAAAACCTGGCGGGGATTACAAGAATTTTTGAAATCCGGAAATGGAACCGCTTGGATTTAGCACAAAATAGGGGTAAAAAAAGGCAAATATATCGGCCTAAGGGTGCATTTATTAAAAAGTTCATATTAAATATAATGCAGATAATCAAATAACACAAAATTTGACTAAATCATCCATCCCAAATGCAGAAATCCTTTCACGTATCCTAAAATAAAACATTTAAAATTCCAATACCTCTAAATACCTCAACTGACTGAAAGCAACAATCTCTCAATCGCTGCCGAGACATCTCCAAACGTCGCAATTAGCGCTTGCAAATTTGCCTCGCGATTAGTAAATCCCATGGATGTTAACTGCTCCAACTGGGCTTGATACCGCTGCTCTGGGGGCAAATTCTCCCTCTGATTGGCCATCCCAGCCACCATCCGCGCCATAAACTCGGAGAAATTGTCACTTGGGGGCGCTGTCGTGGGGGTAGCCCTGGGTGTGCTCTCACTGGGACTAGTAGTAGTACTAGTGACAGTCTCAGGTGTGACATTAGCCGGATTGAGCAAATTCGGGGCTGTCTGTCTCAAGGTCTCCATTCCTTGCTGGATTTGCATAATCGCGTTGAGGGCCTGTGGATTGGACAACATATTCTGCATGTTGGGGTTTTGCAACTGTTGTAAGAATTGGGGCATCATGTTGCGAATCTGCTCCTGGAGGGCGGGATTCCCCGCGAGAAGGGGGTTCTCAGAGAGGAGCGTGTTAGCCATGGCGGGGTCGGCGCTCAGGGCTGCCAACAGGGACTGCATGTAGGGGGCCGAGAGCATGTTTTGCATCAAATCGGAATTTTCCAGCATTTGTTGCATGACACTGGCCATGGATCGGTTTTGAGAGTCAGAGTTTGGTTGGCTTGTCCAAGGGTTGGGGATGGACCGGGTGTTTTGGTCTGGTTGGTTGGTTGCACTGTTGCTCTCAGAAAGGCCCGAAAAGGGGTTCTGAGTGAATTGCTCGCTGAGACTTGTCAACATGGGTTCTTGTATGTCTCTGTACATCTGTTGGAGGGCGTTGAATCCCCCTGGAATGCTCTCCAAATTCGCCATTGCACGGTCGTTGCTTCTCAGTAATTCCTGGTACAAAGATGGGTTCCGCGCCAACTCCATTGTTTGTCTCAGTAGCTCAGGATTATTGAGCATATGGCCGATTTCTGGGTTGCGTTCTAGTAACTCCTGCATCTGGGGGTTGCTGGTTATTAGAGTCCTCATGTGCTCAGGGTTGTTCATCAAACTTTGAGTGAGGGGATTGTCTAGATACGATTGAAGAATCGCTGGGTTGTTTTGGATCTCTCTTTGCAAACGTTGCTGTATTTCAACCAAATTGGTGGAATTCATCCCCATTGAACTTAAACCTACTAAACCCCCAAATGGATTAAAATTAGACTGGGGCTGCGCTCCATCACCTGGCGGCCGAGTGGAAGTAGAATCCGGCGCCGGGGCTGCTTTAACCACCAAGTAAACAGTCAATCCATCTCTTATATTATGCTGCGATAAAGTGTCCCCATCTTTGAGGATTTTTCCGGCAAAAATCAGATTCAGACGATCAATCTCCGCATTAAACTTCTCAGAAACCAATTCCTTGAACGTTTTAACATCCGCTGTTTCCTCAACTTCGATTACTTCCTTCTGCTTTTGCGATTTCACAGTGATGCTGATTTTTTTGACGTTTGCTTCCCCTGTTTCAGGTTCTTGACTAGCTTCCCCGGTATTGACCGGAGCCGAAATACTTTCATCAGCCATGATAATCACTACGAAAAATTCGCTGCTTTCGTAAGATTTACAAAATTCTCAAATGAGTTGTTTCTGTATTCTTATTTTGACACATGTCTCACGACAATTTAAAAACTAGGCCTAGGGGAAATTTAGTGGAATTCCTATTTATCACCACATTTGACACTTAAAAGTTGGGTTAGATTTTTGTTTATTTGTGACAAGAAACGTCATGTCATACCCAAAAAATATCCGATAAATAACAACAAATTAATAATTAACCAAAATGAATGGTCAAGTGAAAAGTAACCCGGAATCCCAACTTCAGAGTAAGTCGCCAAACTAACAATTCATCTCTTAATAACATTCACACCTACAGTGGCTATTAGTGTCCTTCTGGAGTCAATAGCTGATAAGAGCCAGATTGTGATTGAAACGGTCAATAGTTCAATACGAAAATTAGCCGAGAAGCACCCAAACCAAGTCTTAAACTCATCTTGTCACTTCTGCGAACGTACCCCGAAACCAACAAATGAACACCTCTCTGCAATTCTTTCAATAATGGAAAAAATCTGCATTGAACATATTGTTGCAATAGATGGTGACACAATTCTTTTAATGATTGATTTTTCTTTGCGCACCATGATAGAAAACCACAATTACGAGCCAATTGTCCAAATGCCAGCTTCAAACGTTTTAGTGGCTTTAGGGAGAAAACACCACATTCAGGTTTGAGAATTATTTTTAGTTTCACAGTTTCAATTGATTAACTAGGTGATGGAAAGTCTTCTTGGCAAATTAGAAGTAGGGGTCATACCACACTACATGATCCCACACACTTTAGGAGCCTTAGCAAATGCAAACGCTTTTGGTGTTATCCCCTATCTTAAAAATATTCTTGCCATTATGTTGCCACTCTTAGGGGGGGTCAAATTCGATCCGTTAAAACAAGCGTTTTCTTATGGTATTTAATGATAAATTGCAATTGAAGTCACTCAATATACTGTTTTCAGCTTTGGGTAGTTTTTGCGAGGCTTTGGTTGAATACACCTCAAATATCGATCAAGTGCCTGATAACACTATAACTGTAGAAAATTTTCAAGTTGAAATAGGCATGGCCTATGACATTTTATTCACTTCTTGGTTACAATCTCGCGAACCCAAAGTCACAGCAAGTGTCCTTAATGCTTTATCTGCTATTTTCCTTGTTTTAAGTGTAGAGAAAGTGACTCAACACACTCCCAGAATCATCCACACTCTCTTAAACTTGTACAAAAAGCAAATAGATGCTTATAATATTACCAATTGTTTGGGAGCAATAATACAGAAGGCTGCACGCGTCAATGGGACATTACTAGAGCCTCTTCTTACAAATATTTTACAAGTATTATCGGAGTTGGTGTGCGTTTCGCCCGATTATGCACAACCAGATCTCTTGAGGAATCACTCAGAAGTCTTGAGGTGTTATGAATGTTTTGCTCTCCATTTTACCGACAATACAGTAGACCAGCTTATTATGCAACTGAAAAACAATAACGAAAAAGAGCGGATTAAAGCGATTTTAGTCATTACACATTTAACATCGTATTCAACCGAACACGCGATTCAGAGGAGATTCAAAGACATTGTTAGACATTTGAGCGAAATGCTCAACGACCCAAACATAAGGGTGAAGAAAGCTATGATGAAAATAATTGTCGCGTTTGCTTGTAAAGGAGTCCTCTTAAACAAAGGTAAAACCAAAATAAAAATTCGACAAATTATTCAGTTTTTGTAGAAATCAACCCGGACGGTCCTGAGAAATACATGGAATTTCTTCTGAAATTGTGCTGCAAGCCAGTCAGTTTAAAAAATAACGAAATAGACAGCGGCGAATTGTTTGATATACAAAAATCAGCCGATAACACTTTGTGCATGTTGAGTACTTCTGTTCCTGAATTGGAGTCAACTTTGTGGAGTCTCTTGATGCAGTGTTTCCTCGGTCCGTCTTATGACGACGCGGTTGTTGTTTTATTGCGTTGTTTGACTCACTTAGCATCGAGGAAAACAACACCGGAAGTGTGCGATGGCGCTTTTATCCGTTGTGTAACTTTATTAGCCATGCCTTTGCCCGGCTTTAGAGGCACTTTTTTGTTGAATTTTCTCAAAAATGTGCGACCTTGTGATGTGGATAGGTACAAGTCGGTTTGGGATTTGAAAATCCCTCAACTCATCAAATACTTAGAGCAGAATTATGATAATTTTAATCAACTGGAATGGCAAGATTTGGTGTTTGATTTTTTGAGTATTTTGCTTGAGTCTATAAAGGATCAAAAGTTCAACGAGATGCTTATTTTAACGGCGCGGAAACAACTAGAAATGTATAATAATAACAGGTAATTATGATTAACTTTAATATTTTTTTATTAATTTGGGTAAAATAGGTACATGAGCAGCGGGGCTGATCCTTCGGTCAAACAAACCGAAAAGTATTTTCTTCTCAAGTGCCTGGCAATGATCCTGTGTCACTCGCAAGAGAAAGAAATTATTTTACAAACTTTGGACGATATTTTAGTAAATGCGAAATTGACCGACTACTCTGAGCTTAACGCTTGTGCTGAAGCTGTTGGTATTTGTTCAAGAGTCCATTTGCAGTATGTTTTGGACAAACTCTCTTTGATCAGAAAAGATGTCTTACTTAAAAAATCGTCGAAATTTTTTTCGTTTCTCAAAGACCAGAAACACGAATTGGGAATTGAGAGGATTAGATACGTCATAGTTTCGAGTTATGCTGAGATTTGTAACGAAGCTTCCACTGATAAATTACTGAAAGTTATAGAGTCTGAAATCCTCGACTTTGTTGTAAATGAATTAACAAATGCTAAAGATTTTTCTATCCGAAAAGTTTGTTTGCGTGCAATTGGAAGTGTGGCCGATGCAATGCACCCAAACCGGAATTCACTTCACATCCGAATGCTTGATAGAGATAAGGTTTTGCAATTAGTGTCGTCGCAGGTACATCTACACAGTGGTCCCGAATACATCGAGTTGTTTCCGGTGATATTGCCCGTGATTACGTCTCTGGTGCGACTCCCGCTACCACTTGAGTCTGACCAAAGGTTAAAATTACTGAAACTCTGCTTTGACAATGTTTACAACGCTTCCGCAATTTATTGTAAAATAAATACTGACAATAATGATAGTTATTATGGGGATTTGAAATTAGTTCCGTTCGTCACGTCAAGTTTCACAAAGTTGAATCAACTTGTCCAAGAGTTGTTAATGCAGACTTTGTCGCCGGCGACGTTGGATGAAATTGTGACGTTGCTTGAACCTTGGTTGGGGCGAAGAAAGGCTGAACAAAGGCTTCCAGCGGTTGAAACTTTAAGACTGGTCCTTCAGACATATTTAGATAATATGAAATTTGCTTACGATTGTCCAACAACGTTTGGCCAAACGGGGTCTCTTTTGGCGAAGATTGTGCCAAGGTGTACCGACCCCAACAAAAATATTAGAAAGGTAAGATTAACGATGACAATTTCAGTTAAAATTTAAAAATGTTTCAAGGTCGCAACTGAGTCTCTCTGTCTCGTCCTTTGTATCGCATCCAGATACGAGGGTCACATGCGAGACCACGACAAACAACTAAGCAATTCAATGCAACACATCCAGCAACAGATAGATTCAGACGATCCCAAACTCTTGTACAATTTAACAACAGATTTGGCTCACATAATTTGCGTCAACCTCCCCCACTTCCAACTCATCCACCTTGTGGACGGCTTAACTGACGCTTTGCTCGACTGCGAAGCCTCAAGTTCCAATGGTAGCAGTGTGGTCTTAAACATGACACTTAAAAGCAAAGGTAGCGAACTCCAAGGCCACGTCAACACGATTCTAGACAAATTAATAATCCAACTGGGGAAAATTCAGTGTACCAGAACACGTTCGTCGACTTTACGAAGCATTCTCAATTTTGCAACCCACCATTCTAAAGCCGTGTGCCAAATTCTGCTCAACCAACCCTTGCCTTTTGACGGTTCAATTTGCGATTGTTGGGCTGTTTTATCAACTGATCAAACCCTAGTTTTGGATTTATTCGATAATTTAAAGAAAGTCATTAAACAAACACCGCTCTATGAAGAGCAAGGAAACGGCGAGATTAAAATTGCGACTTTGCAAGCGTTGCAAGCCGTTTGCGCCTTTCACGAATTGTTGAAGAACACACAATTGAAAGACATCTGCAGGCAGCACTTCCCTGAAATATTCTCAATTCTTTTGGTGACTTTAGCCTCGTATATTGGCACCTCAGCGCCAGCTATCAAATTCAACAGCGACAAAAAGGAAAAATACGGTTTCGTCTTAAACCGTGAGGCTTTCAAGCTAAAACCGGCAAAAATCGCTTTAGAAACATTGAAATCATTTTTGATATGTTGCGATTACACGCAAACTGCGAGTTGTTTGATTAATTTGATCAACGTGGAGGCTAATGAAGAGTTGACGACGTTTCTGGAAACTATGTCTTGTCTCGTTGAAGATGTTTGTGTTGAGAATCCTGAGTCGCTTTCGTGGCTTGTTGCGTGTTTGGGGCCGTATATTCGGGCCGAATTAGAGCCTCAAAGAGTGGTCGTTGTGGCGTTTTTTGCCTATTTATTGAAACAGAAAGCCAATCATCAGACGGTTCTTGCTGAGAATTTGCTTGAAATGGTATTGGATGTCCAGATGGATTCGAGTTGTTTGGTTAGGAAGATTGCGTTGCAGGCGTTGGGGTTTGCAGCGGAGGCTCTGAATACGGATTTGGTCTCGAGGCATTGTTCGCCCATTTTGAGTGTGTTGATGAATAGTCTCGATTATAACAGCATAGGGTAAGTAAAAATTATATCATTTCACTTTTTACAGGCCAAATAATGCAAAACAAAGAAGTTTCTAGTATAGTTTAATTATTTTTCAAGCCTTTCATAAGCATTTCTACTTTTCACATTATAATTTCTAACTATGAAAGCAATTATGTGGTTATTTCTGATGATAGCAAAACAACAAATAAGGTGAAACCACCACAAAACCCAAAACTAAAATCATTATTTCGCACTTTAACACCCCACAATTATACTTTCTACAGTACGTAAGCAACTCGCAGGTCGAAAATTTTGTAGCACCAAAACTCAAACCTTCCGTTTTATTATCCCCGGAATAATAACTGATCCTTGCATCATAATCAAAAGAACCACCGAATTTAGGTTTCACAACTACCACAAACGTCACATTGGAAGCTTTTCCTATTTCGTGAAACACCACGTACCGATTTCCAGCAACAAATTCTACCAGTTTTTCATCGAAAAATGTCTTTAGAGTCACATTGGAAGCTTTTTCACTTCCCGTATTAAAAATCGTATATTTGACCACAACTTCTTTACTTGCTACGACATGTTTACCCAACACTTGTTCATTCACTAAAAGTCTAGCATTTCCCTCACTTGTAGTCAAAAAATTAACAAAAATGTAAACTTGCAGAAACGAAAGCGACGTCATCCTTGAAGGAATGCTGAGTTTTTCGAAACTGTTGACAACCCTCGAGGGTCGCAAATTTGGTACTTGTCAGGTGACGGCTGCTGTGCGAATCAAGCCGCTCCTCGACCAGGAAGACGTTTCACTTCGCAGAGCTTCTTTTCGTCTTTTGGGTGACTTGGCCGCCTCTTTGGGCCCCGATGCCAATGTCGAAGCTTTTAAAGAGCAAGTTCAAGGCAATCTCATTACACTTATTTTGCACTTGTGCGATCCCGATGTTCACGTGATCAAAACTTGCAAGTACACTTTACGCAAAGTGGCGATCTATTTGGATAGTCCTAAAGTCAATTCAATGGTCCAGGAGCATCTGATCGACGAAGCGAATTTGCATTACGTGGATTTTATCAAAGATTTGATTAAATTAATGGTGAGAATGTGTTGACGTTGAAATGACGTTTAACTGTGTTTTGTAGGGTGAGGAAATGCAGGATTTGTTTAATTTGTTTGTAATGACGAGTTTGTCGTATTTGAAAAGTCCATGGGTTCCAATTAGGAGCAGCGCGGCACTTATGGTAGGACTGTTATTTTCACAATTGAGTACCGAAAATAAACAAAGGATTTCGGTGGATACGGTTTGTGATAAGTTAATGAGATTGGTTAATGATGACCACGAGGAGGTGAGGATGAGGGCTGTGCAGGCAATCGCGTACTTATTTATTGATTAAAAGTTTTACCCTCTCAGATATTGTATTATCATTCCATGTTATTATGGGTTTGCAGCCTCAGAGCCGGTGAACGATTTACTCACTGTTTTAAATTTTATAAAAAAATAACTGAATCTTACCTGAATACAGAATCGATCGTCTGACGGATGGGAAACCTTGAGCCCCCTTGACTTGCAAGTTTTGACCTAACATAAATTTTTGCAGCTTAGCTTATTATTTCAGATGAAAAAGTTATTGATTCTAAAAGATAGAAGTTATAAAAACTTATTTACCTACTTAAAAATATTGACATTTGTCAAAAATGTCATTGTCAGTTTTTTTTATAGCAATCATGATTTTTGAGCATTTTTGAGTACCTACAATAATGACGTTTACACAAGGTTTTCTACCGATTTTTAAGAAAAAACAAATTCTCACTGTAACATTATTGTATTGTATTAGTTATGTTCTGAACGAAAACTAAATAGATCATAATGGCAATTATCGCATCTTAAAGTAATTTGTTTGTTTGGAACTACTTAAAACGGTGTGTAAACGCAGTCAATGTTTTACTCATAAATCATTATTGCTAAGGAAAAATTGCCGTTTTTGCTAAATGTCAATTTTTTTTACTTATTATTAGTTATTCAAGGGGGCTAAAAGTGCACATTCCGTCGGTCTGCGGGTTCAGGTAAGAATAAAGTTCAGCAGCTCTCAGTCCGTTAATTGTGATATGTTTTAAAATGTGTTAATCAAAAACAATATAATCGAGGCTTGTTTGAAATTTATTTTGTTTTGTCTACATCATACCTCTTGGTTATAGCCTGACTCACTGACAAAAATGGGTGTACTACAGGCATCTCGACCTTAGGCAGGGAAACCCCGTAAGAAAACCTGGGTTTATACCCGGCATAGCCCGGGATTGGAGCATCATGTGCCAGTCTGAGTCTATCCTGACTGATCAGTTTCCTTATTTCCTCTTTAGTCTCTTCGGGAACCAGTCCTTTGACCGGATCGAAACAAGCACCGCACCTTAAAATTGTTTCAAATTACAATTATCAAAAGTTAATTATTTACTTGACAGGAGGGTCTTTATGCTGCCAGAATGTTTTATTTGGGTCAACTGTAAGTTTGAGTTGTTCGTTTTCCCAGTCTTTACCTTTTTTTCGAAAATTATCGGGTAAAGGAGGCAACAAGTCGATTTTTAATTGTATCTTAAAAGTTTTATATAGATAAGTTTTGAGTCTGTTTTTGTTACCGGATCGCCTGCTTGTTCGACTGTAGTATTGGGGATTTGTCTCGCAGTGGGTTTAACAGACGATTCTTGGATAGCTCTTGTCCACTCTGAAGTATACATATGGGCGAGCAACAAGTTGCGCATTTCAGGGTCTGAAACGTCATCAATACTCACAGCAGGGGACATGTAAACCCTTGGTCTTGTTTTAATAACATTTTCTTTGGCTGCGTTCTCAGGAATTACCTTAATTATGTTTAAATTATTTTGTCAACTGTATTTTTTGTACATACGGGGGTTTCAAAAGGTTCATATGGATTTGTGTTTGTGATTTCTTTGCGTCTCCAAAGTAAATTAAAAGGGATGTAAACATTGGGACGCCGAGCTGCAAAGGTTTCATTGTCTTTTGGAACATATTCACCGGGGGGTTTCTCCTTTTTCTCCGAAAATTTTGTGTGACAATTCAAAGTGCCTTTATGACTTTCAAGTGGAAATTTTTTGTAATCATTCTGATAAGTGGTTTTACTTCTAAATAAGTCCAACTTAATTCTGTCGTCATGCTCATCCATTTTAACAAGAGAAAGAAGAAATTGACTGACTCATGTCACTTTAAACAAAACACTAATTTTAAAATTAATAATTTTATTCAACTTATCTAATTAAATAGCAAGGGCATCATTCTGTACTTCGTGGTTAAGCTGGGTTTGCAAATTCGACAACTTATCCTTCAACATTGCCACTCCCATTATGACGATATTTTCGGGTTTTAGGGCCCCTGCAGCTTCCACATTGTAATAAAACTTGTTTGGTTTCAATTCCCAGTTAAAGTCAGCTTCATCTGAAAAGATCTAGCTAATAAAATAACAAATTGGCGAAAATATTTACATTGATCATCATCCAATTCGCTGTATTCGCTTTTGGGCCATTCGTCTGGCTTAGGAAAAAGCGTGTGTCTCATAGCATTGTCAGGATCGTATTCAAACGCCACCCCCGCAGTGGGGTTCCACTTGGCGTGTTCTTTACCGAACCCTTTCTTGGCATAAGCTTTAACTTTCAATTCTTGTCCTTTCCGCAACTTGATAATCAGAATTTCATCAGTGTCGCCATATTCTGATGATTCGTCATCCCTGTGTTTGGAAGTAGCTGGAATGACTCGAGGGTCGCTCGACTTTAAATCGGCTGTGGTGACGTGACGAGTATGGTCGTCAGTGCATTTAACATCAAGGGTGAATTCAACACTGCATTCATGGCAAAAGTCGGTACAAATGCAGTCCTGGAAATTGCGAATTGAATTAATTGTGAAAATATCAAATGGAAGACTGACTCTCGGATATTGAAGACGTTGCACAACATCGTCGGATATAAGCGGGATTAGGCCTATTCTGTGGGCAAGAAATTCGTCGCTTAGGACGGTCGAATTTGCCTCCAGTTTGACCCAATCGATGGCCAAAGTTGGGGTTTCGGCGATTAGGACGCGTCGAATGCTGTTTGCGACGCTAAAAATTTTCTAATTGGTACCCCTTCAAACATTTCATGGCTTACCTGAGATCGGTGTCTTCTATGTAGAATTTTACATTATCATCAGTCAAATCGGTGATATGAACTGAGGGCTGGTTCGCGTAGGGCATGTTCGTAAATGTAAATTAGATTTAAACTTAATTTTCAAGAACGATTGAAATTTTTCCTAACACAAACACCGACTACAACACAACATAACCCCAAAAAATGCTCAAAAACTAGTGATTTTTGTGGTGATTTTAGCTTTTCCCCTAACTCACTAGTGCATTTTTTGTTTTTTTCTAACCTATAGTTAACATATTATTATTATTATTATTATTGTTCATTATTATAAAAAAAAAAAAATACGTGAAAGCAAACGTGAAATATCACAAAAAAATAACAAGTGTGTATCAATAATGACGGACAACATTCCCACAACGCCGTACATAGTTCAAATTAGTGAAGTAAGTGCTATACTTTGTTTTTCTCCATAATTATACTAAAAAAATGTTATATTGCATTACTATTTCAGCCTCTCGAAACTATTCACCTGGCAGAAGAAGTTGATAATCAAGTACAAATTGCTTCAACTATGAATAATTCTCATGTGTTAGTTGAATCCACAGATAAGCCACTTGAAATAATTGAAGAACCTTGTGGGGGTGTCGCCCATGATGTTGGGGCTTTCACACAAGAGGAACAACCGCTGTCCTTCCAAATGATGTACCCTCAAGAACAGCCTTGCGTCGTTAAAATTGTGTATCCCCAAGAATTGAGTTTGATTGTGAGAATTACTTATTTGTTATTGCTTTGATTTAATTTCTTTTTGTAATTAGCGAGCTCCAAATCTGTTGAAACGTGGACGTCCAAAAAAGAAGAAACAAGAAGAGTCACCAAGTAATGCAAACACTGAAGCAAAAACAGACAATCTTGAGGCTCCTAAAGCTTCCAGAACTCGCTCTGGACGTCTAGTCAAACTTCCAAAATATATAGAAAAGGTAAATTTTTGGGTGTTTGTAGAAGTTAACCAGTAATGTTTTACAGGATTTTAAAAAATTTGAACCAAGTGTTAATGAACATGAGGTGCAAGTCACAGATTTTAAACGAGTAGAGGAGAAGGAAAACAGTAAAATCGAATTTGCTGAATTACAGACCAAAAAGCGTGTGGTTAAATCACAATATAAGTGTCCCAAATGCTTTAAAGCTTATTTGGGTAAAAACAAAATGATTCAACATTTGAAAAAAAATCCGGACCATGGACCTCTCCCTGAAGGTTACCAGCAGTATAATTTTGATGTATGGAATTATCTATTTGACATCACCCAAAAATGCAAGTCTGGGCAAAGAGGCGTTAAGTTTTGTGAAGAATTGAGTAATTTGTTACATAATGTACAGTTGCTAAAAAGTGCACTGTTTAAGACTGTAACAGATAACAAGAATTGTGTTCAAATTGATAAAGTATTAGGTAACGCTATTGGATTGTCGCCTGGTAAATATAAATTTGATGAGAATGAGTTATATAAGGATGTCACTGTACTTAAATTAATAACAAATAGTGATTTTTTCAAACCCAATAATGTGAATGCTGCTACTAAAAATAAAACTTTTGATGAGACACATACAGATCAGAGTGAAAATAAGAAAATTAAAACGGGAATTCAGGATTTGGATAAAAATCTTTCACGGGTTGGGGAAAGTGGTGAAAATGCGAAAACATGTGATATAGATACCAGTGATAGTCTTTTAAAGAATGATAAACCAAATGAAGGTGATTTTAATTTAATTAGTCCCAACGCTTCAAAAGAGCAAGATGTTTCAATAGCTGATAATTTTGCCAAAAAAATGGAAGTTGATAGTCAAATAGCATTACCTGCAGATTTACTAAGTGAGAATCTACTGTTACCTTCCTTACCAAATCCTAGAAATAGTGTAGATGAACTAATATTGGATAATAGTTCGAATTTGTTAGATAATAGCACTAGTTCAGATGAAGTTATGAATGTGGATCAGTTTGTAAATGAGAGATTTAAGAAAATTATTGAGCCCGATATAGAGTTGAGTAATACGTCACTAAATCTGGATTTACCGAGTTTGGAACTGTTTCATTTCCATACAAGCTGATATTAATTTAGTTCTCAAAATATTTAAATTGTACTTTTACCATTTAGTTTTTAATGTGTCAGTATACCAAAATTAGAAAACTATTAATGCCTATGATAATATATGGTGACCAAACTTTTTTATTTTATTTCTAAAGACTTGAAAATGGCTTTTTGGTTTTGAATAAGTCGACGATTTTAAAGTCAGTTAAAAACAGTTAAAAATAAATAAGCATATCCAAGTTTATTATAAAATTATGGAGTTATCAAATTTAATTTGAAGTTTTACATTTTGCGTATCAAGAGGATTTGTAATATTGATTTTAAAATGCTGTATTGTTGGTTGCATAGTTTTTAAAATTTGAAAATAACTAAACTTATGATTAAATACTTAAAAATTAAATACAATTAAAACAAATTATCTTAAATGAAACTGCATTAATTAATTTTAGTAGAAAAAATATAAATATGGTGGAAAATGTGTATTCGTTTATTATTATATTTACTTCGGAGTTTTCATGTTACGATAATTTTCAAATACGCAATATATAAATTTATTATGAGTTACCTGAAATTATTTTCTTATTTGCAAGTTTAAAATGAATTCTTTGCCAGCCGGTGCAGGCATAGCGCGTGCGTTTTTAGAATTAACAGTGTGACGTGTATCGTTAAAAATTCTTTTTTGGAAATGTGTCTTTATACAATGAAAAACAACATTTACACATAAGTAATACGTGTTCTGTGTGTTTGTGATTATTATTTACACATTTATAAAATTCAGATTTTAGTAATATTCGAATATTAAGGATTTTCTACAACTTAACCTCAAAAAGCAAGTAAGCCGCTTAAAGCAAACCAAAAATCACAATATTTACAGTTACACCGTTTTAGTTTTCGAAAAAAAGAAAAATGTTGGGGTTCGGAAAGAAGAGTGCTATTAGCAACAGTGCTGAAAAACACGAAACTCTTTTAACGTTATCAATTTTAACTTTGGCCGCGATACTTTGTAAGTGTTCCCAGTTTAAACAAGTACAAATTTGTAATAAAGCACTTTTTTAGCTTTTGCAACACGTCTCTTTTCTGTTCTGCGTTTTGAAAGCGTAATCCATGAGTTTGATCCATATTTTAATTACCGCACAACTAAATTCTTAGCAGAAGAAGGTTTTTATGCTTTTCATAACTGGTTCGATGATAGGGCATGGTATCCTTTGGGAAGAATTATCGGCGGTAAGCTCATCAATTTATTTAAATTTATCCCCAAATGTTTTTTTTTTAGGTACTATATATCCCGGCCTAATGGTAACATCAGCAGCCATTTATCATTTGTGTTGGTTATTCAACATCACAATTGATATAAGAAATGTGTGCGTCTTTTTAGCGCCACTATTCTCGTCATTTACGACAATAATAACATATTTACTTACAAAAGAAGTGAAAAATGCCGGTGCTGGACTGGTTGCAGCAGCTATGGTTTCTATTGTACCAGGATATATCAGTAGATCAGTGGCCGGCAGTTATGATAACGAAGGAATTGCCATATTTTGCATGTTACTCACTTATTACACTTGGATTAAAGCTGTGAAAACTGGAACAATACTGTGGGGGACGTTTGCAGCACTTGCATATTTTTACATGGTTCTTACGTCACATTTTTTCACATTCATATTTTATTCATAAAATTTTGTAGGTCTCTTCATGGGGAGGTTACGTCTTTTTAATCAATTTAATTCCGTTGCATGTCATAACCTTGATGGTAACGGGCCGATTTTCACATAGAATTTATATAGCATACAGTACTTTGTACTGTGTGGGGACTATTTTGTCAATGCAGATTTCTTTTGTGGGTTTCCAGCCTGTACAAAGCTCCGAGCACATGTTGGTAAGAGAAAAGATTGCAAGAGTAAAAATGAATTATAACTAACTCGTTTATTAAACGGTATTCATAATCTTACATAGCAACTGTCGTAATTGTTTTTATTATGTACGTTAAATACCTTAAACGAGCAAATTTGCATACAAAATATGCATATAATCAGTAAAAAAATTAACATTACAATTTGTTAAATTTAGAAATAAAAAAAATCGTTTCCTACTACATTCCAAATAGAAAAATTATGAAAAAAAGTAAGCCAATCTACACTGACCGCCAAAATTCACCGGACACCTAAAATTTTGCGATTCTTCACATTGCAATATTTTTGTTAATCTTTGTCGGATTTCAACGAATTTTTGTTTCGATTAAAGAATGAAGTTTGCAGAACATTGTAATTTAATTAATAAAAGACGAAAGCACTCCTTTTTTATATTGAGCTTTGGTGTGCGGCAGAGACAAACTTAAATTTTTTCTGATTTTTTCTGATTATTACCCATTCTTTTCTTAGTTATGTAACACATTTCCCATAATTTTAATTCTTGAGACATGAGAAATATAAAGCCCCAAAAAAAACATTAGATTTCGAAATTCAATGAATTGTTCGTATTAAGTAGGCCGAATGTGCCAAAACGTCAAAATAGACGCATGGAAGTTTCCAAAAATCAACCGTTTTCTTGCTGTAATCCTTTGAAGTACTAAGTTTTTTAGATTTTTTGTGTTCAAAAACGTAATTGTGCTTTTTTGGTGCCATAGGCAATAATTTTCGGTTTAACTACCTTTTTATGTACAGTTGGAGACAAAATACTTTGGTCGTCTCTTTTCTGACACTTTAATATAATTCAAGCTTTAACGTTAAAATGAATGAAAATTTCAAATTAATGACAGCTATTATATTTTCCTATCAAAAATATGTACATACAACTTGTCAACTATGATTGACAGTAGCTAAAAATAAGGTTAACAGTCCTAAAGCATGCTTTACAATTTTCTGTCACTCAAGTGACATTGACGACCAAAGTATTTTGTCTCCAACTGTAGCCTACTTTCTAAATGAATATTTAGTAACATTAGAAAAGCAACGTCTTTTTCAATGCTTTGTATCTCTGGGACACCAGAAGATAAAATTTTGAAACAAATTGGTCCTCATTCAGAAAAGAACGGGTAATAATCTGAAATCAGAAAAAAATTAAGTTTGTCTCTGCCGCACACCACAGCTTAGTATGAAAGATATTAAAAAACAGTGCTTTCGTCTTTTAGGTGTAACATTTACAAGACAAAACTGGAAATGTTATTGAATTAAATTACAATAATCTGCAAAGTTCGTTCTTTAAGCCGAACCATAATTCGTCGAAATCCGACAAAGAATAACAAAAATATTGCAATGTGAAAAATCGCAAAATTTTTGTTGTCCGGTTAATTTTGGCGGGCAGTGTATTTAAAAAATTGCAAACGCCTGTAATATTTTATTTTTGACTATTTTTGGTTCCCAAGCTGTACAACAGTTTTTTTAAAGGGTCCGTATGTTAATTTACTCGTTTAAGTTATTTGCTTTTAATAATATTCTTCTCTGACATCAAATCAAAAATAATATGGTTAAAGGCGAAATTCAGGATCTTTTTTAATTTAAAACGAGTATAAAGTGCACTTTTTACCGCCCGAATTAAGTAAAACCTTTTTTCAGGCGTTAGGTGTGTTCGGCCTATGTCAAATCTACGCTTTCGTCGATTATTTGCGAAGTAAACTATCGAAAACTGACTTTGACGTATTATTCAACTTCTTAGTATACACTGTGGGAATTTTATTCGTCACAGTTTTCGGAGTTTTAACCCTCTCTGGGAAAATTTCCCCATGGACGGGCCGTTTTTACTCGCTTCTTGACCCATCATATGCTAAGAACCACATTCCAATAATTGCCAGCGTTTCCGAACATCAACCCACATCATGGAGTTCATTTTATTTCGATTTACAAATTTTGGTCTTCTTGTTCCCTGCCGGTCTTTACTTTTGTTTCAGTCATTTGACTGATGCGAACATTTTTATGATTTTGTACGGCGTTACTAGCATTTATTTTGCTGTAAGTACTTTAGTAGAGTAATAAATGAAACAAATGTAATCACAAGTATTTCAGGGGGTCATGGTACGTCTAATGTTGGTTCTAGCTCCAGTTATGTGTATTTTAAGCGGAATCGCAGTCTCACACTTGCTTACAAAATTCATGAAAAACACAGACACGGCGAAACCTTCCGAGCACAAAAAAAGCAAAAAGTTGGAGTCAAATCATGTATTAAAAAATGAAATTTCGTCGGCTTTTGTTGGCGTTATTTGTCTGTTGTTAATTTCTTATACTTTCCATTGCACTTGGGTCACTTCCGAGGCTTACAGTTCTCCGAGTATTGTACTAAGTGCGAGGTCACACGATGGCGGAAGAATCATTTTTGACGATTTTCGTGAAGCCTACTACTGGCTTAAGATGAATACACCTGAAGATGCGAGGATTATGTCATGGTGGGATTATGGTTATCAGATAACAGCGATGGCAAACCGGACAATTCTCGTTGATAATAACACTTGGAACAACACACATATCAGTCGAGTGGGTCAAGCGATGGCGAGTTCGGAGGAAAAGGCGTATGAAATCATGAAGGAGTTGGATGTTGATTACGTTTTAGTAATTTTTGGGGGGTTGACAGGATATTCCTCCGATGATATAAACAAATTTTTGTGGATGGTCCGGATTGGTAATGATTCAAAATGTGTTTTTTCGAATTAAATGTGATGGTTTCACAGGGGGAAGCACCGATAGAGGTGCGCATATAAAAGAATGGGATTATTACTCATCCAGTGGCGAATTCCGCGTCGATAAAGAAGGGTCGCAAACTTTACTAAATTGTCTAATGTACAAAATGTGTTACTACCGGTTTGGTCAAGTGTATACAGAAGGGGGGAAACCCCCGGGTTATGACCGAGTCCGTGGTGCCGAAATTGGAAATAAAGACTTCGAATTGGACGTTTTGGAGGAAGCTTACACGACGGAACATTGGCTCGTGCGTATTTACAAAGTCAAAGATTTGCCCAATCGGGGTGTATAATAAGTATATTGTTTTTTCAATTTTTCATTTATTAATAAAAAATCATTGGTAATTGTTGTTTTATTGACCGCGAATTATACAACCAACAATCTCCACGTGGTAGTGAAACAGCAATCGACATGCGTGGAAAAGTTGCAAATAAGCTCTTAGGTTACGATGTTACGAAGTTGGAGCTCACTTCGTTTGTCTACGTTTAACCCATCCTTGAATTTTAGTGCGGGAATAAAATTAAACTCGTGCCAAGATCACTGAATGGGTTTCTCCGATTCATCAAATCAAAACCTTTAATTTTCTTGTAAGTGTTCAGATTTGAATTTTTTTAACCTGAAAGCAATTACATATTTTAATTTTAGTTTATGTAATATCGGTAACCGGTCGGTAATTCCAATTTTCACGTGTGTGGAATTTAGGTTACAGGTTTTATCGATTTTATGATAGGAACAAATAATATGCTTTGTTGTTTTTATTAAAGCATAGTAAAAATTCAAATTTTTGAAAAAAAGATTGAAAATACTTGAACATAAGCATTTTTAAAACAGAATCGATTATTTAATATTACACCCATGTAGCCTTGAATAAAAAATTCCGGAAACCGTACAGCTGATGATAAGTGTCAGATAATCTTCCTTTGTGTAATTCATGAGCCATTGGTCGTCCTTCAAACCAGCGACATCATGTAATTAAAAAATAGCGTGTATCTCAAGAATACCACTTATAAATTATTTCGTGAACTGATTCTTCAAAAAATATTGATTTGTATTTGGTTTTCAGAATTTAATTTAGAAAGCTATCACATTTCGAAAGTGTTAATTAAAAGAACCAACAATTTGTAATTTGGAAAATTGGGAATTTTGCAAATATTATGTAAATTCAGGAGATTGAAATGTGTCTAGTAATCGTTACTACAGTCAAAAAGAAGTCTACATCAGTGCTAAAAATGGTTAACCTTGCCCTTTGGCAGGCACACTTACAAGTTCACTATCCAGCTGTGCTGAAAATGAATAATCAATTTTGTTAAAATAGTCCAGACTTCATCACGGTTTGTTTGCATTTACGTAACACCCGAATCATGCGGTAAGTATTTATATTGGCAATTTGTACGTTTGAAATACACCAAATAGATTAAATTTTTATATTGAAATTGCGGCTTCTCACATTTTTATGGGGAAAAAATAATTTTTATAGTTTTGAGGTTTTTAAATTACTTATATTTCACTTTCCGACTTATTTTTTATCTTTAGGATGTACCTAATGGGTCGTTAATGTAATTGTGTACGATGCAAAAATTTAAATTGTCTCTTATAAAATTTTATAATGAGTTAATGACAAACAAGATTTGCTAATTAGTACGTCAATGATAAAACATAGTACTCGTGCATGTAGGTACTCATAAATTAATCATTTGAATATCTTCCTGTTTATTGAAGGTACTTGACTTGTAGCACATATTAAAATAACAATTAATTATTTTTTACGGTAGCGTTATCGATGTTTCGATATAGAAAACATGTTTTTTATTATAACAAGGGATCACCCTTTTAATTGTTCTAGAACCGTGATAAGATTGCCTAAAAAGTATAAATTTCGATTGTGTAAAAGGTGTATCAGCATTATTGTACCTATCCATAAGTTAATAGGTCGTTCTATTTTTTAAATTCTTTTAAAACATTTTGTTGATTATTTTTTGTCATTGTCAGAAATGTTCAAGCTTAATTTAGATTGCTTTTTGTCGATTTCACATAAATTGTGAAATTGTGTAGTTTACTCATGCATTTGTTTAAATTGAGTAAAAAAAGTATAATCGTGTTTATGGTCGTTCGATTAATTCCTGTAATTTGTAATTTTATTTAAACTGGGCTTTAGGAACATGTAAGTAAATGGTCTAAAGCTTTGCTCCATCAAGCACCGAATTGATCATTTCTTTCACTAAATTTGAAATTATTTCACAAAATTTCCGTTTTATACATATAAGTCTTATGCGGATGCACATGATCAGTATCATCGTGATTACAAGGACGGTGTTGAGATGCTGTTCAGATTTATGTACCCACTTAACTAATCAATATGTCAACTTAATCAATTATTGTTCAAATCTTCAACATTAATAAGATGTTTAACAAGATTTGATTATTTAAGACAATTTTTATCTGGAACTTTTTAAATCAAAGTATCACCCAAATTAATAATGCCAATGTAACATCCGATTTTAAGTTTTATTACGGCAAATATCATTCAAATAAAAGTCGCTTGTAACTTAGAGTTTTTCCTGGATTTATAACATGGATTTATACTTTTAGATAATTTTTATATCTGTAATGCGTTAAAATATTTGTAGAAATGAATTAACATAATTCCGATTAATAATTATTACACCTTCCTTTTATTTTATTAATAATTAATAAAATAATGGAATTGTCATCTATGAGTATTCACATTATTCAAATATAGTTCCTGAAAACGTATATGTATATCACAACTTAGCTCCACTTTATACAAATGGCATTTTAAGAATAAGCAGTCAGTGAATTTTCAGATTTACTTGTTTATATAAAGTAAGCGATTTTTTTACAGAAATCTTGTTAAATTAAAAAAAAAAATAGGTTGCAGTTCTTTTTCAAATAGTAGGACCTATTTTTTATTTAATACACAAAGTCCTTTACTTCCTTAAAATTTTAAAAATTAAATCAATAAAAAAAATAAAACAATAAAAAGACAAAACAATTTAGATTTAAGGAAATAGTAGATTATGTTATTAGGAGTAAAACTGATTGTTTATGTGGCGAAGCTGAACGTTCATTTTCAAATGGATTCAGCTGAGCCACATAAACTCACTTTTATTCCAAATAACATATACTATTTTATCCGCAAACGATTCAGATGAAGAGAAAAGAGCAACATACCAATAATCAAGTAAATCACCTCAATAATCAGGACGCTTAGCAATAAAATCATAACAAACCTCACGCGTCAGTTTCGCAATTTGTGTTGAGATTTTGAAAGTGCTGATTGATTTAACTGGTGTAGTTTATAGTGCAAAATGTCGAATGCTGATAATCTACCTTGTATCTCTCCAGAAAATGCTGAAAAAGCGAAAGAGACAACAGTGATAAATGTCAAAGTAAGTGTCAAGTAAAAGTGAAAACGCCTAAGCGTAAAAACAGTGTTTTTACTCCTTGTCTGAAAAGTAAAACTTTTACCTGTCATTTAGTCATAAAAGTGTCATTTTTCTGACGTTTGCTGTTAAACGGTATTTATTACGTGTTTAGTTGTAAATTTTGTAAATATGATTAGTTATACCCTAGATTAAGAAATTTTGCGAACCCGAACCACAATTCGGACGTCATCCGACAATGTCCTAACGGAGAGGGACTTTTTTCGGGATTAAGGTTTGAGTGTTCGTACCGAATAATACTCAGAGTTTGTATCGATATACTAGTACATTTTTTCTTGTAAACTCTAATAAGAGAGAGTCTCCCTGGTGCCCACTTGGCCGACTACCCTCTTTGAGATCAGCATTCATTGGTAAATCTCCTTGATTACTTTGAATTGTCGATCTCGAATCGTAAAAAACAGGCTGTTCGTTTTGGGTAGTATTATGTTTCGTTCACCTGGTCAAAAATTAGGTTTTGCCCCAATATTTTGGTAAAATTCAATTAGAGTCGTCCCTGACTCCTAAAATTAAAGTACCTCTTATAAATATCAGCATTAGGCTATTTGTGATTTCAATAAATAAGCAATTACGGGAATTGGAGCTTCAAACACGCAATGGAAATTTTATTCGAATATAAAGCGAAAGCCAGCAAAATTTTCAATACAGGTCATTGAGGTGCATAGAAAATGCAATTTAATATCGGAGATAAAATTATGTACTTGGGAACGTAGGAGTAAAAAATTTCCAATTATTTTAACAATCAATAAAGTTCAAGGTGGAACTTAATCCTTCGATTATCATTAATCTGTAATGCAATATCTGGCAAGTGACCTAATACCCAAAGTATTGTTATCGAGATGAACAATTGTCGGTAAGGAGAATGAACCAATCAGATAGTCGATTTTTTATAGAAATAACAAAAATCTTAATCTTGAGAAACATGTTTACCTATTTATTACTTTTTAACCCTCCGGAAACCTATATAAAGTGTCCGATAAGCGATACCGTTTCAGTATTGTTTGATACTTATTAGTGAATAGTTGAAAAGTGCAACACAACTTTTCTCAAGCTTAAGTAGGGTAACAAAATTTTTACTCAAATCGTACTAATTTCGTGTATTGTTTCAGACGTTTCTGCATGAGGCAGGGGGGTTTTTCGGTACTCGTTTGAACAGGTTATGGACTCGGCTCTAAAACAAAGCAGAAAGCCAAATCCTAGAGAAAATGCATTCCCTTTATCAGCTGCAACCTTCTGGTGAGTACAAATTAAATTGCTTTTTTGTTTTAACAAAATTACTTTATCATTTATTTGCCAATAAAATGGGGGTTATTGAATTTTTTGGAACTGATAAGATGGCAAAAATGGGGCCATTTTATTGCTCATCCAATTTGTTTGTTCTCTGATATAGGCATTTTAATAAAAAAACAAAATATTTTTCTGTAGTTTCGAAATCATTGAAAATTATATGAATGATTTCCTCCACTTGTCTACTTGACCAAAAATCGTTGTTTTGATAAGTGATAACAGTAGCTGTGCTTTTCTAAGGATGACAGGTACTTGAGCCCGAGATCATGTAAACTGTAAATAGGTTTTTTTAAAGTACTTCACAAGCCTGATGAAACATTATTGTTTTAGAATTCATTTATTTTTTCCATTGATTATAATTATGTGCGATTGCAGATCATTGGCATAAAGTATAAATACTATTTAAATGTAATATTGTGATTAAATAAATAAGTTGTAACTTTTCTGTTATTGCTCAAGAGTCATTGCTCCGTAAAATTGATTAATAAACAACTAACAGTTCTTATCTATTGATTGTCTTTTGCATTTTTTAATTAAAATTATTTTATCAGAATGAAAGCAACATGTTATGATAATGAGTCGTTTTAAACGAAATTGCAAATGCCAGTGAATAGGATAAGCCGCTAGGAATTTGCAAACTAATGAATTCAGAAAAATCGATGAGGTTGCAAAAATACTTTGGTAGAACATTTTTATACTTTTGTTGTCACTTTACCTTTACTGGGGCTCACTTATGCACATAATTCTAATCTTTTAAAACAAAAGTATTACCATCATTAAATAATCTTAAGTCGATTATTAAATAATCAAATTTAAATTACGAGATAAGTGGGTTTAACTGCCATAACATAATTATGTTGGCTTATTTTAATTTTTTTACTGTGTATTATGTCACGGAAATTATTCCGATAGTACTGCTAATGGCGTTTTACTTTGTTTACACCACTTAAGTTTTTTGCTAATTGATTATTTCAAATGTTGCAAATAACGAAAAACAATTTTCGTCTAAAACGATCTTCGTAATTTTTCGATTGTGAAATTTAATTTTGCTTTTGTAAAGTGAATAAATAAATGTTTCTTCTTTAGGTATACGATTCCAACTTTCGTTCAGGGCTTCAAGCGTGACTTAGAAGAGTCCGACTTGACCGAGACTCTGACCGAACACAAGTCGAGTATATTGGGAAATAAAATGGAAAAAGCTTGGAAAGCTGAAGAGATTAAAGCCGCGAAGGCAAATCGTAAACCGTCACTGGAAAGAGTACTCTTTAAAGTTTTTGGTTTTGAATTTATTTTTTATGGTATTGTTTTAGCACTGAGTGAAGCGATAAGGTGAGTTAAGAGTATCATTCATTATAATTCAATATTCTGTAAAAATTGTTTCTCTCACAGTGGATAATATGAAATAATTTTGGTATTTAGATTGAACCAGCCACTATTTTTGGGCAAATTTGTTGCGTTCTTTGACACTTATCGAACGACGGTTATTCGAGATGCGGCCAACGTTGTCAGTGATGGAACCGCACAAAATCATTCTGAGGAGTAAATATTTATCGCAGTGTGTGATTAGAGTAGATTTGGGCCTTCTTTCTCTCTAAATCTTCCGTACTATTTTTTATTTAGTTTCATTTGCACAACAATGTGAATCGCCTTTTATTTTTTGCATGCCCTTTACCTTCCTCTATTTTTTATTTTTATTTTGCATGTTTTGTATTTATAGTGTTTTAATTCAATTCACAAATGCCGTTTTTTCCAGAATTGGACAACCTTTGGCCCTGGGAAAACTCCTAACATTCTACCAACCCCTGAATACTGAAGTATCCGAAACCGATGCTTACTGGTATGCCGCCGGAGTCGTGATATGTTCACTCGCAAACATTGCATTTTCGCACCCTCAAATGTTGGGGGTGATGCATTTAGGGATGAAAATGAGAGTTGCATGTTGTTCACTGATTTACCGCAAAACACTAAAATTGAGTAAAACTGCTTTGGGTCAAACAACTGCCGGTCAAGTAGTCAATTTGTTATCAAATGATGTGAATAGGTTTGATATTGGTCTACTTTTCGCCCATCAGTTATGGGTGGGACCTCTTGAAACCATCGTTTGTACTTATTTCATGTACTTGCAAGTTGGATATTCGGCGATCATTGGTGTCGCGTTTCTTCTTCTCTTTATACCGCTACAAAGTAAGTTGTCTATATTTTTTCCCAAAAGATCGATTACAATTTTTTGTACTCCTAGTTTTCTTGGGGAAGCGAATTTCGGTTCTCCGTCTGAGAACTGCCCTTCGAACCGACGAACGCGTCCGGTTAATGAACGAAATCATCTCCGGCATCCAAGTGATCAAAATGTACGCCTGGGAGAAACCCTTCGCAAAACTGGTATCTCTCGCCCGTCGCTACGAAATCAAATCAATCCGAATCTCCTCCTACATGCGAGGAATCACTCTCTCCTTCATTATGTTCACAACTCGCATGTCAATTTTCGCAAGTGTCTTAGCATACGTCCTGTTTGACAATACCATAACCGCCGAAAAAGTCTTCGTCTTGACTTCATTCTATAACATTTTGCGTCAAACCATGACCGTATTTTTCCCACAAGGCATTTCGCAAGTGGCCGAGGCGCGAGTCTCCATCGCCCGATTGAACAAATTCATGCTTTATGACGAGACCCAAATCGCTAAAGAATTGAAACGGCGACAAGCCGAAGGCAAGAAGGAGAACTTAATTTCGAATGGGATTGACGCAGCTAGGGATTTGGGGGTTTTCATGAAAAATGCTTCAGCGAAGTGGAGCGAAGCCTCGAGTGATAATACACTCAATAATGTGAATTTGACAGCAACTCCGGGGAAATTGGTGGCGGTTATTGGGCCGGTTGGGAGCGGCAAAAGCAGTCTGTTCCATGCGATTTTACAAGAGTTGCCTTTGTTTGATGGGAGTTTGTCGGTTAATGGTGAAATTAGTTACGCGTCGCAGGAGCCGTGGTTATTTGCTGGAAGTGTGCGGCAAAATATACTTTTCGGCCTTCCTATGGACAAGCTCAGATACAAGACTGTGGTAAAAAAGTGTGCCTTAGAACGCGACTTCACTCTTTTGCCTTATGGAGACAAGACAATGGTTGGGGATCGAGGAGTGTCTCTCAGTGGGGGTCAAAGAGCTAGAATTAACCTCGCGAGGGCCGTCTACAAACAAGCCGATATTTACTTACTAGATGATCCATTATCAGCTGTTGATACACACGTGGGTAAACAATTATTCGAAAATTGCATCACTGGTTATTTGAAAAATAAGACGGTCATATTGATTACTCATCAGTTACAATATTTGAAAGAAGTGGATCATATTCTTTACTTGGATGATGGGGTTGTTAAAGCACAAGGGACTTTCAGAGAATTGCAAGCGACAGGACTAGATTTCACAAACCTCCTTGGGGCAACACAAGACGAAGATGAGGAGAAGAAACAAGAAGAGTTGATAAGGCAGGGATCTATCCGAAGTATTGCTTCGGTTGAAGGGGAAGCCCCGAAAATCATTGAGGAACAAAAGGGCACTGGCTCGGTCGGGGCCGATGTCTACTTGGGGTACTTCCGGGCTGGGGGCAATTGGTGTCTCATCTTCGTACTTTTCGTATTATTTATTTTAACACAGATTTTTGCAAGTATTGCTGACTACTTTATCACTTATTGGTAAGTCCCCTTATTTTTTGTCTCATTTTTTATTTGATAATTGTAATTTAGGGTCAATATCGAACAACAAGATGCTCAGAAAAATAAAACTAGTGTCGCCAACTCTGAAGATGATTTCTGGCACTTCTCACGAGACACCTCAATTTATATTTATTCAGTTATTATAGGACTTTTGATAATCATAACTTTGATTCGTTCGTTTACGTTTTTCTCCGTGTGTATGAGAGCCTCAACTCGACTTCACGATAATATGTTTGCGAGTATTACACGGGCCACAATGAGATTTTTCAATACGAATAGTGCTGGAAGGATTTTGAATCGATTTTCCAAAGATATGGGTTCTATTGATGAACTTTTGACTTCTGCAATGATTGATTGTTTGCAAATCGGGCTTTCTCTCCTTGGAATTATCATAGTTGTGGCTGCTGTTAGTCCTTGGTTGATGGTACCGACTGTTGTTGCCGGAATTATTTTCTACGTCTTGAGGATTTTTTACATACGGACAAGTAGAAATGTCAAACGTCTGGAAGGCATAAGTGAGTCTCATAAACGCAATATTTATTTTATTTATTAAAAATTGTGTTTTATAGCCCGAAGTCCGGTATTTTCGCATTTGAATGCCTCGCTTCAAGGTTTAACAACAATTCGGGCATTTGGTGCTCAAGAAATCCTTGAGAAGGAGTTTGATAGTCATCAAGATTTGCACAGTTCAGCTTGGTTTAGTTTTATTTCAACCTCAAGGGCATTTGGGTATTGGCTGGACATTGTTTGCATTATCTATATCACGTTGGTCACCTTTAGTTTCTTGATTATCGGAAACGGTAAGAATTTAATTATTTTTCAAATAACACAAAAAAAGTCATGTCGTGACAACTTGACAAATTTTATATCATTTTGTTCGTCTCAGTGAGACAAATCAAATGCATTAAAAAAATTTCAAAAAGTCCATACACTTTGAACTAAATATATTTTTTTTTAATTTAAATGAATTTAAAATATTTTAACTTTAAAAAAATCATTATTCAATAACTATTAGGCCGAATATTGGCAAACTTTTCTTCGAACAGTGTTCGAAGAAGTTCGAAGTAAATCGAAGTAATCTAAGAAAAACCCTACGAGTAATTGTTTTTTTCTTTGTCACTATCGTGTAGAGCATCTTTTTATTAGTAAGAATCCAAATTTTTAAAATAATATACCGAGTAGTTTTTAAGATATGATTTTTTGAAGTTAAGGTTTGCTATTCAGGTATTGCGCCATATAGGAGAAATGCATGTTAATTTTACTTAAAATCGTATTTTTATAAAAGTATTTGTTTTAAGACTCTTCTTTTCCTTAAAAATGGTCAATTGCACCTTCTTTGTTCTAATTAGAATAAACAAAAACTGTTTGTTTATTTAAAACAAATAAATAGTACCTGCGTACTAATTAAAGCAAATAAAAAGTTTTTTGTTGTAAAAATGGCCACTGATCATTGAGCAAAGAGGATCTAAAAGTTTAAACCACGAGCCTTAAATATAAGGGCAAATCTTTTTCAAATCAAATCACTTTCCATTCAGATTTGTTTACTTAAAACAAACAAAGAGTGTCTGCGTACTAATTAAAGCAAATAAAGAGTTTTTTGTTCTAAAAATGATCACTGATCATTGAACAAAAAGCAGTTTAAAGCAGTAGCTTTAAATATAAGAACAAATCTTTTTCAAATTAAATCACTTCCATTCAGATTCCAACTTGTTCACTTTGTTCTAGCTTTTAGAATTTTTTTTTGGAAAATGTTCTCAGCAAATGCTTTCTCATCATTTTCTACTGATGTTGAATGCAATAAGTCAGTTGCTTCGTATGCAACTGTTATCACAATAACGACTACTACCTACAAGCTAATCGTAGAATGGACCAACAAATCAGGACAAATAAATCAGGTAACATATTGCATTTAACATCACTCGAAAGTGATGAGAAAGCATTTGCTCAGAACATTTTCAAAAAAAGTTCAGAAAGCTAGAACAAAGTGAACAAGTCGAAATCTGAATGGAAAGTGATTTGAAAAAGATTTGCCCTTATATTTAAGGCTCGTGGCTTAAACTTTTAGATCCTCTTTGTTCAATGATCAGTGGCCATTTTTACAACAAAAAAACTTTTTATTTGCTTTAATTAGTACGCAGGTACTATTTATTTGTTTTAAGTAAACAAACAGTTTTTGTTTATTCTAATTAGAACAAAGAAGGTGCAATTGACCATTTTTAGGCAAAAGAAGAGTCTTAAAACAAATACTTTTATAAAAATGCAATTTTAAGTAAGATTAACATGCATTTCTCCTATATGGAGCAATGCTTGATTAGCAAATCCTAACTTCAAAAAATCATATATTGAAAACTACTCGGTATATTCTTTCGAAAATTTGGATTACAACTAATAAAGAGATGCTCTACACGATGGTAATGATGAAAAAAAAATTACTCGTAGGGTTTTTCTTAGATTATTTCGATTTACTTCGAACTTCTTCGAACACTGTTCGAAGAAAAGTTTGCCAATATTCAATTTGAAATTTCATAGCATCCTAAAGGACAAGACCATCCCTTTAGAATGGTCTTTATTTGAAAGAAATCGGCCTAATAGTTATTGAGTAATGATTTTTTAAAGTTAAAGTGTTTTAAATTCATTTAAATTAGAAAAAAATTTATTAGTTCAAAATGTGTGGACTTTTTGAAATTTTTTTTAGTGCATTTGATTTGTCTCACTGAGACGAACAAAATGATATAAAATTTGTAAAGTTGTCATGACATGACTTGTTTTTTGTCGCCTTGTGTAATTCACTACAATTTTTTAGAAAAATTCGGTGGTAACGTGGGTCTTGCCATAACCCAGGCCATCGGCCTCACCGGGATGTTCCAGTGGGGCATGCGCCAGTCCACCGAGCTCGAAAACCAGATGACTTCTGTCGAACGCGTCCTCGAGTACAACAACATCGAACACGAGGGCAACCTAGAGTCACCCCCCGACAAAAAACCGCCTCCATCGTGGCCCAACGATGGCAAAATCGAATTCATCAACGTGTTCCTCCGCTACTTCCCCGACGACCCACCTGTCCTCAAAAACCTCAGCTTCACCATAAACCCGCGCGAGAAAATCGGGATTGTGGGCCGAACCGGAGCCGGCAAATCCTCCCTAATCAACGCGATTTTCCAACTCAGCGACACTCAAGGCGCCATCATCATTGACGGGATCAACATCACCGAGATCGGTTTGCACGACCTCCGATCGAAAATCTCGATAATCCCCCAAGAACCGGTGCTTTTCTCCGGGACAATGCGGAAGAATTTGGACCCGTTTGATGACTATTCCGACGCCGACTTGTGGCGAGCTTTGGAGGATGTGGAGTTGAAGGATGAAGTGTCGAATTTGACGTCGGGTTTGAATTCGAAGATGTCGGAAGGCGGGTCGAATTTCAGCGTGGGTCAAAGACAGCTAGTGTGTCTCGCGAGGGCCATTTTGCGCAATAATAAGATTCTTGTTTTGGACGAAGCCACTGCCAATATTGATCCACAAACGGATGCTTTGATTCAGACCACCATTAGGAATAAATTCTCCGATTGTACGGTACTTACCATCGCTCATAGGCTGCACACTGTGATGGATTCGGATAAAATCCTGGTCATGGATGCTGGCACAATGAAGGAGTTTGACCATGCGTATAATCTGTTGCAAGATAGCAACACTATACTATATGGTATGGTCCAACAAACTGGCAAAGCCATGGCTGAAACATTGTTCAATGTTGCTAAAGAAAGTTACAACAAAATACATCGAAATTAGTTCAATTTTAGTTTGCAAGTTTGGGACAGTACTTACATAACTGGTTCCTATTTTAATGTTGCTGTTTTAACAAAGGTTCTGCGATAATAGTTTTAATTTGGAAAAACAATTTTATATTTTATACACCGTATATTTATTTATGTAATAAATTTATGTTCTGTATTTTTTCTTTTATTTCCCTTATCTCCCACTAGACAATGATAGAAAAAAAAACAGACTTATATTGAAATGTTGGGTCTCAAAATAAAATAAACCAATCTTGGGTTTTTTTTATATTAAAAAAAATAACAAGTTTAGTGTATATCAAACAGTTTCTTCCAGTCGTTCATTTTTTTCCCAAACGCCATCTCCTGTAAAATGATGTTCTCTTTCAATAAAATACAAAACCAGATTTAGTCTATTGACTTGGCTCAAGGGCTTTTTGCGTCGACTGGCAAACTGTTTTACTTCCTTAAAGGCATTTCTAATTTTTTCTCTGAAAAAATCAGATGGAAATATGGTCACACTACTTTTTAACTTACTTGGGGTATAACAAAATATAAATAACTTTAAAAATTGCAGAATTTGAGAATTTTTCTTCCCTAAGATAAAAATACGTTTCTTCCATTGATAATAAAGGCACTTGCAAATAATATGGGTGCTTTTTCAAAGTGCCCTCAAACTCGTCCGTTTCTTTTTTAAAGGTGCCCTTTAAAAACGCATAAATGTCACTAAAAGTATTCGCATCTCGTCCTTCTCTGATATGGATGTCAAATTTGGTATTATCATTCCCTATTAGTAACAAAAAAGAAGTAAAATATTTTTTTGCGTGAAAATTCAAACCTAGGACTGAAACAGTTGTACATTTTATTTGCAACTCTTTCAGGAATTGTAAACGCGATTTGGCCCTATTGTGGTGAATCACCAATTTGAGTATATTAGGGTTGTGCAAAAGCACTTTGAAGTCAGCAATGTTTTTTAGTTCGTTTAAGCGAACATCCACCGTTTCTGGGGATAAATGTAAAACATTCATTCTTTTTGCTAAGGCTTCGTCTGATATATTGTGTTCCTGTAACATCACATAAAGTTCAGGCAAAAGTCGTGTTTTATCTACCTTTAAAATTTTTAAAATTTTTTCAATGTTTGTAGGAGGTGTGGTTACAATTTTTGGATACATCCTCATGGCTCTTTTGATACAAGCACCAGCTATAATTGGATACTTTTCCATGAGCTCTTTAGTGTGTTTGGGGTAGGCGTGCACGATATAGCCGTATTTTAGTATTTTGTCGGGAGTGAAACCTAATTCTTCTGCAGTGGCGATGTTTTCGCATAAATATCTGAAACTTTTACGGCAAACCGTAGGATGGACTTTAATTAATTTGGCGATATCGTCATCTGTTGCTTTTAAACGCCATTCTACAAAATACTGTGTGAATACTAATTACACGGGGTGAAAATAAAAATACTCACTTAAATACGCCGATAGTACTTTTAAATGTACCTCAGACCAGGCCTCTTCATCACCACAAGTCTTAACGTTCAAGTTATCAGGGCGAGGGTTTAGATAACTGATAAAACTTTCAACTACGTTTGTTTGTGGATCTATAAATCGACTTTTTAATTTATGTATTGGTGCACGACAAAGCGTTCTAAATCTACAAATGATAATAAAATAAATGCAACAATTAAAAATCACCTACTTTGCTAACACATTGGGAGTGATATTTTCGAAGCCCCCTTCCCTTAATACGGTGTAGTACTGGTCTACAGTACTGGGATAAAGACGTAAAAGCATTGGAGCATCTAAGACACTTTTGGTTTCAAAACCAATTTCTTCACAGAACTTTGCGGTTTGGATTAGATTTTCTGGTTTTATCCGGGCAAGTTTTTGGCTCTTAATGTAAGACATTACTTTATAAGAAGGCAAACCTTACGGATAAATTAAATAATTACAAATAATTTCAAAAAGTAGGTACTTACCAAAATATTGTGTTAGAACTTCACCGGTGGTGATTTCGCTTGCGAATCTCCTTAATTCAGGATATTTTTTGTATCCTATGTTGAATAGTTTTTGTCTACACAAGAGTGACATCGTTATTTTAATCAAAAAAGTGAAAACGTTTAAAAATTGTTAAAATAAAAATTGCTTGTTGTTTTGAGGTTAAGTAACATGCCATCACTTGTTACCGGTTTCACTAGTTGTTGGAGGCTCTTTTAAATAAATTTTGTTCATTTATAATGATTTCTTTTGAAGTATTGTAAAAAACCGTGTTGGACATTTGTTTCTTCAAAAATTTTCAAATTATTTACTGTTCTTACAACCAAATGTCAAAGTTTTAACACTTAATAGCTTTCAAGGTGAAAGTGCGGGTACCCGATTGTCGTTCCAACGGAAAAATATACTTTACTTTCCTTAAAAAAATGTACTTTTGAAACAGTACTTATTTAGAGTTAGATTCCAAATTTAACGTTTTTATTTTAGTATCTATAATTTTTGATATTGTGTATGGGGAGAAATTAGTCGTTTAGAATTAAAAATTTTATTAATGGGATCATATCAATAATTGGGTATAACAATGAAAACGTTTGAGAAAATCGAATAATGGGTTTAGCTAAGGGGATAAAATCGTAATATTTATTGTGCTGGCTTTGGCACGAGGTAACAACTGATAAAATGCTAACTAAAACTGTGTTATCAAATTGGCAAACATGTTTGTATTATCATAAGACGTGCCGTTACTTGAAAAAAAAGTACATGTAATAAATACGATCTCAATTATAAATATACCTATGTAACAATATAGCAACAAATATTTGTAACATATTTTATATTCGTAAAATTTGCTTCTATACCAATTTATTAAGTAATAAGTATAATACTTTTAAAATTTTCGTATGGAAATTGATTTTATCAACAGAAGTTGTACAAACTCTTAATTCGAATAATACTATACGTAAGCAATGTACAGGTAAAATATCTTAAAGTATTTGGTCTCACTGGTGGTGGGTCATTTTTTACTCAGCATCTACGGAAAAGTCAACAGATGAAGCAAACTTTGAAAGGATCTACGGCTTCTAAAAGACTGCTCTAAAAAAGACTAATTAGCTAAAACTATGGACTAGAACGAGATAAAAGGTGATAAGACTGATAAACATGGCAGTAATACTTTCACTTTTAGAGCTTCGCAAACTCCTTGATGCTTTCGGATAATTCGTTTGTCAAGCCTTCGTAGCTTAACGGGCGTAGTACGGAACAAAAACTGATGTTTTTTTTATAAATATTTAGTCTTAATAGAGATTTTTAAGAAGTTGAGATGAAGACAACCAGCGCGACTTGTGGTGGTTACACTACACTTTAATAAAAACTATATTTATATTTCTATTCATTAAAAATCTAAGACTTAACATTCTTATTTTAGGCACTTTCATAGTTAGTATATTTGTCACAGTAGCGATTATCTGTTTATGTCACTTTTTAATTGCGATTATTTCATGACCTTTATTGCAATAAATCAAAGTAAATGTTTAAAGGTTTTGTTTAAATTTTAGTTCAGTACTACGTCACATAAGCAGTGGATTGGAATAAACTGATGGTCGGAAAGGATCAAAGATTGATGTGCGCATCATAACTTAGGATAAGTTTGGTCCCTGCACTCGGGCCGCCCTTTTGAAATTGGCACACGAAGCAAAAACCGTGATGCCATTTCAATGAATTTTCTTCTTAGTCACATGCACCCCGTTCATCGTAACTAAATTAATTCATTAGAGTCTTTGCTAATTACTTTAATTAAAATTGAACAAGGTCATAGTACCATGTTTGGGTACATTACACAAATGTTGGCAGAGGACCACGTGAGCATGGCGCATTACTCCCATGAAAAATTGGTGTGCTTTTTAGAATATCTTTGTTTATGCAAGTTTGTGAACATTTTTTAACGTAATTGTGGTCTAAAAATTTTCTTTAACACGATAGACTAAATTAAACGTTATGAAATTTGTTAATTACTCATATGTGCTACAAGTGGTTCTAGATGAAACTAGGGATTTTTCAACAGTTTTTTCTTATATTATTTTATACAGCAGGAACACGGAAAAAATGATAAAAAATTCTATCTACTAGAAGAGGAAACAAGGAAGCTGTATTCTAAGTTGTTTTTAATGTTATTTGTGGCTTTTATTTGCAAAACTTTTGTACCTTTAGTAAATAATTAAAAAAAAAACATATACAAGATCATGAGTATCAATAAATAGACATAAAAAATGTTTAAAGTAAAAAAATAGTATTAAATTTTTTTGACAGATAGGATTTTTTAAACATTTTTTCCATGTTCCTGGTATCTTATCTCACTTGAAATTTTTCTCTGGGGCGCGAGTTCTAACACACCTTTAAACAATTTATGCAAAATTGAATTGTGTTCATTTTTTGATGATTATTTTATTTAATTAAACATAAATTTCTGAAATAAAAAAATAATTTAGTAAGGAATAGCTTTAAAACAACCATAAAATTATTTTTTATTATGAATTTTGTTAAAAAATCATTTAGGTTTTCCATAACATTGACAATAAGTAACACTTTCAAGACGTAATATTTTGTTATTTCATAATTAATACATTCAGATTAATAGCTTGAATGTGTTTTCACGTTTCAATTTTTTTTTTATGTTTACGAGTGTAGTAACAAATTGCAGTTAAAATTTAAAATATTTTTTATGTAGAAAGATAAAAAAAAAAACAGTTTTGGAAATACACGTTCCCTAAAAATGCCAGATAAGATAAAATACCAAGAAGATGGAAAAATGTTTACAAAATTATTGTTTCATTTCTGATAAAAAAGATATTAACATAAAATACAACTGAAAATTCAGATTTTTTTTTAAAGCAGTTTTTAAAATCGTAACGATTTGATTGTCATTTTAATACACATCAGTACCAAAAAGTGCAGTGTTTTTCACTCTTTCACGTACCTACTTAAAATTGCCATTCTTTGTGGTTATTTTCGGAAAATTATCTTAATGAAAAGAAAAGTTGTTATAAATCTCTGATTACAAAAAAATCTAGAATAAAATACTTACAAACTAAAGTATTTTTCAATACCTACAATGAAAAAAATTAAAAAAGCTAAATTCAAACTACATATTATTTTGATTTAATGGAAAAAAGTCCGTTTCAATTTAAAATAACCAAACATTTATTGAAATATGTTGGTATAAATTAAAATAACCCCCCAAAAGTGTTTTTTAAGTGTTGTTATGATTTGGCAAAAACTAATAATAATTGTAACTATTTGTTTATTTGTTGCAAAAGAAATAAAAATTGAATCAAAATTAAATATTTTATCAAACACTCGTTCTTGTATTTCCAATGCATAATACTGTGTTGGCGGTAATTTAAAAACGGAATTTCCAATCATCCTTACAAAGTCGTAAATTTTGGGGCCCAAATTAAATTTGAGCAAATAAAATAAGAAATAATTTTTTTTTAAGTCAGGTCTTGTGAGCAAAATGATTAATTTGAGTTTCATTGAGTTAATCAGCATTATAAAGTTAAGACGAAAGTTATTATTATAGTCCATAATAGGAACAACACGGACATGATGACGAAATTAATCTCTTGTAACGTTACAATTAAATTTTGTAGTAATTAGCTTATAACAGTTGCGTCATCAAGTAAGTTTTAATCAAATGGAGGATTTATATTTTACTGTTTTTAATATTCGACCAACAAATTATTGTAGAAATATGCATTTTGAAAATTTATTGAGAGAAGGAGAAAAAAGTGTAGCAATTTGGCGTGGATGTAAGACGAGAGGCCATTTTTGCGTTGGCAATAAATGATGGGTCATCCAGCCCATAAATCTCCCGTCAACTTTTTTACGTCACTGTTGAATAATTCCTTGGGTTTTTCGTGTGTATTTTTTAGGTGATGCGACTTGAAGTAATATCGTGGTCCTCTGCAAACTTTGACACCATTAATTATGTATAGAAACGCACCGTCGTACTGACGCATTTATCGAATATCGATCGAAGCACCATGACAAATATAACACATATGTTTCACTCACAGGGTGGTGTGTACACTAACTTAGGGAAAATTTACATAAATTTGGCAGTTATTTCGTGAACGGTCCACCAGACAATTTGGCAACAGTAAAAATTTCACTAAAAATCGTTTTTAATAGTCAATTAGATGCCGCCGTTACACAATATATTGAACGAACGCGTACGTCGCCGTTCGCAGTATGTGGTAAGGCAGCGCATTTTGTTGTTAAATGATGCTCTCCCTGTTTCTTTCGTTGTCCTCCAGACTGCTGGTCGATCTCGAGCCGCATATCTGCATCTCGATTTCGGCGAGTCGGTTCTCCAACTCCCATTGCTGCTGGTTGAGTTTTTCGCTCATTGCCGCATTCTCGGTCTCTACAGTGTGGAGTCTCTCACGCAGTCTCTTGATTTCCGACTCGAGCGCCTCGTGAGAACCCAACAGCGGAGACGCCGTTCCCGACACCAGCTGCGTCATGCTGTCGCAGTGCAATGTTGTGCCTGTAATCATGAATAAATCGACTTAACACAACAACTTACAACAAGAATTTTCAGCAATTTTTTATTAAATACATTTCTTACGCTATTGATCTCTTAATAGCAAATATAAGCGAGGAGGGGAGTTTATTGAAATATGACTGATGTTGATCCCATTGCTTCCTTGACCTATTTTTCATTAAAAAATTGATATAGTGCTTAGAGAAGGGTAATGCCCTCTTTCGGTTGCCAAAAGATTAGATTTTATAATTAATGTGCTTATCCCGGCGCATCCACCATTTTACAAAATAATTATCTTTATTTATGACTTGTAAAAGATTTATTGTTAATTTTTTGTTACAATTAAGTTGTACTTTATAAGGTGATTGATATTTAGTAAGTTTCTTGTAGCAATAAAAGTTTATATACAGGCTGCGCCAGAACTCGAGCCCCAGAGAAAATTTTCAAGTAAGGTAAGATACCAGGAACATGAAAAAAATGTTTAAAAAATTCTACCTGTCACAAAATTTTGACATTTATTTTTTGACATTTGACATTTTTTTATCTATTTAATGATACTGATGATAATTATTTAGTAAAAGGACAAAAAATTTGCCAATAAAAGCTACAAATAACATTGAACAGAGTTACAATTTAGGATACAGCTTCCTTGTTTCCTCTTTTAATAGCCTATAGCAAAAAAAACTTGGAAAATTATTTTTTCAATGTGATGCAAACTTTAAACCCTCATAACTTCGAAATTTTTATAGATAAAATTTTTAAAAATTTTTTTCATGTTTCTGGTGTCTTACCTTATATGGCATTTTTCTCTGGGGCGCGAGTTCTGGCGCACCCTGTATGTGGAACAATTTTTTCGTTCATTTCTGTACAGAGTTATACGCATAAACATAGGGAATGATAGTTTTGCCCAACACCAAAAAGAATGAAAAAAAAAATCTTGTAAATGTTTTTTATTTTACTGAGAAATTGCGTCATTAAAAACACTATTCAAACTTAAAATTTTTTTTTTCGGAGATAATACAATAAAATTGCAAAATATAGTCTTTTTCGGAAAAAAAACAAATAAAAACCGATTTTTTTTTAAAACAGTAACTGTTCAAATAAACTATTTCCACCATTTTCAATACACGTTTCAACTTGCCGTATTCATTGCTTTCCACAAGCACGACCTAAATAATTTTGAAGAGTTACTTTAAAGTTTTCGTTTTTCTTTCGTTTTTTTTTGTTTTTCTGTTTAATTTTTTTTTAGAAATTTATCCGAGTAGGTATTTTCATAAAGACAAAAGTTTATTTTGCATTTTACTTATTATTGATAATAACTTTTTTTCATTGTCACTAAAACGTCATCAAATTAAAAAAAGTCGATATTTACCAGTATATCGAGCATGGTCAAAATAATGATAATCTTAGTATTATTTAAAATTCTAAAAGTTAAATAGTGTTTTTATGACAATATTTTGCTAATAAAAAAACTTTTTTTTCTATTTTGCGCGCTTTACGTATGTAGGTACTTAGCATAGAAGTCACTTTTATACAATTTAGGAACTTTTGTCCTAATAAGGTGGTGGTTGGCAATAAATGTCACAAAGTTTGAATACTTAATTCGATTTTCAAAGTGTCAAGTCTGAAAATCACAATTACTAACCTCTAGAAAGCTTTCTTTCAGGCACAACATTGAAAAAAAAAATTTACAACATTTTTTATTCATGTTCAGCAAGAACTAGTCTCTAAGTTTATAGTTATACTCGTAAGTTAGAACTCGTCCCGTATGTTCTAAGACAATTAAATTAAATGTTGTTTTAAAAAAGAGTAATTCACTGGTAAAAAATATTTTTCTTATTCTCTTCCCTTTATTGATTAATTTTCAAACTGGTTTTATTTGCTTTTAAATTTCAAACACACAATAGCTCCAAATCAATTTGTAGTTTTCCATAATTACGTCGTTGTGTTCGGTACTAACTGAAAACATATTAAATATTAATTGTGTACAAAGAGCCTAATAATTTAACAAACTTTCTATTAACATGGAATTAACTGAATTTTCAAACTATATTTGCGTGTTTATTATTCTATATATTTAACATAAACAAACTTTTCATTGAAATATTTTGTGTAATAATTAACAAAACTGTAAATGTTTTCATAATTTTATTGATATTATTTGTACATACATGTTTAACTGTAATTAATTGTATATTATTAGAGTTGCTTGCCAATTAGACTGTTCTGAGGTAAAGTGTTTGAATAAACTCTGCTACATTTTGTTTCTCTAATGAGGATGTTTTAGTCAACATGTGTGAAAAAGCTTTCAAACTGGTAGCAGTGGAAGAATGAAAATATTACAATAAAGGCATTTCTCAGAGTTGGTAGTAATAATGTAGGCATGTAGTAGAATTAAATTGAATAAACTTAAAAGAAAAAAAAAACACTAGTGTAATACTGTAATGGTTTACTCAATCTTTTTTATCAGAAAGCGTTACGTGAGGAGAACTAATCAAGAACAACGCATATAAGGAAATTTATTATTGTTCAAGTTTTGACCCTCATAAATCAACAAATTATAAGGTATATTAACAGCAACTTATTACTTGAATAAAGCACCCAATTTCTCTAATAAATCACTAACTTTTCGTAGTTTTCTTAACTTTTATTGTTGTTCTTATAATCGCTTGTTTATTGAATTACTATTACCTATTTTTTCTTGCTTGAAACAAATCTGTGCCTTACAATAAAATTATTTTGTCGTCATAAAAGCGCCATTATGATTTTTGTTTCCCATTTGAAAAAGCATAGGATTTCAATTTGTGCCCTTAATTATATCCAGTGTTTGTTCACTCGGATCGTGCACTATCAGCTTACACTGTAACATGATATTTGTACTCACACCTCATCCCACACTACAATTTCTCGAACACTTGCAAGAGTACTGGACTATAGGGCTAACTGGTTGCTGGCAACGTAATTTATGGGAGCAAACCCACTAATTACTCCTGCTAAAATGATTAGCCTGTGTGGACACTTTGTTAGATGTGACAGGAACGCGACGTAAACAACATTGCAATCATAGATCTTCGATAAATGCTGATGGCTCCAATAAACAGAGCACTTAATAAAAATCACAAAAGAATGGCATAAAGTAGATTTTTTTGTGATTTTAAACGTTTAATTTGAAATTTAATTTAATTTTTAACTAATCATAAAGTTGCGGTCAATTCATAGTGACCATTTAATTTCTATCAAAGTTGGCAGCCCTTAGCCCGCCTCCTCTAGTGTGTGGGTTGTGTCTATGTTGGCAGCAGAGTAACTAAAGTATGTCAACAATTGTGACAGGCGCAGGACATGTTATATAAGAAGTATTCTAACTAGACTTGTTTAGAATTGTCATTTCAGATAGATATGTTTTAAAAGAATTGAATTGGATGTTTAAAGTCAGATTTACACAACTCAATGTTTACTGTACATAAGGGAAGTGGCCACTATAAACTCACCGCGACTTTACATTACATGCATTCATTCAATTGTGTAGTGGTAAAGTATTAATTGTGAATAAATTTCATCAAAAATTAAATTACAAATAATTTTTTTAATATGCAATTAACCTGGCGCATCCACCATTATAAAATATACAGGGTGTTTACAGTCTAGGAGTTGAAAATTGACCTAGTAATAGAAGAGTACAGAAATACTGTAACCGAGAAAAAAACTCACACAATTGTTATTATTAAGAATGCTATTAACCTCCAAAATATTGGTGCACGGTTTGAGGGTCACTGGAATTATTTCCTTGTCCAGATAATATTGTATTGTTGCAACAGATAAAAAAATCGTATCCATGACAATGAAAGAGAAAAGTCACTTCATAGTTTTGACACTGCCATCATTTGATCTGCTTTTGCTTTAGTTTTTATCAAAATTCGAAGATTTTCTGTTTAATCTCTTCCAGCAAAATGGTTTCCAACAGGTTTGATTCGTTTTTCTTATTTTTTTTCCAAATTTATGAATATGTATTACAAATATTAAAATAATAAATTGGTTGTTGTGATTATGGTTTACGGTGAAACACAAGGTAATGATACTAATTGTCATTGTTGCAGCAGTTCTCAAACAAATAGTATAAAATGAATTATAACGCATATAACATGAATTTTTGTTTTAGATAGCGTATTAGTTTTCTTCTACCGTTAATATCATCTAATTTAAATTTCAAGCCCAAGACCGTAAACACCCTGTATAAATTAATTTTTATTTCAGTTATTTAATAGAAGTAAATTTATTTTTTTCTATATTTTATTTAATTTAAATTATTACAATAAAATTTATTTAAAAAACAATTTCGAAATTGTGCGCATCCACCATTTTTTGTGAAATATAAAATTGAGTATAAAATTATTCAGTAATTATTTCTTGTTGACACAAAAAGTAATTACAGAATAATTTCTATAAAAACACTATTTAACTTTTAAAACTTTAAATAATACCAAGTTTAGCATAATTTTGACCAAGCTCGGTATACCTACGGGTAGACATCGACTTTCTTAATTTGATATTTTATAGTGACAATGAAAAAAAGTTATAATCAATAATGAGTAAAATGCAAAATAAACTTTTTACTTAATGGGGATACTTAATCTGTTAAATTTTCAAAAAAATAAAACAGTCCTTCCCCAAAAAACAAGAAAAACCGAAAAAAAACTGAATACTTTAAAGTAACTGTTCAGGGTTATTTAGGTTTAGGTCGTGCTCGTGGAAAGCAATGAATACGGCAAGCTGAAACGTGTATTGATGGAAGTAATAACTTATTTGAACAGTTATTCGATTTTTTTCAGTATTAACAGTATTAACCACCAAAACACAAATTTTTGTCCTTATGTACATAGTTAAACAGCTAGTAAATTACCTGAAGGTTATAAAGCCCATTTATTACTATTTGATAAATATTTGAGAAGTCTAAGTATAATACATATTATGAATATAACAGACACCTAAACAAAATTGTAATTTTAAAAGCGCTCTTCTGAAAAATTTGTATCTAGTGGTTAATACTGTTTTGCTCTGAGATACAGATTTGTTTCGTTTTCTAAAAAAACTTTTTTTAATTTTTTGCAATTTTATCTCCAAAAAGGAAAAAAAGTTTTATTTAACTTATTTAGAATTTATTTTTTTTATTGTCATTATAAAATGTCTACCAGGATGTTCTCGAAGTTGAGGCATTCTTTTTAACAGGAGGTACTATGCATTATTCTTGAGAGTTTTAACCTACATCGTTTTAGTAAAATGTCCTTATTAACGGAGATAATTTAATTAATTAATTAATATAACAAAATTTATTTAAAAATAACAATTTGTTAATTTAAAAAAATACCCCGGCGCATCCACCATTTTTGTAAAATATAAAATTAAGTAAAAAGTTAATTATTCAGTAATTATTTTTTGTTGACACAAAAAGTAGGCTTGTTTAAAAGTTTGCTGACAGACCAAAAACATTTTCTTACCTTGTAATAAGAAAAAAAAATCTTTTACGTTTGATGTCAATTTAGTTTCTATAAATGATTAATGCATTTCGTAGTTTGAATATGTAAGGTGATCTGGAATATAGTAGATATTTGTTAATCATTTAAAAAAATTATGTAGCTGTAAAGAAAAATATAGCTTTTGTAATAAAATTTTGTAAAAAGAGATTATTGCTCCAGAGGCGGGGATGGTCTTTTTTATAGCCAACATAGATTTATAACGTTATTTAAAATGTCTATAAATTTTCCTTTGCCGTCTACAATATATCTTAATAACGCGATGATAAAGAAGAGAGCTGCTTAACAGTGCACTTTTAGAAGTGAATTTTACAAAAAAAATTCTGTTCTTCTAAACTAGAAGTTTTAATCGTCTTCCCATCATTCCGTTTTTTGGGGCCAAAACTTTTCAAATTGTCGTCATAAAGCCGTAAGTGTTTTCTAGACAGCTTCGATCATTTTTTCACTTTTTGTGATGTTTCGTTCCGTCACATTTCATCATAGACAGAAAGCAACAGGTGTGAGCACTTGGAGGTCACATCTTTCAACAAATGTTCAAAGTGACGTCCATTGACTTAATCGCACGCTTCGACTCCACGAACCCAAACTCTTTGAGAACGTCAATAGCATTGCGGATGATTCTTGCGACGTCGTGGATTTTTTATCCGCTTTGATTTTTAAAGTCTTTCGTTCGAGATCATCCCTTAAAAGTTTTATGCTTTTTGAAGATAGTGATCCATCAATTCTGACAAAGGATGAAAATATACAAATTATAGATGCAAAGTCTTTGTTATGGCTTTCGGCTATGAACATTTATTGAGCTTTTGATGTCAAATGGCTCTTTAAGACAAGTGTTTTTCGAAAAAGTTCAACCTTTATCTGTTTTTTCTAATCTCAGAATAGGACATTAAAATTAGTGTTAAAATTGAGATTATTTTAAGTGTACTGTCTAAAGGTGAAAGGAAAAACACTTCTTATTTCATGTCTTGTTGCATTCTTCTTAAACTTGTGTTGGGAAGTGAGTTTTTACTAAAATAAATGACTTTTGAAAGGCCTTTAAAGAATGTGTAGCTGAATATCACGTTAAGTCTGCCTTAGAGAACAACAAACTGGAGCAAAATGGTATATTAATTTTGTTTTAAAAAAGTTTTTTTACACAAACACTGAAAGGAGCAGGAGTTGTTTGATCTCGTGTGAGAACTTATTATTAAAATGCAACGTGAATAAAATGCATTTAATTAGAAACACCTTGTTGAACTGTTTAAACACAGTTTATGCATAGTTTTATCTAACATAGAGAAATATTTTTTAATAAAGATTAAGCTGAGGAGTGTTCTGGGAACAAACCCGGAGTTTCGCATTAAATATGCAACGTGGGTCTCTGGATTAGGATAGTTAACTTTAAAGATTACTGTTTACAGGAAACTAACAAGGTAAAAATTAAGATAGAGTGAAGAAAATAATTAATGAAAATGTTTTAATAAATAAGAGAGACAACTTTCTAAAATTTTACTGAATAAAGCTTATAATTGACTGATGTGCTCTCGATTTAGAATACGCACCGCGAGAAATAATTCACAACAGATTTATATTAATTATTTATTATACATTTCCGCAGAAGTAGCACTAAATTATATAATAAATTATTGATTTTTTCATGAAAAATTAAAACATCCACTTAAGAGACATTAAAATTGCAACATTTAAATATTTTTCACATAGATTATCTCTAGCAACATTTTGTTGTTTTGCCATATTTTATTTTTTGTGTTCTAGTTGCTTCTTTCCTTTTTTGTGTTATTTCTTTGACTACTTATTTTTATATCATTTAATTCACGAATATTCCTGATGTAACTGTTATTGCTGGATTTCGCTTTATTTAAAATATTCTTACAATTATTCAGGTTTAGACAATCAATAAATAAATTAGTCAGTCAATGACTAAATAAAATAATTGCTGATACATGAATGCAAAAGTAGCAAAAATACGTATTTACCCTCCGCTCAACTACTATCTTCTTATTTGGGCTTAAGAAGGGTGAGTAGAAGCTGGCGTCCCTAAATTGGATTAGGGCTGAAGGGTTCTCGGCTGAGAAAATATCGTTCATTTTGTTTGTACAGAAATTACAAAGGTTACTTAGGCAGCCGAATTTGCAAAAAATGACAAAATACGGTGGGTGGAATGTAACAAGGTTCATGTCATATTTTGTAATTCCAACAAGTTCGAAATTGAGGAAAATTTAAAACTCTTCCAAATTTTGTTTTATAATTCGGGCAGAAATAATAAATTACAATAAAAATGTTTCTTACTAAATAAAATGAAATATTTGAGTAAATCGAAAATGCTTTGTTTTTTCACTAAAATCTCAGTTTTTTGGGAGATTTTGATACAACAATCTATAAAACAACAAATTAAGAAGAAAATTATATTGTTTTTGCATTTCTCGGGTGTTTTAAAGGTTTTTCGACAAAAAACGCAATTATTTTGAAAAATTTCGTTAAAAAGAAGCCAAAAAATCAACAAAATAGGCGATTTTGAGAATAGTTTCATTAAACAGACTGAAAAATTACAAAATAAAATCGAAATTATTTTGTTTATTTCGATTTAATTGGTTTTTGAGTTAATTAAGTCAAACATAAACCGAAAAACTAAATTTTTTTGTACTAAACACTTAGTTTTCTCGCTAGATTTTACTAAAAAAATTGAAAAATATCAAATTAAGTCAAAAATTATATTATGTTTGCATTTTTGAAATATTTTAGAAGGTTTTTCGGTAAGAAACGCAATTATTTCGAAAAATTTCGTTAAAAGCAAGCCAAAAATTCAACAAAATATGCAAAAACGATGTTATATTTATTTTTTAAAGTGTTTAAGTTCGTTTTTGATATAAAACTACAAAGTCATAAAATTGTGTTTAAACAGGCTGAAAAATTACAAAATTAAATCGCAGTTAAATGTTTTTTTGTTTATTTCGATTTACATAATTGGTTTTTGAGCTAATTAAGTCAAAAATAAGCCAAAAAATTACAAAATGTGGTCGAAAATGTTTTCAAGCACATTTTTGTACTAAACTTTCAGTTTTCTTGCAAGATGCTAAAACAAACTAAAAAACAACAAATTAAGTCAAAATTATATTATTTTTAAATTTTTCAGCTATTTTTAGAAGGTTTTTCGGCAAGAAACGTAAAATTTAGTTAAAAGTAAGCCAAAAATTCAACAAAATAAGTAAAAATTATGTTATTTTTGTTTTTTTGACTGTTTAAGTATGTTTTTGAGATAAAGCTACAAAGTTATAAAATTTCGTTTAAACAGGCAGAAAAATTACAAAATTAAATTGAAGTTAATATTATTTTGTTTATTTCGATCTAATTGGTTTTTGAGCAAAATTAGGTCAAAAATAAGCTGAGAAACCACAAAATTTGGTCAAAAATGCTCTTAAGATGTTTTTGTACTAAAGTATCAACAAATTAAGTCGAAAATTATATTATTTGTGCTTTTTTTTGCATTTCAAGATATTTTTTACCCAAAAATTACAGAATTAGGCCGAAAATAATGTTATTTTTTACCTTTTTCAAGAGTTTAAACAGATTTTTTATTTGATTTTGTCAAAAATTACTAAATTGTATAAAATTTTTAGGCTTTAACCACTCAGTTTATGTAAAAAAGGTAAACTTTCGACACTTTTGGAATGAATAAATTGTGATCTTGTTAAATATGCTATTTTGGGACTGTGTAAAAATTAATTGAATGGAATTGTTTTCCCTTACCTGATCTGGCATGCGAAGCAGGAGTGTGGTGATGGCTTCTCCCGCTGCTTGTTGATCCTAATGGACTATCTGGTACAGGTCTGGGCGGAGATCCCATTAACGATCTAGGATAGGCTGGAGTAAATCCTACCAGAGCTGGAGGTACCCACATATCTTCTAAAGGAACTTTACCGCGTGATTCAACAAGACCTGGTGTAGACTGGCTGCGACCCATGGCAGCTTTAACAAATGACACCACATTAAGATAAAACAAAAAGATAAGATAAAAACTTTAAAGCACTCGCATCAAATTATCCCCTGTTTACTCCTTTGTAAACAAAATTTGTAGCGCTGATTTTGCCGGCGACCGAGCAAACCGGGAGAGGGTGTAAATGCATAATAAACAGTTCTTATTAAATTATACAGGTGACGAGTGATTTATTGAAGTGCGGCGACGAAATTTAAAGAAAATTTACCAAATTATACCAGTTGTTATGGGAAAATTGACAATTATTTAAATGGGGCTGAGACGGCTTCGGTATGGAATAATTTAACGCGAAGCTTTCAAGCTTAAATCCCAAGAAAGATGTTTCCCAAAACCAAAATGTATTTTGATAATAAATCAAGAACTGCTAATGTACTTAGATTAAGTAATAATTAATTTATAGTAAGTTTTCAAAGTAGGTAAATAAAAATGAAAAAAAAAGTACCTGTAAATTACAACTCCAAAAAAAGTATTCAGTTTTCTTTATTTTTTTTTATATTACTGCTATTATTTTACACAGTTACTTTCTCATAGACTAAATAGAGATGTAACTATGATCGAATGCTTGAAAGTTAGCATCTAACGTAACTTTAATGAACCTATGTAATAATTGTGTTTGCGGTAAATGCGTTCAATTTCAAGCAGGGTCATGTTGTTTCACGGTTATGCGGCTATTAATTTAAGTTTAATGCAACTGCAGTGACATCATTACTATAATAATAATATTTAAACAACCGATTTGAATAAACTACAAAATAAAATCGTTGAGAAATAAATTTTTTGCAACAAGAATTTGGCAAGTAAGATTTCCATATTGCGATCATTTCTCGAGTTTCACTTCGTGTTGAAAATTTGTAAAGTGTGTGATAAGCTCCTTTATACTCCTTTATCCAATAACAAAATTGTACAAAAGCGCTCCTTCGGTGACCAAGTTTCCATAAAACAATCAATTTATGGACAATTCACGTAATACGAAACGGAAAACCGCTGAAGTAGACGTAAAAACAACAGTTAACCTTTTGGGGGTAGTAGAACCCTTGCAATTTTCTCACCATGATGTTAGATATTCAAACGTCAAAAAAGGATTCAGGAACAATGGCTTGTGGCCTGATAAAATTATCTTGGGGACAGAGAGCTCACTTTTTCGTAATGAAACGGTTTTGTAAAAAGCTTATTCTACGAAAATACGGGTTTCTATAAACGCACACGATTTTAAATAATGCACCAGCTACAGGCAATAAGTTTCACGCCATAAATTCCTGCTACAAGCCACAATAGAGTATCGAAGTATTCTGAATTTTTAATCAAACTTCGGTTGGAGTGTCTGCATAGTAAACTGTTGACTTGTATTGGGATTGTAAATATTTTAGGTGCTTGTTTATGAATAGCTGAGCATCATCGTTACGGATTAAGTTGAGTAAGTCGATTCTTTCTTGTAGATTTAAACGAACCGTTATCATAGGCGGCGACTTTTCATAACCAAAAAACTTGATAAATTAATCGTCTTTAAAGCAATACAAATAACAAGAAAAGTTTTTTTTCAAATGTTCTATACATTTGTAGGTATAACTTTCAGGACTTGAGAACAATTACGCGAAAAAAACGATTTCTCTTTCTCTATTTTTGCTGTATTTTAATGTATTTAATATTTAGAACATTTAAAAACAATATACATTTTCGTACAGTACACACACAAGCTTTCCGACCCATGCATTGATTTAACTAATAAAAATTAAAAAAAATTAGAATTGCATAATAACCGTAGTTCAGAAAATTTTTTGCCAAAAGATTTCAAAATTACAAACTTACAAACTTTCGAGCAATTATTTTTATCTCAAAGATCAAATTTAATTTTATCGTCTTGTATAATAAATAACTATTATTTTGAGAACGGTTAAACAAGAAATTGTTTAAATATTTTTTCCACCATGTTATCTTTTGATACTATCAAGAATAACATTTTGTCGGTCTATATAAAAATCACCCTGTATAGAAAGTTTATATAAAATGTTTTGTCGTTTTTAAGTATTTGACATAATAGGAAATCTTTTTCAAGAAGTTTTTCACTGAAAAGTTAAATTTTGAATTAATTTGAAAAATGGAAAAACAAAATAGAATAACATAAACGATAGAAAATGCAAAACATCTTTGCTATTAAAAGTGATTTTAAAAAATTCAACCTTACTAAAAAAAGATTAGAATAAACACAAAATTCCAAATATTATTATTTTTATTATTATTTTTTTACCTTAAGGCAAGAGTAGGTTATTTTTAATGGGTGCCCCGCACCGTTGCATCCATATGTAGTCGGCGCCCGTGACCATTATTATTGAAGTAATTTTGCAAATTGTTAAATATACTAGGGGAGCTTATGTACATATGTATTTGGTTATTTTCAGTTAAAATTTTGGTCAAAACATTTTTGTTGGAGTCGCGACTCCATTGAAAGTTATTCAAAACCTCCCTCTTGATAAAAAATTACATCACCAATCAAAAAAAATTAAAGATTAAATACAAATGTAATAAACAATGATTTGTATAATAATTATAAACATTATAAAAAAGTAAAATTTTAAAACTGCCATTCGAGCGGAATTAGTTGACAAACTAATATATTTAAAAAAAGTATAAATCGTTTTCAGGAGTTACAACAACCACTTTACAGTTTGGTATAACACTAGAAATTTCTCTCTTTTCTCTTAGCTGCAGATGATTTTCTACAAAAAATGTTTTGAAAACTACTGCCAGATCATTTTGAGCACTAAACAAAATAATTTTTGTAAAGAGCTTATTACTACAAAAATGTTGGAATAAGTAGTGTAAATTTTGCAAAAAGAAAATATGTTACAAATATTTTTTTATTATAACATTAAAGCTGAATTTCAAAAAGAATTGCAATTTTTGATTTTTTAGATAAACAAAAATTTCACTTTGTTGCAAAAATGAGACTTTGTGCTTTTAGTAGTTAAATATATTAAATAAACGTTTCTGATAAGGGCCGCGTGTAAGGTCTTAAAACAATAAGAGATTAGGTTTTGTGAAATATTGTTTAGGAGTAATCCTCTAATATATCTTTTGTGATCCTGAAGGTCTGTAATAAAAAAGGCCCTTTATGGTTATCGCAAAGGAAGCACGCAATCTATTTAAAGAGTCTGTGGCCTGGCTTGAGGGTGTAAGCAAATCCCTGGCTGGTATTGACGATTTTATCTCTTAGATAGCAAAAATTTATAAACTCTGTTAGAAAACAGAACGATCGGTTGTTTTAGGGCGATTATAAGAGCTTGGGAAAGACAGGAATACCCGTTGGGAGTCTTTTTACGAATAAGATAAATTGAGATTTTCCTTGAACTTTTTATCAATACTTGTGGTGCAGTAATAAGAAAGTTGGTGGAATGTGTGTAAGGGTTTTATTTAAGCCGGCCTTTTTTATTATTGTTTTATTGCATGAGAAGTTTGTTTTTGTGTAATGCAGCCTTTGAGGAATATTTTAAATTATGTATGAAGTCTAAATTGGGAGGTTGGGAAAACATTTGAATTATTTATTATAAATATCAGTCCATTGATTTGGTGGAAATATTTAATTTGTTTTTGCATAAATCGAACATCGTAAACACAATCGGTGAGCGATTTACGAGGGAATTAAGTACGTACTTAGTCCTAAAGAGATAATACTCTTAAAGACTACCATTGATGATCGATCAATCAGTTAAGGACTTACCGAGTAATGAAAGTGCTTGGGCAATCTACGAATAAGAGGCAGGATCCAACACTTACCTTTCTCCAGAGGCGCCCTCTTATATTTCTCGAGTCTCTTGACGGCTATAGCTTCCAAACGAACTCTAGCAGCAGGATATTCTTTTAAAACGTCCCACATGTCCTTTTTACTCAATACAAATAAATCGCTGTAACCCACTGATCTTACACTCGCCGTTCTCCTGTTTCCTACGAAATTATTTAAAGCGTTTAAAACAGTATCGTGTTTTCACACAAATGACTTTCTTTAAAGGAAAACAAAGAGATAAAAGGTAGAGAAACATGCCAACATCGATGATCTAATCTTGCACAATGTTATTGAAAATATTGTAGAAGCAAGGGATTAATTAAAATACTGCGGTTACCTCAAACACGAAAGATTCAGCTTTGATTATTCACAGAAATACATTGGATGTGGGGTGTCTACTACTACTACTACAAGGTGAACCTAGTAACGGCTTCAAAAAATAAAAAACAGTGAAAACTGTTCAAGGCAATTGCTTGTAAACGTTCATGTTTCCATGAAAAAAGTGTTTTAGTAAAGCTCATTTTTTGCAAACAAAATTTAAAAACAAAAAATGAAAATTAACAATGTCAAATTCTCCTTAGAATGTTGCAGCCACAAAATGAAGTTGGCCACCTGTATGCTAAGCAGGACAGGGTTGCATTACCAAGATTGTCGACATTTTGATATTACTGCAAAATGCTTGCCTTAATACCAACTAGCAGATTCCTTTGATAAATATTTTATCAAGAATTTGTAACACGTTAACCCCATTATCTCTTGCCTTTGAAATTAGTTTTCAACTTTGAAATATAATAACAAAAGTTTTAACATTTAATCTGAATAAATTATTTTTCATTGAGGGATTATCTAATTGCAGGAGAATGGTGCTATTATGCCGCTATATGTATTTCTTGTGAATAAGTCAACGACACAGCGGATTTGTTTAAATTCAGTTTAAAGCAAGTCAAATTAAAGAAAATTTTATTTGATTTGGTGTTTTAAAGGCGTGCATGTTGGCAGTTTAATAAATATTTGTTTTAAAATAAATGATGATTTAAGATGAATGTATAAATTGGGGCAAAACTGTGGCTCAATTCCAGTTTTTCCCCGATTGATTTAAAGGGTTGACAAATACAAGCCGGGCAGGATGTCATATCATAATTTGATCTCATGCAGAGGTTAGAATATTGCACCCCCGAATCGTTGGGCCTGCCTGCTGATATTTACCAAGGTGTTTACCTGCCGTGCCCATATTGAGGATGGAAATCTCCCCAAAATAACTCCCTGCTTTCAGAGTGGCCAAGACTGTCCTCCCGTTGTCGGCGACCACTTGAAGGCGACCTCGGTTTACTATATACATTTCTTTGCCGACCTCGCCTGGAAATGAAAGCTTTTGTTACTTGAATCGATTGGAGACTGAATATTTGGCGGTAAAAATAATAGAGTACTTTCGGGTATTAAACTCAGATGATAGATTTGGCAGATAGTTGCATCAGACGTGAAAAATGCTCCTTTTAACTTTTTCTAACAGCTTCTAAATCCCCAATAGAAACTTTGTCGCTCTATTAGGTTAGACTTACTCCTACAGGTAGTTTGAAAAATAATTTACGGACTTTATTTTTTTCGAAACATTATCTTTAATAAATTTCGTAAGAATTATATGTGTGTTGACTTTGAGTTTTGTGACAGATTTATGTAAAAAGGCTGGCCTCTGCTTTTATGTCAAGGATTCAGATCAATTTGTAAATTAAAAATTGGTGACTTTTCTTTAATTTTGGATGTGAGATGTTATCAATTCTTGTCTGACGTCAATGGTGTTTTTAATCCTAGTACATTTTCAATCATGTATCATATAATTCATTTTAAGGACACTTTTTTGCATATTTTCAAAGCGCCCATTAATTTGAATATTTATCGATTTTCGTTTATTCCGCTTATTTTTACATTCAGAACGGTGTCTAAATTTACACATTTTGCATATAATTGATTTGAGATTGATGAAACTTGCACAAATTTTAGTTTTCAGAATTATACGATTTTTTTCCAATTTCTTCTTTAACAAAACTAACCAGTTTTGTTGTTTTGTTAACTTATTATATCATTTAAATAAATGTAAAAAAATTAAATAACTTTTTTTCGGACTTTATTCAAGATTCAAATTTTTAAAAGACAAGATATTTTAAATTTTACAGAAAAATCACCGCAACAAAGTTTCACACAGAACTGAATTCTGAACAAAATTTTTTCGTCTTCCTTTTTTGCAAAATTTTTAAAAATCATGCTTTGACTTAATTTTTTTTTTTTGGTATTTATAAAAGAGAAGAAGAAAGTAGGTTTTTGCACTTTAATAAACAAAGATTTTCTAATGTTCAACTTAAATTTAATAATTCGTTATTTTAATCATAACTTGTTTCTGTATTCCGCAATGCGTTTTCTTTTTTAACGTAAATGTTAGGTATATACATGCAGCTTTCAGTATTTAAAATATTTGTGTTAAGATAAACATATAAGTCATATATTTTTTCCTGAACGGTAGCTAGTGAAACTCCAGATTTTACTTTAAAATGTTTTTATTTTAAAATAAACATAACTTGATACATTTTTCAAAAACGGTAGCTAATGGAACTTCAGATTTTACTTATTTATTTTAATTTCTGAATTTACAAGATAAAGTTTCATTGTTACTAAAATTTAGAGAAACAAATAGAAATAAATGTAATAGTTATTTGTATAAAAGAGGAAAAGATATACTTAAAAGATATAAAATATTCCTACGATCCAGCAACAAAACTTCAAAAGTAACAATTTCACTTGTTATCCCAGTTTTGCCGAAGCATGTTTTTCCGTTTCTATGGCGATAGGTTGCATATATTTTTATTGTAATTATGACAGATGAAGAAGAAAAAAAATTACTTCTCAGAAAGGTAATTGGCCACTTTCCTTTCTGAAATTACAGTGAAAAAACTTACTTTTTGTTAGGGTGGTAGAAAAAACAGTTTACTATAAAAGTAAAAATAATGACGACAAATAAAATCGTCTATTAAATTAATTTCTTTTTCTTTTTCCCAAAAAGAGATAACGACATGTTGCAACGTCTCTACGTATTTGAAATAACGAAGTAATTTGAAAAAAAATATTAAATATTTTTTTATCAACTTCAGTTTTATTTTGATACCTCCGTTTGCAAAACAGATTTATTTCAAAGTGATCTATGAAATTTAAATTATATGGGCTTTTTGGCCTCCAACTGATAGGTTTGGTTTTGTAGAAAAAGACCTCTTAAATTAATTAATTTTTCTTATCAAATAAAGTAGTATTGTTTTTAGGTAAACTGATAAGGATTTAGTTTTTTTTATACAAATTACTTTTGGTTTAGTGTGGTTTGTCAGAAATTTAATTTAACAACTTTAGGTGAGAACAAAAGTACGTAAACAAACCGTCACATTGATAGGGAACTTTACAGGGAATTAATTGATTCTGTAATTTGAGGTTTCAAATTTAAGAGATAATCTTTACACAATTCAAATCGAAAGGATCAATACTGAAAAATAAACTGTCGTTGATTAATTTTTCATTGCTTCGAGTGTATTTTTTCTAGATTTTTGTTGCATCGCATTGTGTATTAAATCCCTTTTACAGCTTTTTAAAACATAACGAATTATTAGCTCTTGTGTTGTTGAAAGGATAATCAATACTTGATTTTTATCTACCTGGCCATAAAGTTGGTATTTGAAGAGCTTTCGACATTTTGGTTAAACTGTTGCAATGTGAGTCTTAAATTAAAGTGATGATTGCTATCACCGTCTTAATTCTAGAGGCAGTTGAAGTGAAACCCGTTTAAAGTTTGCTTGCGGAAACCACTAGAGGAAAGCATAAAATGAAAACTATGTTAAATCTCTTAAGGTATGCATAGAAGTATGAAGATAAAACTTTCCCGATTTGAGAATATTAACTAGAGTTTGTCAATAGCTACACGAAGTAATCAAAAGTTTTATTTTACCTTTTCTACAAATATAATCTCCGGGAGAGAACAGGACCGGCCTCAGCCGCAGCACCAATTCGCACAGGAATCCAGCTTCGGTGTTCTGAAAAATCTCCACCCTTTTCAGAGTATCTAGATGAACATTGATTGCTATTTCAGCCTTTAGCTTATCTGGAAGACACGATACGGCTCTTTCTTCATCTGAACACTTTTGGGTGAGCCATAGATAATCAAACCATTTGATCACTTTCACCTGCAAATGGTTTGGTACCCTGCGCATTCTCATATACGTTTTGACTCCGTCGAGTTTCGCTGTAACAAAACAACACTTGATTAATAAACTAAACATCACTTGCATTTCATGCTGGGGTGGAAGCAAAGCAAGGGGCTATTTTTATATTATTACCAACTGGTCTCAAGCGAATTATAAAGAGCTAAAGAGGTAAAATGCATTCGGAATCAAAGAAGCTATCAATGAAATTACTGAAAAACGGGTTCGGTCACTAAATAAAAATCATTCATTGGAGTAAATAATGTTTGTTTACTACTTGTGTATGAATCAGTTATCATGATAAAAAAAATATCAAAAGCACAAAATGCAACGTAAAGCTTGCTATTCTCGTAAATTGTCCGATCGATTTTCATTAGAGGAAATCCCATAAAGTACATACATCTCCAGTACCTTTTCAAACAACAATGACAGTAGCATTACAGTGGAATTAACTTGTTAACTTGGCGGGATTCAGAGGGACTCCAACACCAAAATCAGGACAATGCACCTTCCTATTGGCACCATCCTCTCTCATTTAAAATTGTTTTATAAACGATTATCTGATTAACCTGGATTTAACTTAATCTGTTTTTCAGAAGAATTATTCAACTTTATAAATTATCTCAAGATCTAAGTAAGTATAGCGACATTAAAAGTATACCAGATGCACCCGTCAAAACACTTCTTTCTAATTTAACTAGAACTATACAGAGTGCGCCAGAACTCGCGCCCCAGAGAAAAATGCCATGTAAGGTAAGATACCAACAACGTGGGAAAAATATTTAAAAAATTCTATCTATAAAAATTTCCAATTTATGCATTTTGACTCAATTTATTTATGTTGTAAAAATAATTTTCCATTTTTTGCTACAGGCTATTATTTAATTTTTCCATGTTCCTGGTATCTTATCTTACTTGAAATTTTTCTCTGGGGCGCGAGTTCTGACACACCCTGTATAAAATTTACCTAAACGTTTTTTCAAATGCAACATTGCTTAAATTCCTAAATTGTTTATTTGTACTCTTCGTTTTTTCACTTTTGCTTATGTAACTATAATTTAACGTCAAACATTTTTTTTTCAAATACTTAGATAATTATTATTAAGTTTTGGAGAAAGCTGTATTGAAACTCTTTTTTCATGAATTATGGTATTATGGTATATGAATTATGGTATAATCGTAAAATTCTTTCACGAACAGCTTGGTTTCTCAAAATTTATGATATTTCTCATAAAATCGGCTTGCGACCATTGTTGACGCTTGAGAGTTGATGGGTTGATGCAGCTGTTAAGAATTATCCGGGGCACATAAAAATCATCGTACACTTACAAAAACAAATAAGAATATACTTTTATTATAAGGAATATTTTAATAAGAATTTTATTTAATCCAGCTCTGGTTCGTTCGGTGATAAATTCGCTTCAGTTATTATTAGGGTTTTGGACTCTTTGTGACGCAGATTTATTAGTATTCTAACATAAAAAGTAATAAATTATTAAAAATTCACCATAAATAATATTAAAATGGATTGAATCCAAACTTTAACAATTGAAGGGTCCAGAGGAAAAACGATGAGATTCTAATTTTTGAACTTCACGATTTCAACGGTATATCTGCAGGCCTGGTCAAATTCCATATTAAATAGATACTTTCATTATGTTTAAAATAGTTAATCTTAATGTCTGATTGTTTATTGAGGAGAAACTCTATTGCTCATTGAAATTATTACTGAAACAAACATTAGGTAATAATAAAAACAATTTAGGTTTAAATATACTTTTCTAGAAATCTGCGAAAATGGACTCTCGTTTTTAATCTAGATTCTTTTTGCAGCACAATTTTTGTAGATTGGGTTTGTGACGTGTTGTTAAAAAAGCAAGCAATCAGAATTTCCGATGAGATATAACGTGCACCTAGCATATCGAGCAAAACAATTATTAAAAAATTCTGTTTTTCAAATTACTCAATCAATTTTTATTTAATTATTAAAAAAAATGGCGGTTTGTTTAACTCTTCAAAATTTTTTCAAAACTTGTAACAATACTTAGAAAATATGATGAAAACCTTTGAGTTTTTGTATTAATTTTACACTTAATCACAGAATATTAGTCGTTGAAAGAAATTGATGGGTCTGTTTCTGCAAGGAGGTTTCATTGAAAAATTGCCTCTTTAATTAAGTCGCTCTCTGTTATTTTGTTTTCTTTATAAATATTTTTTTATTTCAGATTAATTATTAAAGAAAGAGATTTTAAAACATTGAAAAATACTGTAGCCTCTGTAAGAACGCAGCTTCAAGTTTCTTTAGAGTCATAATCTTTTGATAATAATTGCTTGGGGTGCTGTAATAATGTCATTATTCTTGTCAATTATGTTTTAAATGGACCATCTGCGCATGTCATCGTATATTTCATTGTTATTCAAGTTGGCTCCTCATTAGCGAGTATTTTGCCGGGTGATCTACAGATAATAAAAAATCAAGACTTGGAACGAATGAGATTAAAGAAGGTGTTAAAGTTAATTAGAAACTAAATAAAACTCGAAAATTTATTTATGCTTGGCCAAATGTAAAATTTGGTTTATTTTTCAAGTATAGCAAACTGAAGCAACGTGTTTTTTATCGGAAATTCACCCCTGACAAACAAATTTATAGTTGTTTTTTATTTGTGGATTTTACTAAGGGTTAATTATCTTGATTTCCCCCATTTGTTTTCATTAAAATTCTCCACCGAGATTGGTTGAGGTCGGCCCGAAATTGGTTCTGCCTAAATAAATAATAGCTTGAAAAATAAGAGATGGTTCTCTTAACCATGAAAATCTTTATGCCATTTCGCAGGTATATTTAATTTAAAGATAGAAATATTTTAATGGGGGTAAAGAGTTTAATAAAGTTAAATAAACGTTGCAGCTTAATAACTGTAAAAGATGAACATGAAGATGAACTCAATTTAGCGTTATTTCACGCTTCATTTATCTATTTTATTCATGATCGAAAATAAGGTGTAATAAAAAGTAAATATTGTCAGTGTGACGTAAAAATTACAGGGGCTTTACATTTTGAACAACCAAGTTTCGATTAAATTTAAATTATCCGTGCAACAGCTTTTCACAGAGATTTATTTCCGTTCAATTACAGTTCCATTCGAAATATAATTATTATTATTTTCATATGAAGTTTTGTAACCATTGTGGTTTTGTTTGTTAAAGCCTAAAATCGAATTTTGTATTTTAATACAATTTTGTGTTGTTTCAAAAGCTGCACTAAAATGGTAGCTCAGTTTTTTTTCAAAGATTAATAGTCTCATGTTAAATCCCGTTAGGACAGCTAAACTTTGTGTGCGGCTTTCAAAGCGTTAATTTTCTATTTTGTCATAGAATCCGAGCTTGTAATTTCAGTAATATGATGAAACTGAAACGTAATTACATATAAGGTTAATAATAGAAACAAGGTTTCATCAAAAACATGGTAAAGTCAAGCATCCTCAAGCTTCAAAATGAACATTAATGATTATAACTGCATAAAACGTAACGATGATTCAATTAACGCTCTGTGAGAAACTTCCTCATGGACTCTGACGTTACATTGTTGACGGCGGAAATTTTCTACACACGATAAAATTAAATTTTATTACTCAAAACTGAAAGAAAAGTGAAGAAAATTTCAAGAATGTTATTAAATTACGGCAGAAAACCCCGATGCATCAAAGTTGTTTTGATGAGATTTTATTTTAATACTTCGCGGTTTGTTCATTAAAGTCTGCCTCTTGAAGCAAAGAAAACAAAAAAATCACTTTACTTAAAACTTTTTTATTTAGATGAATTGTGATGCAAAACATGACAACAAATATCATAGTTTCACTAAATTTGGGTTCGGTTTAGTTGTTAATTCTTGATTTAAATAGATATAGAATAACAGTGTCTGAGCTTAACCAAATTTATATTCAACTCAAGTGCAGGCACGATAAGGTGGGATAAAGTGACAATAACACTGCAAACTGCACCAACCACTATAGTTAAAGTTGTTACTAATTTGACAAGCAACGTATTTTGTAGTTAGTTTACAGTTTACAATTTTTTTTATAAAAATTTGGAAAACTTTAGCCGGAAAATGTCCAATTGCCAATCGACAATTGACTTAAATAATAAGTTAATAATTATTTTGAAATTTGCGTGGAAGGCTTATTTGAGTTAATTGTGTAAACATCTAATAAATATGGTTTTATTCTCTTCTCTGAAAATTTGTGATGGTGCTTTTAAATAGAATAAAATCATAAACAAAGTTTGAAATTATAAACAAACTTTCATATATGAGCTAAAAATAACCTAACTGCATTTTGATAATCATATCCAACATTATGTTGCATTTTGTATACGATTTATAAATAAACAAAAATACTGTCTAAGGAATCCATAGTCACAGATGTGGCCTCACTATTGTAAAAAATTAATAACATTTTGAAACAATAAATTCCATTAAGACTTATTTCAAATATTCTGCTTTGCATAAGAAAGTAAGTAAGAGAATTTTCTAAAGGATAATTAAAAACGTGCTCGTTTTATACTTAAACTTTTAAACCCTGTAATATTTCCCAATATTGAATTTAAGCTGCCCCAACATTTCAATTAACTTAGTAAAGTTAATTAAAATTAGAAATAGAAACGATTTAAACTTTCACCACCTAACAAACTTACATTATCTCGTGAATTTTTATCAGCAACACATTTTTCCAAGATGTATTAATGTTGAGAATGAATAAAATCAATACAGAGGCAAGAACGACTTAATTAAAAAAATACAGATCACTGTAGTATTTAGAATTATTTTTAATTAGCTTTGTTAAAACGCTTATTAAGAAAACATTCAATTAATTTTTGTTCCATCTCATGACAAAAATATTTAATTAGAAACAAAAAAAAATAATGTAGCATGATAATTCTTTAAGATTTGTACAAATAATTTTTTTGCGTGTGAGAAACTCTCAAATTTCATTTTGGATGTTGCAAACTTAGTGCTTTCTAAAAATATCATTTTTCTTTGAAATGG